CTAATGTTGCCACTCTAATAACTACATGACACACCGGGAAGAGGCCTGATGGAGCCTATGAATAATTAAGCATCATGATTGCAATGATGAATGCTTCTAACTCTATCTGGCTTTTTCACACTATTCTTTGAAGGGAGGCCAAACAACAGAGTGCCACACATTGTGTGAAAGATGTTATGGAGGGGGAAGAGAGACAGTGGGAATATCCAGATGATAGGGCAAAGGCTCATCAAGCTAGGCCTTGGGAGGAGGCAGAGGGAGAGGAGCAAAAGAAAATTGAAAAAAATGAAGGAGGTGCTCATGGCCAGGAAGTCCCCCGCTATTCAGCCATCTGTGCTGTGGAGAAACACAAAGACACGCTCGGACAGGCCAGTTTGTGTATCTGTTTCATGAATGCATGGGTTGTGTATTTGTGGATGTGGTCACTTTATGGATGATGTAATCCAGTTAACAGTGACCCACTTGTCAGATGCAAAGTTAACTGGACAGATGTCTATTCCTCTTTTAATTGTGTGTCATCTGTGTACTAATCAAATGATAATGGAAATTCAGTGCTTGAATTAATTTCCAAGTCTATATTGTAAATATGTTTGCTGCCTATGATTTCAGTTGAATAAAACAGGTGAGTAACTTTGCTGTAAATGTTAGACTCATTTATTTTAGGCATTTTGAAAATGCAGCATGCTTGCTTAGAGTTAGTGCCTTTTTTATGGTTTACAAAATAACAAAAAATTGAAAACTTGCATAACAACTTGCTTGCCAAAACATATGCTCACAGTGAGAAGCACGTCCAAGTAATGTCCATAAAGATGACTGAAGAATGTAAGGAAATATGAAGCAAATTCATTTTAGATGTTCTAAACTCAACGACATGAGAGCAGGATCAATCATGATTACACAAGTCCTACGTGTTATCCAATGTCTTGTATGACAGTAGCTGATATTACATGTTGCTCACGTTGCATATCAGCATTAAAAGACTTTGGTGTGGTTGATCAAGGTTCAGCTTGGCAGCAGCTTGTAAAATGTGACAAATGATGGGTGGGCTTCTCCTCTCTGCCTCCTCTGCTATGGTTTGCTTGCCAGGGCCAACAGATTGCATCATTATTGAGGATGAAGTCATCCTGCAACATAAGGGTGGAACAGGTGCTGAAAATTTAATCAGAACAGGATGGAAGATGCTGGCGGAACATGTAAACCTACAGCTTTGGCCCAAACTCAGCCCGAGCTGACACAGTCACTTATGTTCAGCTTGCGACACATGATTGCAGTTCATTTTAGGCGCTCGACTCAGAAGCATAATTTCCACGACGAGAGGGATGTTTGCGAAAATGGAATTGGCTACATCTGAACCTCTTCCACTATGTGTAGTCCACTGCAGTGAGTCTTTTGCAGATGCATTTTATGGCTCTGTTCAGCCAGTCCGGATGCAAAAGACACTGAGAAGGTAAGAAAGGAAATGATCGAATATCAAGGGAGCTAACGAAGGCAAAGAAGCTGGTGAAAAGGCAGAAAGCCAGTCGATGTCTCGGGCTTTATATCACCAGGTTGTTATTAATGATGCGGCATTCCCTGCAGTGGGAAGCTGTCAGGCTACCGAGCTGTCTGCCTGTTCAGCCTAATCAGCACTACGACATGATATGTGGAGTGCAGGACTGTAGAGGAGCACTGCCTTAGCAGCCTCTGAACCCTCCCACCCTCCCTCCCCCCGCCTGCTGACTGTACAGCATCAAGATGCTTCAGTACAACAGGATTTTTTTCCCTCGTGGAGCAGTTTGGTCTTTTACTGGAGAGGACTCACGGCTCAAGCATTGTGCTGCATTATTATGAGGCCATACACCTGCAGTGCTCACACTTGATCAGTCTAAAGTTCAATTAGCTTTAAAATGGAACTCAAATTCTGAAAACAGTCAAAATCTTTGTTTTTCAATTGTTAGGCCACAGTGAAAATACCTATATTTTGTAAGTGTAAATTACATGCTGTTACCCATACTCTTGCACTTAAGAAAAAAAAAGCATTTGCTGTAAGTGGAAGCTTTAATGTTTCACAATAGCTGTTTCACAATGGCTGTTGTTGATTCCTGTCAGTGAACTGAGCAAGGACTGACGAATCCGGAGTATTTTTGTAAATCGTTTTTTAAAACTGTTGTAAGGAATACCTTCAGCATGTGGTCAAATTTCTCTATAGAAAAATCCTTAAATGGTTAATGCTTCACTCAAAGCTCACTTTAAATATCTACTCCCTGTCCAGAGTTTTAATGTTGAAAAAAGCATTTGGACTGAATTGTTGTACAACTAAAACACTTCTGATAACCACTGTGAGGCTTAGTCAGAAGATTATCTGCGAGAAATTTGGTAAAGATTAGAATTTTTTAATGGACATCTCTGAAAGATTTCTAGAAATGCTCATGTAACCCGGTATGGGGGATTATGTAGGTTTAAACTACTCTTGACCCCAAAATATCTGCTGATATTTTTGTTAAGAGAGATGGATATTTCTGAACATTCAGAACCTCTTCAGACTGTTTTATCCTATTAATATTTGGTCGAATATTTCAAAAGCAGCACCATCAGCAACATAATTCGGTGTAATCAAAGTTTAGATATTTTCAAGCCTCATGTAGCAGTAAAAAAATAAAAGTTAGTAAATAGTTGCCATTATAACTTCTCCCCCTCTGAATCCATCATATTTCTTGCTTCAGAGCTTCTTTTTTTCATTCTACACAATGGAAACATGTCTGTGTTTACATGCTAAGTTCTATTAGAGTACAGAAAACTGTAGCTTTTCCTCTGCTAAAATAGTTTTTAGTTAAAAAACAAATTAGATTCCAATGTGAGTCTATATAGGTTTATTTCCACTGAGATAAAGAAGATATTTCCTAGTTACTTTTTCCGTTCGATTTAACAGTTGTTTTGAAATTGAAGTCTGCAATTAAGCTAAGAATGACGTTTTCTACCTAATTGAGCAGCAGGGGCTTACATTAAGTATTTCTTATTAGGGTGTATCACAAGAGGGCAATCTAATCTGGTCCTTCATCTGTCTTGAGATTTGCAGTGTAGCTTTGCTGGACTGGAGGTCAGGCCCTCAGGCTCCTGATGGACTACTATTGATTGGGAGAAACGTGGTGATACAGTTGCAGTCGCTCAGCATTGATTTTCTGCAAGTGCAGTAGTGGAGAGCAGGCAGAATGAGAGAGCCGGAGCAGCCGAGTTATCTTCTCGAATATCAGGAAGTTAGATTCATTTATTTATTTATTTTTTGTCTTTGTAGCGCTGACCTTTCCTGACTCATAGAGATACATATCATTAGCTCAGTAGCTGTTCTAAACACAGCAGTCTTTCATTATGCTCATTCCTCAAAACATTTAAGCAGTTAAAATACCCGTTGCAGTTCCATCATAGCACACCCAATTCTTTTTAAGAGTTTTTTTACACTACTGCCTCCATTCAATTACTTTGCTGTGGATATTCATTTGCTAGAACTTGAACATACTTGAACCCCGCCTGAACAGGGCAAGACATCTTGACATGAGCGCACACAGCCAAAAGGGAAAAATGCAAAGTGTAGAGAGAAAAAAATACTGCCACACTTCAACTCAGAGAGAGTGGGTTTGGAAGTTTAAGCATCACATTAAACAGGTGCTTAAAAAAGCACTTTACCCCTCTCAAGCAGCCTTTCAAGTAGCCCAAACAACTTACAGTAATGGGAAAAAACTCATTCCTGCAAGTTCTTTAAATGACGTCATGTGAAAAGGTCTGATTTGCTTTGGGAAAAGGTCTGTGATAATTAGAAGTTGATCTGTAATTTGTAAGAAGTCTGCTTAGATATATAGAAACACAAACTCCACTTAGAATAATTAGAATGCATAGACTGCTCAGGGCTTATTATATTTATTGTACATTTACTCCAAGGCTTTTATATATTTATTTTATTCTGTATAAATTTTAATTAGGACTTCAAACACTTAAGCTCTGTTCGGCCTAAGCAGGGCTTCCCTTTGATCAAGCGTCATTCTCCCATATTTTTTCTCCTCCATTTCTTCCCAGTGGGCAAGTTGCTTCTAATTGGCTTGCTGTCGCTGGTCTTGTCTGTCGTCAGTGCAGATGAAAGGATATGAACTGTACATAGACTCTCCGTTCTCTGCTGTGAATGTTATCGTTAAGTGTTAAGAAACGCACACATCTATTTTTAACCTGTGGGAGACACGTCTTTGGTAAACATGTCATATCTGCACCAGAGATGAATCTCTTGCATCCAGAGGAACTTAAAATAACTTTTCCTTTCATGATACTAGAGGGCTCTTTGGAAAATCTGTTTTTTCTGTAGAGTAAGACTTATTTTTTGCTGTTTGTAGAGCTCCCCAACCCCACCCTGCTGTTATTCCTCCCTTGGCTCTCTCTGCCTCTGCCCTGTGTGTTAATGTAGTGAAGTGGCACATCGGTCAATGAGCTTGTATTAACACCTGACTCCCAGCCTTAGCTGCTGTTTGTTCCTCTGTGTGGGGTCCCCTGGGCCCTCCCCCAGGCAGAAACAACATATCCAAAGATCAATAGCAGCATCCGAGACAGCCAGGAGAGGAATGGAAGGAATGGTGTGAAAGGAGGACATCTTCTACACGCTCATGTATATCTTTTCTAAATTCCCTCCTCTTTATCTCTACTCATCTTCTCAGCGATGTCACCGTACAGAGGGCTCAGTCCATATATTTTTAATTTTTGACCTATTTTCTCATCTCATATGTTTTTTTTATTTGGGCATAAAGTCCTCTATGGAATTCTAGATTTGTCTTCTTAAAACTGTGGCTTGCACTCCAGTCGATTTTCCTTTGCATTCTCTCTTCTGCATTTCGATCGTTCACCACCTCTCAGTAATTCATTCACTCTCTCACACTCTTGGTCTAATGTAGGATCATGCCAGAGTGCATTAATGTATTATCTGGCCCAGATCGGCATCAACGTTCCCTGCCTGTGTGTGTACTAACTCCTCCCTCTCCGGGCTCTCTAGGCTCTGGCCATGGCTGAGGTGAACGGGCCGGGCCCGCGGGTGGCAGAGCCCCAGATTGCCATGTTCTGCGGCCGTCAACTCCTGCACATGAACATCCAGACCGGCCAGTGGGAGCCAGATGCTCAGGGCAGCCAGGGCTGCTTCAAAGATCCCAGCACAATCCTGTCCTACTGTCAGAAGGTAGGGATCTGAACCTTACTAATGCAGACATTGCCAGTGAAAAAAAAAGGCTTAGATCACTACTAAAAACTGCATCAGTTTTAAAGTCACAATGTTGGCTTTAGGACGTTCCATTAACTTCAAAATGAATTGTTTAACATGAAGGGGGACATGAAGCAATATTCACCTTATTTTTTCTCTAATTTGATTTGTCTGACACCTGCCCCGCAAAATCTATATATTTAACTATATATAGTAAAGTGATGGTGGTCTGTTGGAATATTACAATATTTCACTTGTGCCACCATCCACCTATCCTGTTTTTGTCACCTACTACTCTCTGTACTTCATTAACATCTGCCTTAAAGTAAGTGAAGCAGCCAAGCGCCACCTGCTGACCAAAATGAAAGTAGCCTCTAAAGATAGCAGCAGCCATGAGTCTAAATAGCATGTAATGTGATTAGCTACCCCATTATGCATCTGCAAGGGCTTTTACACAAAGCTTTGCTTTTATTGTTGATATTTGTGCAGATAGGCTTTAAGTGGACATCTAGACTCTGGGCCACTTGCACTTCAAATGGTCGGTCTATATTTTAAGTGAAAACAAAGATAAGAATAGAAATACAGACCTGTTTTTTTTTTTTTTTAATGAGGTTGAGTGTCTAAATTCAACTTAGCCAAATGCACACACAAAGGTTTACACATCTAGACTGTTTGTTGCATGACTCGTTCCTCTGTCTTCTCCCCACTGACTGTGCTCCCAATCCTCCTATTCAACAAATTATACTCTGCTCCTACCAACCAAACCCTAACCCCCCCCTAACAAATGCTTTCCTTTCCAATTTTCCCCTTTGACACCCTGTCCTGTCCATCCACCTATCTGTTTTTGTGCCTCTGTCATCTCTGCATGTACCTGTTCATCCAGATGTATCCAGAGCTCCCAATCTCTCATATAGAGGAGTCAAAAAGACCTGTCTCCATCCCCTCCTGGTGTAAGAAAGGCTGGGGCCCCTGCCAGACACGCCCTTTCATTGTTGTGCCCTTCCGCTGCCTCGGTAAGCTCAACACACATCACTGTCATGATATGATTACAATAACAATGCATTGAATTCATTTTACAGGGTGTTCTTTGTGTTTCAAGTTGTGTCAGAGATTGCCTGAGACCGATGAGGCGTCATGTGCATATGTCGGAATAGTTACACGCTTCATTTTTGTCAGAATTTGTCATCTTTATGCTCCCCTGCCCTGACTTTTATTAGCATGGTAGAGCAAGATTTTTATAATTTTAGGGAGCATTACATTTTATTATTGGCAAATCGCTTTCCATCCTCACCGGCTCCAAAACCTATATCAGTATGATGTTACTCACACTGAGATCTTATTAACATAAGTTCAAATGTTCAGCTTGAAGCACAGTGTTCTTAGCAATATTCTAAAGAGGTCTTAGCTCTTAAAAGCCACTAGAGGGCCTGATAGACTGATGAGAGCAGAGTGAGTGACCGAATGAGGAGTTCTGGGTTTAGATGACTTGTGGGACCTGCTTTTGCTTGGTTTTCACTGCATTGCCTTTTTTTTATAGCTTATCCCTTTTATTTTTTCACATGCCTTCATTAACAGCGCATAGTAAGAGATGTATTAGGAATATATATCAAATCAAATGAATCATAGACTATAAAAAATACATTATCCCAGCAGTAAAACGTTCATGCACATTAATTGTATGCAAACCACAAGTCGCAGCCTCAACGTGCTACAGTAACTGCAGATATTTTGTTCTAAGTTCGTGCTCATTACACATTAATGCTCTACGTCACTTCTGATTTATGTACCCCATCCCCATCTATTCTTTGTAGCTTACATCTTTAGACCTACTCTTTCATTCCAAGCTCATTTATATTTTATGTTTAGACGAACGGGTGAGATGTAGTGAAATTAGACGTTAAACTTGGGTAAAAAATCCTTATTCCCTGACCACACCTCTACTTTCATCCTGCTTTAGAAGGCGAGTACGTGAGCGAGGCCCTGCTTGTGCCCGATAGGTGCCGTTTTCTCCACCAGGAGCAGATGGATGCCTGCGAGAGCTACGTCTACTGGCACAACATTGCTAAGGAGGTGAAAAGTTAGATTTGTTTTTTGTCAGTTTTGTATGTAGATTATTTATAAGCATATAGAAAAAATATGTTTTTTAATTGACTTTTCATAGGTCATACAAAAAGTCACATTTAAATGACATGCGTTTTGACTTAAATTAAACCAGTGGCACAACTCCAGACCTCTTGTCCACAGGTTTAGTCTCTTTTAGTGTCAGTATAGCTTAATAACCCTTGAAGCACATGATTACAGTGTCACTAAGCGTACAGTACATATGCTTAAATCTCAGTCTAACCACCAAGCAGAAAAGCACTGATCTAACTTATTCAGGACTGATTGAACTGTTAACCTCAGCCTTGTAACATATTCATTGAACTAGCCTAGGTCTTTTTTAAAACACTTCCCCGTAGGTCATAACTCTAAACTGAACTCATGCTGTACTCTTCTTTAAACATGTTGGTTTCCTAAATTTTCAACTCAATTACAGGTTCACTACTCTGTGTTTTGTATAAAACCTTTTTAAGTTTATAGAGGCTAAAGTTAAGAACTGTACCTGCTTATCTATTTCCATTTTCCAGTACACTATCATTCTGGTAAAAAAGCAAAACAGTTATTACTTCCCACTTTAGAAATACAGCAAATGCATTGTGATTTGAAGTATGAGTAGTTATGAGGAGAGGGGATAATTATTGTTTGAGGTGGGGGAATGATTTACTTGGAATTTTAAATGACTAACCAAATCGTATTTCTTCACCCTGAAGGGCCCAGACAAATTTTAAGATTTTAAGTTAGCAGTGATTTCATAATCCCAAATATGTTATCTGATAATCAGATTAATCCTGGTGAAGGGAATAACATCAAAGTATTAGTTAGATTTCAGCACTCCTACTTATTATTTCCATTTTCAGCTTTGTTCTTTTGAGAAATTTAACGTAAAGCCTGGTGTTAAATTTGAACATGAAAGCATTTGACACGCAATGTGAGCACTGCCTCAATGGCATCAATCATTTTTTTATTTTTTTATTTTTTTGCCTCTGTCAGGAATGCACTGCAGAGAATCTGGAGCTCCACAGCTACGGGATGCTGCTGCAATGCGGGGACCACTTCCGGGGTGTTGAGTATGTGTGCTGCCCGGGCAGAGGCGGCTCCGGTAGTAAGGGAGAGGCAGAGGAAAGCCCCGGTGGTCTTCAGACTCTGATTTCCCAGACCAGCGGAAAACCGAACTCTGTGTAAGATGATGCAGTTTAACAGCGCAGAGATTGTGTAAGATAAAGATGTTTGTGTAAGAGTGTGGAATGTGAACCTTTGCACAGCACCAAAGCGACGGCGCCCACTCCAAGGCCATCTCCTGACATGGACGAGGATGATATGGAAGAGGAGGATGATGAAGTGATGGATGAAGATGAGGATGAAGAGGAGGAGGAGGACATTGATGATGAGGAGGTGGAAGACGATGACGATGACGAGGGAATTGTTGCAAAAGAACCAGAGGAGGAGTATGAATACCCCAGTGACTCAGGGCCCTACCAGACATCAGACTATTGGGACTCCTTTGAGAAAAGCAACAAACCCACCACCTCTGCACCTCTGCTGAAGGAGGACAGCTGTGAGTGTTTTTTGTCTCCGTTTCTAAGAAAACAGTTGATGCCATCAGTACCAAATGAGTTTATGAAACTCTTGCAGCCTGAGAATAACATCTATTTTCACATAGCTCTTGAATGCATGCATGTCCTCAGTATTTGCAAAAAACAAACACACGAGTTTCTTTCTCTTGATTTTTGTGAGAACTGTCATTGGGAGGGGTGTAGTCATTTCCAGTCCAGCATTCCATGAGCCTAAACATACCCTTATCCCTCCAAATATCGGTGTATATTTGTTTTCAGAACTGGTGCATAACAAACATTTACAACCACAGCGAGTCAACAGCACAGTTCATGTTTGTGTGCACAGTAAATGGAACACTTTACCACTTTAGACGAGGTTTCCTCAGAGCTGCTAAATAGATGCATTTCTGGGGAAATGTTAGTTATTGTTGTTTGCTCTATAAAGTTTTTCTGAAGCTACGTATTCTGTTTTTCCACCCCCTCAGGGCAGTTATTTAAATTGAACACAAACTCTCCTTCAAGTAAATGGAGCCTTTGAGGCATTAACAACCTGTTTTTCCATCTAGTGACCACGCCACGGCCCACAGATGGCGTTGATGTTTATTTCGAGAAGCCAGTGGATGACACCGAGCATGCCAACTTTCTGCGAGCCAAAACAGACCTGGAAGAGCGCAGAATGAAGCGCATCAATAAGGTACATTTCACAGGGCCAGGAACAGGTTTACAACATGTCAGCTGGCAGGTCACACTTTGAGAGGTGATTTTGTAATCGGGGTGAGACTTGCTGTTGCTCTCTAATCTGATTAGTGGAATGACTCAACATGATACACATGCCCCAGCGGAGCAGATTATAAAATAAAGGAAGCGTATCACATGCCATGGAAAAATACCCAAAATGCGGACAGATAGACTTCAATTTTACAAACCCCAGTTGCAAAATAGTTAGCACGTTTTATACAATGCAAGAACTTAAATCAGTGATATGAACGTTTTTATCCTTTGAGGGGGGCAAAATTATAAAGAGATTTAGGCCTCTCAGCTTCTAAAGTGTACAACATTTTGAGTAAATTTAGGAATTCAAAGAATTCTCAGTGTGAAAGCTTGAGGGCACTGTTGGATGTACATTACCTTCAAGCTCCTGGGCAACACTCTATGAGAAACAATAATAACTCTGATCAATACAACTACAGGGGCTCCTCTGTAAAGCCATTTTTCTTCAACACTGTCCGCTGCTTTTCTCAGCTATGTAATCAGAAGTAGCATTGAGTGAGATGGACACATTTCAGCTGCTTTTTGTTGGAAACCCACATCTTCTTTGACGTGCCAAAGTTTAAAAAGACTTCCTAAACTGTTGTCAGCAGAAGTTTTTGATATAGTGTGAGACTTCCTCAGTGCCCATGGCAGTAAAAGATATTAATTTCAAACATTAGAAACATATTCTACTGTCATCATGGCATCACTTCCTATGAGGGCTGGGGTTTTTTCAGCAGGACAATGCCTGACCTCATTCTGCCTGCATGGCTTCTGGGATACAGTGTTTGCTGTACACACTTGTTTCCTGTTAGATAAAAAAATATATGTCACAATCTAAAGAGTGCAAATCAGACAGCAACTGAGTTCTGAGAATGATGACTGATTCCTTTCACAAAACCTGCAATAATTAGTATTCACAATTGCAATGATTAGAGAGGGGTATCAAAAGGTTGGCCGATTTACCACAGGGGATTATTCTGTACCAGTTCATTTTCTTTATATTATTTTCATCGGATTTTAAACTTGTTTCTCAATACAATAAACTAAACTAACCAGATATTTGTTCTTAAATGTGTTACATAAAGCTTTAGATAAACTAGCTAATTCAACTTAAGGGTTCAATGCATTTGAAAAAACGTCCAACTTCCAAGTACAGTTTTGTATTTTATACCATGTGGAGGCTTTTTCTAATCTCTATTGAAGGAAATTGTAGCCACATATTGAACCATGCTTTGATAGTAGAAGGAAATACCGGGACTGCTTTCTGTGAAAATAGAGTGAACAGGAAATTACTCTTTAGATTAATGAAAGATATAAGCAGTTACTAACAGCATATAAGTTTGTGTCAGTGGATGTAATCTACTGCTTTACATCTAATGACAGTTGCTTTCAGCTCCAAGATTGTTTCTTTGATTTTTATTTTTGATTGTGGTATGCAAATGGTTTGAAATTTATAATTATTTCTATCAGACTGGGCGGTGTTTTGAGGCCTCAGATACATGTTTGACTTTCTCCTTTACAAAACATCCCTCATGCAAAACCATACGCCTTTTGTTTGAGAATGATAAAAGATGTTTAAAATAACTCTTGCCTAACAATGCTGTTGTTCCATTTATTTAGGGAATGATGCAGCTCCACCTTTTGATACATTTCTAACTTTTTGTCTTTCTTTTTCTATATAATAAAAAACGGATTTAATGATAAACTAAATTTATGTCTATTGATTTTGTTCCTTTTAGATCATGAAGGAATGGGCTGAGGCTGACAACCAGTCAAAGAATCTTCCAAAATCAGAGCGGCAGGCCTTGAATGAGGTAAACAGAAATCTGTCAGTCTGCTTAACAGCTGGTTTGTTCAGCATATACAAATTCTTGGGGAATCTTTCAGGATTAGTATTATTCATTCTTGTATCACCTCCACCAGCACTTCCAGACTGTGCTGCAGACTCTGGAGGAGCAGGTCGCCGGTGAGAGGCAGAGGCTGGTGGAGACACATCTGGAAAGAGTTGAGGCCATTCTCAACAACAACCGCCGCATGGCTCTGGAAAATTACTTGAGTGCCGTGCAATCTGATCCCCCTCAGGTAATTTATCCTGTGCTGAGCAGGGCAGAAGATTAACACAAATATGAAGTTAACCCTGCCATCAACCATGATTCTGTTTTAGCTTTCGTACATCAAACAGTGAGTTAGATGAGCCTTTATGTCACAGTTTTGTGTTTTATCCTGACCCGTTTCTCTATGAAAATGTTCCTCGCAGCCGGAGCGAGTGCTGCAGGCTCTGAAGCGATACATGGCTGCTGAGCAGAAGGACCACAGACACACACTGAGGCACTACCAGCATATTGTGGCCGTCGACCCACAGAAAGCTGAGCAGATGAAATTCCAGGTGAGCGCTTTTGACTGCCGCGGTTGCTTTCTGCTGACAGGGAGTAAACTATTGCGTGCTGAATAATGAGAACATGCTGTATAGAAGTTCATAATTATGCAGCAAAATCAGCTTACAGTTTTCTTTTTCTTAGGATAAGATCAAACCTGTCAGTACTGAAACTGACATCAGAGCTCATGCTCATGAGAAGACTTGGTCATTTTGAATAAATTGATGACGACTAGACATTAAATAAACATTTCATTACTTCACTTTGCAGGTGTACACACATCTCCGTGTGATTGAAGAGAGGATGAACCAGAGCCTTACACTCCTATACAAGGACCCTACGTTGGCTGAGGAATTACACAATAGTATTCGTAAGATAGCCAAACTTTCAAATTTGCAAAACTGTAAAAGACCATATACTGTATATGTATTGTTTGTTTGTTTCTTTAATACTCTAGAGGAGTTGGTCAAGGCAGAACGAGGAGACATCAGTGAGCTTATGACAACCTCCTTCTCTGAAACTCGCACCACTGAGGAGCTCCTGCCGGCTGAGAGCGAGGAAGAAAAGGATGATGAAGAGGAGGAGGAGAGAGCTTTCCAGAACAGGCCTTATCCTCCAAACATTGGTACATGCTGACCTATTCCACTACGGCACATTCGCAAATCTATTACCTATAAAAACCTCTGCACTACTTTTTTTTCGTTGTTGTTAATAGCCTTTTTTTTGTGTCTTTTTTCACAATAGAATTGCAGTCCAATAAGAAAGGTGAGCAAACAGTTGCCGACATTAAACATGGAACTGGACCTGTTAAAGTTACCGCAGTGGATCCCTGTTGCTTTCACTTTCTTGTGGCAAGTTTTATTTTTTATATGTTATAATTTGTTTCTCTATTCTTTCATCAGCAGAAGATGAATATGATTATACCACATCTGAGAGAGGTCCTACTTATGAAGATGAGGAAAAGGTAACATGATCATGTTAGCAAAATAAGTGAAAATATTCCATTCAAACATAATACTTCCATACAGGAATATGCAGCGTTTCTGTCATTTCCTCAGTCTTTCATTCTTTCACATTCCCCTCCTCTTAGATCAACAACTCTGCAGAGCTCAAGCAGGTGGTCAAGCCCAATGAGATTGCAAGAGATGAGCTGGTAAAAGCATGACAATGTTCCTGAATTAAAAAAAAAAAAAGCTTGAATAAATGAGTGTTCTAAAAAATGTGTTCTGTTTTTTATTGTGAATTCCTCATGTTTAATTGTGCATGTTTCTTTTATTCCATAGCAACCGGACGCCTTGGAGACGTTTAACCGTGGCGCCATGGTGGGGCTGCTGGTGGTGGCGGTGGCTATTGCCATGGTGATGGTAATCAGCCTGCTGCTGGTGCGCAGGAAGCCATATGGCACCATCAGCCACGGCATAGTAGAGGTACGACCCCAGCTGGGCCATTTAAACTTAGCGCAGTCTTAAAACACACCATGATTGTGGGTGCTTTGCGTCTTTTGTTTTTGTTGTGGTTGTTGTTGTTGCTGTTTTTGTGGCATGACAGAAAAAAACACGTTAAAAGTTTTTGTAGTTCTTTTTTTTTTATCTCCGTTGCATTTCACTTACTCTTTCATCAGTCAGCGAGCATGATTCAAGCTTCATAACGACATCATTATCTTTTTTTTGGGATTCAGGATTGTACCCCAGCATCAAAGTTGCAGGAAATCTTTTTAAGCGAAACGGAAGTTATACAAGGTTAAAAAGCAATGTAGGGTATAGCTTTATCAGTTGGGCAGAAATCCCATTCCAGACAGAGAGGGTGTAGTTTTCCAGTTGCATCTGGTTTGGATTTAAGTCCTGGCCTGAGACCTAATGCTGTGCGTTATTCCCCACCCTCTGTGCACCTTAAACTCAACCTTTGCCCAAGAAAACATTTATTAATAGAACAGAAAAATGTAACAAGTCGTTTTCGGCCAGGTTTAATTTTTGGAAAATATGTTTTTTTACCACGTGTGTTGCTGTTGCCCCACCGTTCAAATTTGATTGCCCTTTTAACAAAGAAAACCTCTGGTAAGACAATAGGAAAAAGGCCCTGCATTTTGGCAAATGCTTTTATTTGCTGTGTGGAAAATAGTTTAAACAAGATAAGTGAAAGTATACTTACATGTGCACAGACACCAATGACTTACAAAGCCACACTCTGAAGTGAGTTTACAGTAGGTGAGCATGCAAAAAAGAGAGAGAAGAGAGAGAAAAAAAGTCTTCCTGCTGCAGCAGGAAGTTGCTGTCCCTGAACACATTAAGCACATAAACCTTGGCTACCACTAACTACAATTTTGCCTGGTCTGCCAGCAGTCGCTAACAATTTAAAGCAAGTTGCAAGCAATTATACATATCTTTATAAGGTATCTCACACAAATCTTGCAAATTGATCACTGTGTGCAGTGTTTAACTTTTGGAGTTCAATATAAGTCCCTCACATACAAACATAGACCCACATATAGACCCACATTCATTGCCCAACGCCCCCACCCCTTTACACTTGAAGTGAATACATGCACAGAACATTACTCATTAGACCACACTGTCACTAATTTACTGAAATCTAGTTGACTGTTATGAGTCAGTTTTACTACAAAGTTGTATTAAAGTAGTTGATTCTGGTCTATTAATTTAGCCTGATCACATAGCTCATCAAAAGGTCAGTTTTTTTAAGTCTGCCAACTAATTATTAGTTCTTACATGAGATCATTTAAACAGTTTTGAGGCTTTCATAGTGACATTTAGCATCTTTGCTAAACTCGTGCATTAGAGATTTCCTTCATTCCCAGCCTTAATTCACCATGTTCATGTTATTAAGTAAAGCTTATTTACAGCACAGTTGACTGACAGTTGCTTGCTTGTGAATTGTCTTTGTTGTCATCATTCAAACATGCGTGTTTCATAGCAGGTCGACCCCATGCTGACACCAGAGGAACGGCAGCTCAACAAAATGCAAAACCATGGCTATGAAAACCCCACCTACAAGTTCTTTGAGCAGATGAACTGAAAGCACTTGGGGGGCTGCCAGCAAGTCATGACCACCTGTTTTGCCCCCACCCCTCTCTTCCTTACAAAGGTGTGATACTCTCCCCATGATGGATTTATGATTTGTTGCTCATCTAAAGTCTGGGGTTCTTCCCAAACCCAACAATAACCTTTCATCAGAATGTGAATAATGAGAAATGATACAATCCCATTTTACCTGTTGTAACCTAGTACTCCTTTGGGTTAGAAGGGCCACAACGTTTCATCAACCTGGAAACATTCACCACATTCTCGTGGCATGACTTGACCTATTGCTCCTCACTTGAGTTTGAATGGTGCATAATGCTTTATGGTAATTTCTTTTTTTCAGTAGAGGCCTATGTGCATATTGTACCACAGTTAGATATAGTGTATCTGTGTAGATTATGTGTGAAGGAGAGTGTAGTAAAACAATGGTGGAATTCTCAACACAAAAAGGGTAGCTAGCTACCCCTAGCCAGTAAGTTAAACACACCCCCATGAACTACTGTAACATCAGTTTGCTTTGAATGTATGAGACAGCATGGCTTTAAGTTAAAACACAGACCACACTAATCGAGACATACCTACAGTGTGTACAGGGGGGAAAAAATTGTTTACTGGGGATCGCCAATCGATATTATTATTGATTATTTGGCTACAAAGACCAGATGTATTTTTTTAGTTAATTTACTCTGTCAATGGATTTGTTTAATTAGTTCTGGTATCTGCAAACCTGTTAAGCCGAATAATTAGAGGTCCGTTATTTTAATGAAAGCATGACAACTTGGTGTATGATGCCGCAGTATTTATTTGTGTTGTTCCTGTCATGAAATGAGTCAGAAATGTCACAGTTCCAAACGGACATTGTAAATAACGTAAGAAATAACATGCTACTAGATGTAGGCATTTCTATGATTAATTTGCATTGGTGTAATGGAATAATACATTTTTAAAAAATAGTAGAACATTGTGCTGTTACGAGAGGGAGAAACATTTTCCTAACATGGCTGATTGAAAACGGACTGTTGTAAAAACCAGCACAAGACAACGACACAGCAACTACTTTCTGAATGTATTTGAGGTAGACGTTGAGATTCCATCCTCTTTTCAGTAATGCATCGCTCCCCTTAGTGAACCTCAGTAGGAGTAGTGAAGTTCAACACATGCAAGAGTCTACAGGCCTGGTGCCCTCATCATAACTTTGTGTAGCAGCCTTGTCATCTTCACATTTTGCAAGTGTGAATTAGAGCAGTGGAACAATCGGATGTGTTCTCCTGAGCAGTGTCACATAAAAAAGGCACAGCTACGGTAATGTGAAGCAACTGGGAGTGAAGTAACTCCCAGAAGCACACCACGCTCCGGCATGATAGTAGTACGGTTTGTCTTGAAATAGGCCAGACTGACATCATGGAACTTATCAACATTGAGTGATAATACTCTATACAAGCTTTATATAAGTTACTCTAAGCATAAAAGCTTTTCACTAAATAACTCATCATAGCTTTTCATATGTATGATCAACAAAGTACCCTGAGTAGGTAAGTAGAAAAAGGGATTGCCCCTTTCTTCTGACTGATTGTTTACTGCTTAGCGTGTCAGTTTGATGTCATTTGGTCTGTCTACACGTCCTGTCAGACCCTTTTGGTTAACAGTCATGCTGCGTCATTTTATTTCTGGTTCATCAGTCTTTGACTACATACTATAGTTCAGATTATCCATTCCAGAATCAGGCTGTATGTCTGTTTTTTCTTTTTTTTTCTTTTGCCAGCCATGTTATGCCAAACCTGCATTTGTTTTTAGTTTTTGTTCTTCTTCCGTGATGTGGGGGGAAAAGATTTTGTTTTACTAGAGTTTTTTTTTTTCAAGTTACGTTTGCTTGAAAAAGCAAAAAGGTTGTGATTAAGTTGGTCTCGTCGGGCAGGTTAATAGCAGGTTGTGGTTGTTATGACAGGTTAAGAGAAGTCATAGCCCTTGTATAATTTGTACAGCTCTGTTAGTGAATGAAAACATTGTATGTTCACAGTTTAAGTCAGTTGATCTTGTAATGATACTACTGAAACCTTAGATGAGAATAAGCTTGCCTGTGTTTCCCAAACCACTGAAGGTTTCCTACCAGCATTTAGCAGACTTAGAATGGTGTATTCTATAGTTACTCAAATCACATTTGTAATTAAGTCCTCTGTCAAATCCTGAAGTTCTCTGTTTGTCTGTCCCCTTACTTCCCAATGAAATATAAACTATGTTATTGAGATTTTAATTGCTGCATTATTGCCTTTTACAATGCTGTGTTTTGGATGTAATTATTCAGTATTTTTTATTTATATGTAATAATCATTTGGATCGAGGGTCATATGTTTCACATACAATTATGAGCTTGTAAATTAAAATATAGCTAACATTCAGAAATGTGAAATCTTACAGATACATGCCAAATTGACACGAAGTGGCACGAAGCACAAAAAAACCCAGAATACTCCATTTCTGTTTATGCTTCAAAATGTAACATTGGTTTTCTGATTTAACTTTATTCAAGCAATGCGGTTTTTATTTTCGAGACAGCTGTTCTTCATTTTCATTGAGACCTTTAACCAAAGACATGCTCCATGAATTATCGAATTTCCTAATTTGGCTAAATGTTATCTGTGTAACGTTATGGTAAGCAATCCAACAAGTTGAATCTGGACAAGTTAATTAACAGTGTAATAAAAGTGAATGACCCATTACATATTGTCTGTTTTTGTATGATTAATGTACATTTACATACACATTTTCTCTAAAATATGCATCATATTCAAAGGAAAGTTCCTTCATATCTCTCTGATGGAGCCTACAGGTGAAAACTGTCGGGTGTGTCATTATTGTATGATGTAATAGCCACAACCAAAAAGGGGAAACCTTCTGAGGCAAGGTTTCCCCTCACACTGGAAAATGTTGTGTTTTCTTCCAGGCCACATGCTCAGTTAAATTTCTTTGGAAAAAGAAACCTAATTACAAAGAAAGCTCGAAAAATAAAATAGATATTTTTTATATCTAAAATGCTAATTTTGGCACTGAACACTGAGGTAACATGCTACCTTTGGTAGTGAAGGTTTCTACAAGATACAGTATCATCTAATCATGAATGAGATAAACATGCCTCAACTGTCAACATGAGGTTTCAGTAACTCCTTAAGCCACAGTATCATTTCTGTGAAGACCAAATTTGCTGTGCACTTACTTTGTCAGGAAAAGCTATAGGCAATATCAATCCTTTTACACACACCTAGTGACTAACCCTTACCCCAGTGTAAAGTTCTGTACACAATAGTCAAAGTTTAGGAAATGCTCTCAAAAAACAAAGTCAGGTTTAGTTTAAGCCTAAAAAGACAAAATAAAAAGACTGAATGGATCAAATCTGGCATTTTCTTGGATGGGTTTGCATGGACTTTGATCCAAAACAAATGTGATGTTTGTCAAGGGTTTATGTGACTTATTAAAACTAATTTAGCAGCATTCAACATTCAAGAAATTCAGCCTTTCATCCGTCCAGAAAACAATCACCCACACATTTCAAGACATCCACTGATTGCTGAAACACCGAACATGGAGTCAGAAGCCCATCACTCATTAACTCTCTGGTCAAGTAAACTAATGTTTTTTTTTGTTTTTTTTTTACCCTGTACCCTGTTGACTTATCAGTTCATGATCTCTGGAAATATATTAGTCTTAAGGGGTCAGATACACTTGTGTTCAGATTGCCAACATTGTAGTATTGTATGCATTAGGTTGTCTATCAAGCAGTCGTTGAGGTGAGCAAATGCTCACATTTCAAATGTTTGCCATCTTATGTGACCCTCATTGCTGCTGCAAAGACAGACATACCAAAGAGGTCCATTACCTCTTATCACACTCTGCAGATCATTCTAATCTTGTTAGTTGCCTAGGAGTTATTTCCTTCTTATTCAATAGGGACTCATGAGTAATGCTGTGTGTTAATGGCATCTGATGTCTCAGCAAATGAGTGCCTTAGGCAAATAATTTCTCTGAGCATTTGAAAAGCATTCACGAGTTTCAGACCTGCAGAAAAAGCATCTGACAAGCAGCAATGACACAGTTCCCAAACACCAGTTCACCTGACAGTCACTAGCGTGGGTAGCCCTCACACTTGCTACACCCACAAATTACAAAGAAGTGACATGCTCCAGCCTTTAGCCCTAAACGAGTTCACTTCTTCCAAACCACAACATTGACGGGTAGTCCTCCTTACCCAGATTACTGTGAAAAGGCTCTGTGGCTGTACAGTGACAGTTTGCTATTGATGCCTCCAGCGCACATCAGTCATTTTGGTAGTGGTTCCTCTGAAGTTGACGGCTCACATCCCGCCACTGTGGTAATGTAAGCCTACTCATATTCGACCCGACTTTAATCACGTCGCACTCTGAGTACGCTTTTCGCCTCGTTCAGTAACACTTTGATTCATTCAGCAATGCAACAATATGAAACTCCTTAGTATATAGAAAATAAACAGCTTTGTAGTCAGATCAAAGATATATCAGCATGGAATGCACATTTAATCAACAGGAAGGTAACCAACACTATCATCTTATGACATCATATGCCAGTGCGCACAGAGAAGCTTTAGACCTCATACATACCACACAGAGACAGCCCAGTGAGTCACCGATGGCAAGGTGTCTGATGGTGATTGTTAAACAGACAGTGAGGGGAGAGCAGATGCTGAGGGGTGAGGTGTGGTGGGCTCAGTATTGGTATTACTGCAAGGTGAAGTTCTGTGCATCACATCTCGCTGTCTCCTGCCCATGAAGCACAAAGTGACATTTAAGTGTCGGTATGATGCTAATTTTATTGAGGGGGAATGGATGAGATCACACTGGCCAGTGGGTAAAGATGCACTTTAAAATGATTGTTGACGCACAATGGAGCAATAGCCCCCAAACGTTAGTATGTATGGGGTGTAAAATGTGTGAAAAATTAACTGACATGAGCGAAATGTGAAGAAAATTACCTAAATGTGGAAAATAAGTGTGAAAACTGTGAGCAGTTTTTTTTTGTTACATTTGGCAAACCATAAGCTTGAGCCTGTGCTTGAACACATGCCAACAGAAGTGTGTGTGTATGTATAAATATATAGTATTGTGTGTGGCCCTGCAATGGACTGGCGGACTGTCCAGGGTGTACCCCGCCTCTCGCCCATTGACCACTGGGATAGGCTCCAGTTCTCCCCACGACCCCATCAGGCAATAAGCGTGAACGATAATGGATGGATGGATGGATGGATGGATGGATGGATGGATGTAAATATATATATACAGGTTGAGCTACTTTCATTCAAAGATAAACATTTAAAATGTATTACTTGATCACTGAGAGGAAAGGTCAGGGCAAGAAAATTTAATAGGTAAAGCATTTTCCTTTATCTGTCACAATAAATTGTGAATGGTGAAGTATTTCTTCACAATGGGTTTATCAATAAAAGCGTTTCATAACTTAATGCTCATAGAGCATTGTTCCACTTGACTTAATCACTGCTAAAAAAAAAAAGAAATAAATCTTTCCCAACCACAGATGCCTACACATGATGGCAAGATTAATGACTTGAAGTGAGAGGATTTATCTCTCACGACAGCTCATGCACTATTAAGCACAGTACAAATACAGCCAGTGTGTTCCGCAACCCCTTATATTCATGTGCCTCACACCGAAAACAGAACAGGAAGTCATGCTGCTGAGATGATTTTCTTCATTTTTATTATCCTATCCTGTTAGACAAAGTATGTGAAAGGGGTTTTATCAATGGGCATACAGCTTTACAAAAGTAGAAATCTGCAATGAAATCTGTAATACCCATGATCAATGTCACCCTGTGGTACTCTTCTGTAAATTTTATCGAATGCAAACTTGTACAAATATATAAAAACTGTAGATAAATGTGACTGGCCTGATTTGGCATGGGGAGCCAAGAACCCTTTTTCAATGGGAGAAAGCCCATATGATTCGCCAAAATAAAATGCATAAGCCCTCAATTTTATCTTTCTGAATATCTCTAAAAATAGTGGATGAATTACAATGAGTTGAAGTAGAAACTTCTGTTAGATATATAAGATAGAGCGGGGTTATCATCACTTCAACAAGGGATCCCAGTCATTTCGCGACACACACCAAAACCAGTCCAAACAAAACAAACGACCATTTAACTCAACACGCAGGTTTTTTGGATGGTGGAAGGAAGCCAGAGTGACCGGAGAAAGCCCACGCCCACACACAATGAACATTCAAATAGTCTAAACAGGATTTGGAACAGGAACCCTTTCCTGCAAGCCACAGTGCTAACCACCACACCACAATGTACCCTCTAGTAGTAATATATGCAAACTAGAACAATTTCTCTCCACTCTGACGTTATCGGAGTTTTATCAATACTAGACTAATTTCCTCTGTATAAAAGGCCAGTAAACTGAAGAAAGTGCAATGGTCAAAGCAAATCATATTAACGCTATCATTTTGGAAACCTTCCCTTTATCTGTGCTGTAGTTGAATTGTAATTTTGGCTTGAAAATATCGATTTCCTTCACATGCTCTTATCTGGGCCTTTTATGATGGCAACACATGGTCTATTCGTTTTCATTTTCAGTACAAGAAACCTCTGGTAGGCATCTGTTGTCACAGAGTTTTGATTTTAAGTTCTTCTTTTATTTGAGTTTTTGTAGTAAAACTGAAGAAATTGGACTTCTAAATAACCTAATTGAAACCTTTGTGTGTGTACCAGAACTACTAAAACCTCAGACCTATCTGAAATCTGCCTCTTTATTTCCTGCTTTCGTAAGGGCTGTGTTGCATTCATCCGTCGTAGTTATAAAAAGAATACCATTATGCTGATTTCGTTAACTCTGTGTACTGTCAATCAATCAAATTTTGGCAATCCCAAGTTTTTGGCCGCTGGATCAGACTCTTCATAATTGATTTCATTGTGATTGAAATTCCTAACATAGTCATAAAGTAAAAGTGAGAAAGAGCCACAGAGCACATGCAGACCCTTACCTGAGGTCCATAACAAACATGAATAAGATCTATCTGTAAAATGTTTTTTGTTCAAGGAATAGTAGTTTTTCAACTTATCTCTGCTGCTCATGGTTCCAGCTTTCTTTTAATATCCAGTATTGCATGCATGTATTGATACATGCACATTGTTTCTAAAAGTTCATTCCTGCAGAAATCTTAACTTGTATTTTAATTGCACGGTAACAGCTACCATTCCAGCTTTTAACACAAAAACTACACAGTCTGACTACGTGCATGCACCGTATGGCTGTTTTTGTTTCATTTTGTATAATTCTATACATTTATTTTCCGTGTGAACAATTTCAGTGTGACTTGTGTTAAACGGTCTCCCTTCCTGTTCACTGTTTGAAATGAAAGCTGTTTAGTCTGTCTGCTTGTGTTTTCTGTCTGTTTGTTCTCTCATGCTCTTGTTTCCCACATACTACTAATGACATTTTTTTTAAATTAGTATCTTACTCCTAAACTGTTGTCAGCTATAGTCTGTGACTTTGTTGAACGGTCTTGGACTAGAAAAACTATTACCAAACTGTTCCAGGTACCTCTAGAGAAGACGGAAAGCACTTACTGAACACGACAATTCTTTCTTTCAGTCAAACATAATGGCAATCTGCAGCATCAGAAGTGTTCATACTCTTTCATCTGCGGTGATCTGCAGTCAAGCAGGGAGGTCCAAATGCTTGATATATTAAGCATAAAAAAACACATTGCCTAAATTTGAAAGGAAAGTGTGAAGTACAATTTAAAAAAAAATTACAATAAAAACACTTGGAACTAAAAATAAATCAAAAGTCATTTGGATGGATGCAACAAAAGCTGATTATTTGTACGCCAACGACAAGCTGCACTTTTAAACAAAAGAATTTGCACCACATTGCACATGCAATGTAGGTAAAGCAACCCATCAAAGTGTGATACTGACCAGCTCTCTACAGTTGACCTATTTTTACAGGTTCTCACATATCTGACAAAAGGGCATAACAGATATCTCTATTTCAAGGTACAGGTTTCAGTGAAGCCTGCAGCCCCTGCATATCAGTACCACTGGGCTTTGGTCTGTAAGTTTCCTGTCACAGACCAGAATCTTTGATGTGGTATTTTTTCAGCGCAGAACAGTCTATTAATGCAGTGACCAGCAAATGATGCTGGAGGGAGAGAAAACCCTGCACAGCATGTACAAGTACATCGCATCACGCATACACGCAAATATCCAACGGCTGTCCTAATTTTTTTCCCCCTGTCTCAATCACACATTTATTAGATTGTAAAATCACCACGTGGTTTGTGTTTTGCATGAAAACCTACATTCTCTGTGCAAGGACAACATGTGGAAAATGTGAGGTTATATAACCTCAATCATGTCATGGACAAACTGTGAACAAGTTTTAACAAAGATGTGGCTTAATCAAGAGAAAGTTGCCCTATTTTATCATGATCAGCAAACCATTTAGCAGTGTAATCAATGCACCAATGAGAGACCTAAAGAGGAGGGACTGTAAAGAGATTAGAGGAAACCACCTTGTCTCACAGTCTAACCTATGGCACAAAAGAAATGTCACTTTACTTGTCTCTTCACAGTCATGATGCAAGGTAGCTTGTCGCGCTTCAAGGAAAATATTCAGTCAGCCCCCGGTAAGTGTGTTATTCATGCAGATTACTGCTCCTCTGGTTCCATAGACTTGAAACCACAAGAAGAAACACTGTAACATATCTTGTTGTTTACAGTGTCTTCCTTGCTGTAGTGTAAGCACAACCTAGCATTGTGCTGACGGGCTCTTTTTTAACCCACAGAGCCTTCAAATGAGGTTTCTTCTTTGACTTCTGTCATCTATTTGTGAAATGCGCAGTTAAAAGGATGTGTAAATCTGACAAATGCATGCAAGGTTTTCCCCTGTGTTAGCGCCTAGATTCTACAGTACAGTGAGTGACTGGAGTTCAAGCTGGCTAATTAAGTCACAGCACATCAACAAGTTGGATTGAAATTATTGCAAGTCAGCTTTTTGTGAAATCACACATATATATATATATACACAAACTCTATAATCCCACTGTAAACAAAGACAGCTGTTCTGACTAAACTCTAAACTAAGAAAGTACATTCTCAAAGGCATAGTGCTTCAGATTGGCAGCATGACATGTATGAATGAAAAACAAAAGTAAAAAAATGAAAAAGATGCAACATTGATACAACAGCGCATTTCTGCAGTGTGGGAGATCTTTTTAACTGAATGACAATCTAAAAACTATTTCTATAATGTCTCCCAAAAATAAGAGAAGCTTAAAAAACTGTTTGAAAAAACGTAATATAACAGCAAGGCCTTAGTATCATTCCTATTATGACTGAACATACTTCAGCATACAATTACCTTTTTAATAACAGTTTTATCAACATTATTCATCACAAAATCTTTGTAAAAGGCCGTATTAATGCTTTTTTACCTATTAATTCCTTTATAGTTTTATTATGACTATTCGCTTTATTCGTTCAATTTGTATTAGTGATGATAGCTGTTATTACTGACGTTTGGGCATTTTTTATGAAGTGATTTATCTATAAAATGCAGAGAATATGCTAAAGCTGTTTCAATTCATATTGTTCACATTTTGTAGTAATTTATAAAAAGATGATTTAAGGTTAGCTGGTAACGGTTTTGATTAGGTTACGTGAAACTGATTGTAGCCGTAAATTTCGTAGCAACAAGATCGTCGCTTTATCATCATGTACGCAGATGATACACTTCAGTTAATTCATTCATGTTTGACTTGCAGGATCATTTCACTCAAATTCACTTAATTCAATAAAATATTTTCTTTTACATTTACTTTTCCACTATTTCCTTCCTTTTACGTCAAGCACACGCTTAAGTGAAACTCAAAGGTTGCCTTCTGTACCCAGAATACAGTAAATATAAGAGAGTTGAGCTGCTTTACTGTAACTTTCACACGTAGTGATACAAGTCTGGATTGCAATCGGTACCTCATTAAATATGCAGCATTACAAGATGAAGATGAAAAATCACGAGTGATCATCATTGCGTTGCAAAATGCAACATGATGCACATTTAATAGTATTTCTTTATCATTCTGAGTGCAATAATTGGGAGCTATTTGACGTAACTTGTAAAGTCTCTCAGCAAATCATATGATTGCCAGAAATGCCACGGAAAAATCTTTACCTGGTGTGTACATTTTTTTCTATTCTTTAAATATTAAATATTGGAGAAGTTCCTTTTCTAATATTTACAACTTTTACACTCACATTGCAGAAAAAAGTCCATGTTAAGCATTTAATTTAAAGCTTACAGTACTTCTGACCTCTGATCCAGAAGTCAACCACACACTGTATAATCATAAAAGTTCATTATATCTTCAGACAGTGTGAAGGTGACAACTTCTCAGGCATCCAGTAGAACGATCTTACAGCGACAGCATTTTCATTCATGTATTCTCAATATTAGGTGTAAAATTCCAAATATTTCTGTACCATACTTAGATATTTACATATTCCACCTCCACACGCTCTTGCAGCTAATTTTTATAACACATAAATTCAGCCCGGTGCTATTGACAGTCAAGCTTTACTTGTGTTTTCTTGTGTGTACAGTCATTAGTCATGGTTTCATATACTGCTAGAGCTTTGTGGCTTTAGAGTGTTTTTGCACTCTGTAAATATCAAAGCTATCAAATAACAGTGTGCATCTCCATTTATCAGCAAGACATTCCAACATTATCACTTCCATGGTTTAACTTTAAAAAGTTATTTTTGCATAATGTATAAACCCGTGTTAATTTGTTCCTTTTGCATAACCCCCTTGATGCAAAAAAAAAGAGCAAATATGAATTGTAACCATGTAATAGAGTCCACTTGGTTACATTCTGCCCCCTCAATTCCCAAAGCGTACATGCTGGTCTCTGCTGTTCACTGATTCAGAAAGTAATTTTCCTATTTTTGAAATTGAACTCCCCAGTGTGTGGGCATATTCTGATAGGATCTCACACTGTTTTGTTTTTTTTTGTTTTCACAGATCTTTGAAAACATTTCTAGAAATTTTCTAGAAACAGACATGATCAGAATCAACAACCCCCAGTACTTCCACTTTCTGCAGCAGGCCGACGCCCTGCGTCACTCGGGATCGCTGTGTGACGCCATCATCTCGGTGAAGAGGCAAACGTTCCGGGCCCATCGGTTGGTCTTAGCCTGCGCTAGCAGAACCTTAGCACAGCAGCTTGCCCAGCGAGATGCGGACAGCCCCGTTCACTGCACTCTCGACTATTTCTCACCCCACACCTTCCAGCAAGTTCTGGACTTCACATACACCCAAGCTCTTGAGGTGCCTGTGAAGGACCTGCAGCAGCTGCTGAGAGCTGCTCAGCTCTTAGAGATGCAGCCCCTGGAGGAGCAGTGCCGGAGGCAGCTGGGCATTATATCCAAAAGAGAACAGGATGGAAGTGGTGAAATTACAGATTTAGAGGAGAAGAAATGTTTAAAAGACAATGATACGAAGCACACAGGAGCTCCAGTTCCTGAAGACCAAGAGGCATCGCCACCAGAAGATGCAAGCGCTAGCACAGTTGTTGACAATCTTTCTCCAATCGATCCTAATAGCCAGAACAGCCCAAAACCTTCGAGTAACAAGGCAAGAGTGTCCCCGCCGAAAAGCGCATACTGCAGCAGAGATAGTGTTATCACCAGGCCCACCTCCAGCACTTCATCTTTTTACCCTTCTTGGGCTTTCCCTGTAAATATGTGGGAATCTGAGATGCACATGAACGCCCTGAGGCGGATTGCGGAAAACTATTCAAACTTAATGGCAGCTCATCCACTTCAGTCCTCAAACCCTTCCGTAGTATATCCATTCTCCCTCTCCTCTCCACCCATGTTCCCTCTGTTGAGTCCCCAATGTCAAACTCCACCTCAGAGCTCCGCAATCAATTACTCAGGCTTCCATCCCCGTTACTCGCCAGACCTTTACAATGAAACCCCGCGGATTGGTAGCTTGATCAAGAATAGCCTGCTAAAGAGAAAGAAATCAAGCCAGCGAAGATTTACTGGGACTCTTCAAAGTAAGCAAAGGTAAGTCAGAGCTCTGACATGATTTTGGAAACTATTTTCACTCATTGTCTCCATGTTTTTCCCTTTAACAGAGTCATTTAGAACCACCTAATTTGCTCAGTTGTTCCTTTGCGACAGCAGCAGTGCTTGACTCACTGCTTCTTTGGTAGATATGTGCGTGATCAAGCCTCCTGCACTTTCCAGCTGCATCAGTTTCACCTGTTAACCCTTCCCTGCCAGCCCAAGGCTATCAAGCCTGTTTTTAAGATGCCAAATTCAAACTATTTTTTATCAACAGTAGGACAAAATCAATGTATTTTTCCCTACTGCTGTTTTTTCCACTGATTTGCAAAACAGTCATTGCTTGCTATGATTGCTGAAGAAATAACAGATTTCAAAATCTATTCAACTTCATCGACATTGCCTGATTCTTCGGAGTCTTCCACAAAGTCAAAACAGACAAGGGGAATCCCCTAAATTTCTCCCCCTCATTTGCAGAATTTAAGATTTTACACCCACAGAAACATACTTTCAGTGATACGAGTGGCCATTTCTGCACCACAAAAAATGTTCAAAACACTCACATTCCCCAACAAAATGAGGCGGCAACAAATATCTAAGGGCAAAAATGACATTTTCCGTGCACTTTTTTTGCCTTTAAAAAAAAAAAAAGTTATTAAAAGATTTGTTATCTTTATAGTTCTTTAGGAAAGGGTGACTTTGGCGTTCATGCAACTATTTAAAACTATTTAGCTCAATTGTAACGGTAATAATTTCAATAAATGTTCAATATGTAAAATGTGCTTCTGGCAGTTACCCTGAGGGGCCCAAAGCTCGCACAGAGAGAGCTGAAGACTGCCAGCACTGCAGCGCAAGACTGCCTGACGATCCAGTGCTGCAGGAGTCAGCCGCCGCGCAGTTAGGTAATGACACGATTCTGAGGAATGGAAAATGTGTGTGTGTGTGTGTTTGTTTTTTTGATTGTTTTTTGTATCTCTCAGCTCGTTTAACACAATGTTAAATCGACGATCTCATTAAGAATAGATCATTTTAACTAGATAGTAAAGACAGTTTTTCTCTGCGACCCTTAACCTTGACAGGCTCCAGCTACGTATCTACGCAATGGAAAGTGATAAAGAGAGTTGTGGTTTTGAAAGCATGGTGCAACAGGAGCAGTGGTGTGGTTACTAGATACAGCTAGATACATGCAGTACAGTATGTACTGCAGTGAAAAAGTGGTTTGTCCTACACCAAAAGAAGTCAAACATATTGGCGTGTTCTGATCAATCTTCCAAATTCAATGAAACACTAAATTAAGCAACTCCAAAAGGCTGTGTGAGTGTGGATCTGCGTGAAAGTGAGCTCATGTGTGTACATAATGCTGATTAACACGTTAACCAATCTCAAATATCTGTGTTCAATGGAGCATTAGTTTAGCACCACAGCTGACATGACGCATATGTTTCAGTAAAGAAAATAACTGGCAGAGGACTTTCTCTGGGATGACATCGAGCATAATAAAATGTTTGCTTTAAAGTGAGACCTTCAGTTGTGCGTTGAACAGGAAATGCATGAATGACAACAGGTCTAAGGAGGTCTTGTTTATAGTGCTGTCTCCGATTGTTGTGGTTTATTCTCCCCTGTTTTTTTTTCTCACCCTACTAAAGTTAAACCCCTTTATATTAAAGCATCTTGTATATAGGGTACCACAGAGGACACATTTTCGGGTCCTCTGTGGTAGCCTTCAAAATGCTCAATTTTAAAAAAGCTTCGCAGTTTCTACCTTAACCTCAAAATCACACCTATGTCATTTTTAGAGGAGAGACGTATGCAGGCTGACAGGAAAGTAAGTCTATACACACCGAATCTATTGTGTTGCAACAGGATGCCAAACAAAAAAAAGACTGCTGCTGAATACACTGTGTAGAAAAAAACAACTTTTGCATCAAAATGTACTTTTTTTCAGAAAGCTCAGGTAAAGGAGGTTTGATGCTATTGAATGGCACTTGCTGAGTGTTTCTGTAACTTTTGAATTTGGATGGCTCTTAAGAAGCACCGTGGTTTTGCGTTGGTCAAGTTTACTATACATTTTAGTAATTTGTAAAAAATTGAACCAAACGTCCTACAACAGGTTTATTATTGAATTATTGAATTGATTTTCTGTGCAGTATATTCATGGCTTCTTCATACAGTTATTTTTCATCAATCAACTTGTTTTTGGTAGAGGTGTGGTGCCGTATCATTGTACAATGACAGAACCATGTGGATTCAACAAGCCAGGCCTCGTTGGACCTGTGGACCAAAAGATTTACATCTTTTCTTGTTTTTCTCATTTTATGTCCTTAGGTAAAAGCTGTGCAGGTTGTCCATTTTGTGGAAAAGGTTACTTAGCACCACATGAGACAGAGACCAGAGAGGACCACCGAGGAGAAAAGCCATACCAGTGCCAGCACTGTTCCAAGCAGTTCAGTCTGAAACATCAACTGGACACACACCTCCGTGTTCACACTGGTAGGTGGTACACACTGCTTAATCTGCAAGGAACCATTGTGCCCCAACTAGGAGATACTTCCACTGGGATCATTGTCAGTTCATGTCTAATAACTTGTTATTCCAACAAGATATGTAAAAATGGTGGTCAAATGTCAGTGTAAACCCACTTAGAAAGTAAAGTTGGACAGAACAAGACAAAACTCTCTCCTCTACATAGCAGAAGCATTTGGGTGCTTGAGAATAGAAAAAATAACAACAATAGGACTCGGCTGTTTATGCATTTTGGAGGAAAATCTGTCAATTAACAATGCCTGCTTTATTAGGAGTGAATAGGAGTGAACTTGAAAGTTTATTGCTTGACAGTTTGAAAGCGGCATAAGCACTTAGATGTGAAAAAATGCAAGCAGTAAAAACACATGAGAATTAGTTCATACCAATGTCCACAGAGACATGGTTAAACATAGTGTTTCAGTGCTGGGTCTCAGGGTACTTCACTCTAACATCAATTGTCCATAGTTGTTTGAAATTATTAAAGTTAATTTTCAATGCAACTTAAAACGATGAAAAATGCATTTTCTCTTTATGAGAATAAAAGTTCTGTGTCACTTTTTTTTTTCTTTGGCAAACAAAGAAGCAAAGTGACTCAGTGGAATATTGATGAAAGAAATGCAGATTTACTTGATTTGCATACATGTGGCCCACTTTAGATTATTTCACTCACTTGAACTATTTGTCTCTGATTCAGGAAAACCTCCAAAAAAAAAAAAAAAAAAAGGGTTTTGGCTATTTTTGTGATTAAAAATGTGTGTACCATAATCATTTAGTAATGGCATGAATATGAGACCCTGTCCTAACAGCACTCTCTACAATATATAAGGTCTTCCTTCCTGTGCCTTGTGTCTGCTTCTAGGAGAGAAACCGTTTGAGTGTCGACTCTGTGGTCAGCGCTCACGTGACTACTCAGCCATGATAAAGCACCTGCGGACGCACGGTGGGGCTGCTCCCTACCAGTGTACCGTGTGCCTAGAGTTCTGCAGCAGCCTGGTTGCAATGCAGAGACATGTCAAGACCCATGCAGTGCAGGACTTTCCCCCCGACTGGAGCATCAATAACACCTACCTGTACATCTCACACATCTGAACCGTCTACCCAAAGTCAGCAAAGGCCTAGCTTTAGTTTTAGGCTGTCCTTCTCATGACCCAGTTACATCAAAGACAAAGAGTTAAGAACATGTTTTATGTTAAGGTATATACATGGTGAATGGTCTCCAGAAGTTTAAAATCCATTGAGTGAGTTGTTATCCATAATATTGGGGTTGGGGTTGTAGCATTCGCAGCTATACATACTGAAACTGTCCTGTTTTTGCAATCATAACAATCGGACAGGGCTATGCAGCACTAATCTCCACAGAAATTAAGTGTTTTTAAAGTGTTTACCATGCACTAAAGGCAAATCAACAGCTCATCCTCATTGCATGACGCAATAATCAACCCTCTGACTTTCACAATTATTGGACTGCCTGTGTGAGCGCAAAAAGAGTGATCTGGGATTATAGCACCCTCATGAGGACAAACAGCAGTTATTTCTGCAGTTTTGTTCTGCCATTTTGTGGTGAAAAAACTAGCAGAAATGGCATAAATGGATCAACTTTCTATCATGATTATGTTTGCTTAATGAAAGCCTTGTGAATTAATTGTATACTTTAAAAATGCCCCGTGTTCACTAAAACCAGCTTGAAATCTCTTCCCTGTGTGCTCCTCTTTGTTTGGAAGGAATTTGAATTGGAGAATAATGCAGCCTTTGCAGCTATGTTTTTCAAACTAGTGAGAAGTTCAGTGCTTTTGTTCTTTAATTTGTGGATGTCTCACAATTTGTCATTTCAAAAGCACAAATGTCTATTCAGCCATTCTCCAAACTGCTTTCAGAGTTGTAAATACTAGTCCTCAACACAAAAAGTTATTCAGCAGTCGACACACATTGCAAAAGGAGTAATGTCAATCATCTTTGTTCTCAGTTTGTTGCACTAAAAAATATTCCCAGATTTCTCAATAAGTCAATGAATCAATCCTTTATTTGTTTTCCATCTGTAGTCTCAAATTTGACATATCATGTCACATCAAATAAAAAATGCTTGCAAATCCATCCATCCATTGTCTATAACTGTTATGAACAGGTCACCAGTCAGCTTGCAAATCCTTTTTTTGGCAATTTTTGTAAATTCCCTGGCTAATGGAATTATTTGTTTATGCACAGTATTGGGTACAAGCAAAGAGGATGCATTTCTTTATGAAATCCTATTACAATATTACAGAGTTTTAAAAATGTGATGAACTTGCAGACCTTCCATAAAATAAGTGAGGGGACCTATTGCTTTTCCGATGCACAGACTTTTCAAGCTTACATCTTTGTCTGTTGTGAGCCAGGGAAAACTTAACTGTTGCACTTCTTTACTTAGACAACAACGGATGAAACACTCTCATCTTTCATTCATGCTAAATCAACAGTCTGAAATATTTTTTGAAAAAAACTCCAAAAACTGTGAAATGGTAAATTTGTGATAATTGCATCAAAGACTGGTGATGTGTGTTTGTGTGAGTGGGTGACTGAGATGTTTGAGAGGTTGCTTTGCCAATGTTGCTGAATACTGGCAAAGCATGTAAAGTGCTCAATCGATGTCATTCACTCAAAATGTCTATGTGATCCATCATCAGATCCTGCTCTTCTCTGCACTCGTTTCATTTTCGTTCCCCTCGGGTATTCTCTCCTCCTGAATGCTACCGGTAGTGAATCCTCTGTGGGATGGGGACTTCTCTCTGTCCTCCATTCCTCCAGTTTCCTCCTCCCAAGCGTCACAGTCTTTGCAGCCTTTATAGCTTTGGGCTTTATAGTCAACCAGAGCCATTAACCGGTGTGCTTGGCTAGCGCTGCAGTTAGGCAGTGGGACTCGGTAGGTGGTGTGGAACCGACGCAGATCCACTCTGAATGAGCCCTTCTCCTGCGTCATACACGGTTCGAAGCGAGCCCCCCACTCAATCTCTGTTTCAATATAGGACGTTTTGGCTTGGCACATCATCCCTGTTAACACAAATGAAAAAAAGGGAGCTTTAAGTTTCAGAGCTGACAAACGTCACTACTTCGAAAATGCAGTACAATTCCATTTCCACATGATGTCCCCAGATCGTTTAATCCAGTATTAGCCAATAGATCGTTTAACAGACATTTGTTTATTTCTAATAAGAAATATACCAGTTATTCAAATGAACAGTGGCTCTGCTCTTCTCTCTTTGTTCTACATTGTGACAAAGACCAAAGACCATGAAACTAAAAACGTCATTCCCTTGGAATGTACTTTGTTCCACTGTGAGTCTGTAACAGTTGGGTAACATTTTCATTAGAAGATAGCCAATGTTTTGGTTCTTCTATAAAAGGATTTGCCTTCGTGACTACTCTCAATGTCCTAGACATAATATTGACATGGTCAAGGCTGAAGTCACAAAAAAACAAAGTGTTTCTAAGTATAACATGTTCAGTTGGGGATTCAGTTGTCATGAGTTGTTTGTTATTTTGTGGAAATTTTTTCTGTGGAATTATGTTATATTTCCATTTTCAGTTTATCTTGTTGCTTTGGTTTTTTGTTATGTTTGGTTGGTTTTGCGCTTCTTTTTCCTTTTGAGTTTCTTGAGTTTTTCTTGATCATTCTCCTGTTTGTATGTTCTCAGTTTGTTTTCTTTCACGTATTTTCAGTTTTACGTCTGTTTCCTGTTAATCACTGGTAGTTCTTTAATTCCCCTCAAGCCCACTCATCAGCTTTCCCAGCGGTGTCGTCAGTTGGGGTTTTTTGACCTGTCTCCATGCGGTCTTGTCATTTCCTGTTTTATTTTGATAAGTATCCCTCCTCCCATTTCAGGTCATTTGCACTCCCCTGTGTGTCATCTGTCCAATTGTCTTCCCTGATCACTAATTGTGTCAATCTGGAGTTCCTTTCCCTTCATGTGTTAAATAGTCTGCCTTTCCCCTTGTCTTGTGCCAGTGTGTTCCGCCCTACGTCCTACACTGAGCTGAACCAAACCATAGTTATGCTTGCCTTGCACTTCAACCTTGTTTATTCCTCTTGTGAGTGATTTTGACTTCATACTTCTTAGTTTTTCGTTCTTGCCATTGAGTGAGTATTGATTTTTTGCCTGCCTTGATTCGAGTGATCTTTATTTGTAACTTTTTTTACTCTGTCCTCTTTTGAGTGATTATTATTTTGTACTCCCTCCGAGTGTGTTTTGATTCATATTAAAGTGTTTGACTACTATCTCCATGTCTGAGTCCTGCCTTGAGTACCATTCTGACATCAGCTTACATCCCTTCAATTTTTTTCTCCTTCATATCTAAAGAAAATTATAATGCATACACAAACAATGTGAATATGTTAACAGACACGATCCGTATTGTATAGTAAATTAGTATAGTGGCAGGATTTTACCGCAGCAGTTAAGTCATAAATTGCTTCTAAAACCCTTGGTTTGCTTTCACTGGATTACTTTGGGCCATCATCTATCAATGGTGTGTTGTGGTGTTTTTGCAGTCCTTCAGAATTAGATTTGGTTTAAGCTTGATTTTAAGGTCTGTAAGGTCTGTAAGACAACAATTTATCAAAACTCAGAAGAATTTCTGAATGTCTGACTCACTACATAAACATTTTCTTATGACCAAGATGGAAGGTATCTTAATACTCAGCCGGAAAATGATCATTTGGTTGACATTAGTCAGGGTCCTACGGAAGAGGATCAGGCCAACTGAGGACAAATAAAATTGAATTTTAAGAAAAAATATTAAAATCTGACTTTTTGCCCAGAATTCTCACTTTTTGTCAGAAATTAACAAAAATAGTCAGAATTCTGAGATTTAAGTCAGAGTACCGTAATTACTTTTTTCTCTAAATAAAATCTTTATTTTCTTTGGTGGCCCTAATCCTCTTACAATTATTTTTACATTCTGATGGATTTTATTTCTATGAGCCTGATCAACACTGTAAATACAATATTTTATTCAATGATCACTGCAAAAAGTAGCAACACATTCAATTCAGGAGGTAAGGGAGATACTCCAGATATCCCTTAACTTCTGTCGCAGTTTATTTCTCTGACTACTACAATTAGCCTTAGGGATACTACTTTTACTTACCTGTGGCCTCAACAATTCCCTCCAAAATAACAATTATCTCAAATTGTTGTCTTCTAAGTTGCTCAGGACCCAGTTCCCATAGCGGACTGTTAGCATCAATATTGTGCTGAATGACCTGAGGTTCCACAAGGAAGAGTCTGTCTGACCCAGTTTCATATCCCAGGTCAATCTCTGTCTGCTCGAGGGGTAAGAATTCCCCCTCAGCAGTTTGGCGGGACTTGATTAATTTTGCACGAACTTTTGCGTCCACCATGTGGCTATCTCTCAAGTCTCCCAGTCGAAACATCAAACACAACTGGTCATCGCGGTTTGCAATAACGCAGGTGCGACTGAAAAGAAGTGTCTCAGCGCGCTTCTTAGGACGAGATATCTTCACAAACATGCAGCCCACCATCAGGGCATCTATCATGGACCCAACAATGCACTGCATCATAACCAGCAGCACGGCTTCGTGGCAGGTGGGGGACACAGTGCGAGATCCATAACCGATGGTACGCTGCGTCTCCACAGAGAAGAGCAGCGCTGAAATAAAGCCTTCCACCCCTAAATAGCAAGGCTTTTGCTCTACAAGTCCGTTATCAGAGATGCTGAAGGATGGCTGTTGACCTAGGTCGCCTCGAAAATATGCGTTCATGTAGTAGAGCCCAGCAAATACGAACCAAGTGACAATGTAGCACATCATGAACACAAACAGGAACCAGCGGTACTGGAGATCCACAAAAGAGGTAAAGATATCAGAGAGGAAACGCCCCCTCTCAGATATGTGGCATAGATTGACACGGCACTTTCCATCCTTTGACACATAACGAAGTTGTTCTCTCGTCTCTCGAGGAAGTGTGGGTGTCTGGTTGCTTTCGCTCTCAAGAAGTTTGCTCCGGGCCTTGGCAAGCCTCTCCACGTCTCTAGCAGGGCTGGATATGCTGCTGCGTGCCGGTGAGAGAGGGCAGCTGTGGAGGGGACTGCTGTTGGACAGACGGAGGGGGCTGGTGGGGCCCATGTTGGGTACGCTGAGGGCATGGCGGCGGAAGCATTGAACATTGTTGGCCTCTCTCAGTGAACAGCGGCGCCAGGGAGAGTCCTTCCCACCCAGAACATCAGGAGCAGAAGGTGAAAGTAAGCAAATGTTGGCAGGATATGACATATCTGCGGTACTTTTGTGGTGTTTCTTGGATGTTGTATGCTCAGGAAAAGGCCCCATTGCGGTTTCAGTCAGCGGAGGCCCATCTGTTTCTGTCTGGAAAAAAAAAGAAAAATTATTGTTTTAGCAACCCACAGCCTTGGTGACTGCACTCTAAGTCATGCGCAGGTCTGTTGAATTTGTACAGCCTAGTATTTTGTTTTAATTGGCCTATTACTATGTTCAAATGTGCTGTAACAGAAAATTGTTTTAAAAAAAAGTCACGGAACAAAACAAAAAAAAATCTTGTGATATGAGACCCAAAGTATGAACCAGATAGTAAATTTTGTTTTTGAAAAAGTCATTTTTAGTATTGATAATTACATTGACGAAAAATGATTTAATCAAACGTGTTGATTACACATTAACATTTAGAAAATAAAAATGAATAAAAGGACATTTCAATCAATGCCTTACATTTATTGAGTAGCTCTCACAGTGAATTTTCTCTCCTGATGGTGTGGAATGAACTACCATAATAGATTTTGGTAGATAAGTCAGTGATGTCCGTTGTCCTATAGTCCCATCTTGGGTGGTTGCAGAAAGCCCCATGTCTCCAAGGTCCACTGGGGTCCCACTGGGTCTAGGACACTCTTTGATTCCCACTTTGCAGTATCCTCTGGCACCTGGATCCATTACAGAAATGGAAAGTGAGAAAACGCAAGCAGCAGAGCCTGGTTATTACCAGTCACAGGATTTAAAGGATGTCCTTTGGAAGCAATGTTTTAAGACTGCATCCTCTTAAAACATCCAGTGACACTCTGTGGGCAGTGCTTACAGGTCCAGCTTTAGGGATATAGCCTGTCCAGCTGAAGCTAAGCCCCATCATCCTGCTGCCTCAGCAGTACTACCACTGCATCCGGCACAGTAGGGGGGGCGAGCTCAGGACAGATTGACAAAGTTGTCTTGACTTTAAAATGAGAAGGAACATTTCAATATGTAACTGAGAGGAAACAACAAAGTCGTATTTTTTCCTTTCCCCGACAGGCAACCTCACTTCATTACAGATTGTTAATCGCAGAAGTAAGATCATTACATAAAAGACACAAAAGTATTTTCACAGTCTAAGTGGTTTTGTCTCATGTCCCTAGGCTTATTTTTTCTTAGGTCTACTGCTTGCATGGCCAATTGTGTGCAGTACGATTAAAATAAAGATACTTTTAACATGAGAGGTTGATTCATTTGGGGAAGTTTAGTTTGTCATGACACACAAAAAGCATTCAGTTGGATATAACGCGAGGAAATGTCTTAATCACGACGTATGTGTCATATCAAAACATTTCCACATACTTGAGCCATCAACGAATAAAACATCTTGAGCAAAAAGGGCAATTAACAGAAATGGACTTTTAATGGGTTTCTTCCTGTTTAAAAGTTTCATTTATATGACACGTGAGTCATTCATGAAAAAGGGCTCCATATGTTTAGGTTGATGGGCCTTTTCACATGGGTTGTGCCTCCGTGTTGCCTTAAAGATGCCCTGTTTTATGTAGTCTCCACATGCCAAATAGAGGAGACAGCCCTGCATTAGTATAAACGCTCACAAGTCAAGCCAGCAAAAAAAAATCAGCTGCATCATTGGTTAGAGAGAGTGGTTGGTGTGATAAACCAACAGAGACGCTGGCTCCTCTCATGCCGATGTTACCAGACGCTCAGATGCCAGAAGCCAAAGTAGAGGATCAGCTTAAAACTTTAATAAGTCTGTAACACCCTCAAAAGCTCCACCATTGGTTGAATGACATAGCAGTTGGTACCAGACCAGAAGACTTGCTGTGTACTTCAAGAAACCCATATTTTATTCTGAGAGTATTTCCTCTGTTAACAAACCAACCACTAACATTAGTTATCTTTCCAATCCTTGTTGTCTCACCTACACTAACCTACATCTCCTGATGCTATAATGGTTTATAGTAAAATGATCTCTCCACTGTAGTCGATCATCAGTCCCCCTACATGATTAAACATTTTAAATGTGAGTATGGAAAATGGCACTATAAATAAATCTTTGTGCCAGACACCTCTTTTAAATGGGATTCCATAAGTTCCCAAAAATATACAAACATGCTCAGTGTTTATGTTTACAAAAGATGGAATGAAACACTACAGATAGCGTGTGAGTACGTTTGGCATTTTAGTCCTCCTTTGACTTCAATTATTACAGGGTTCCCACGGATTACGAGTGAACTGGAACTAACTTAGGAGAGTCAGATCAAAGTGTCTTTGGTCCTTGCGTTTTTGTTTTTGTATACGTTTTTTGCTGTTTTTAACGCAATATTGGCTGCGTTTAGATATGGGAAATACATTCATTTGGCTGGAATATGGTTGTATTCCTGTTCATTTGACTGTGAGTGACTCCAACAGACCTGCACAATTAAAGGTTCTTGATATCACATCTGTTGTGATTTAAGATCCAGTACAGAAAACGGAATTAAATCCAGCTGAAGTGAATTCGCTCGCTTCTCCACGTCAGACTCCTTTTTGGTGTGTAGTAGGAGTGCGGTTTGCGTAGACTGCACAAGAAGAGCTCATTTCTCGCGGAGGGAAGTGCACGATGGCAACTCTTGGACACTCGGAGAAATGTCTTGATCTAACAACCTACTGGAATAAGTACACACACAAATGCGTCCCGTGTCAATTACAGCCAGGTACGTTACCATATGATATGATATGATATATGATATGATATGACATTATATGATATATTATTGCTCAAATAGGACATGAAGTTACACCCAACTGTGGCAGAGACGATGATAACGGAGTTCACGAGCTCCCCGCATCTCCCTGCAAACAACACACGTTTAACGACGGCAGTAGACCATACTGCCAGCCTTGTTCTTCATGTCAGCCCAATAGTTACAAAGTGGAAAACTGCACTTCAACACGCGACACTCTGTGTAACAGGTAAGAAAACTTTTCAGACAGCCGTCCAGAAGATGTGTCGGGCACCCTGCCCCAAGTCCCGGAGGACCCGGACGCACGGAGGGGCGCGCCTGTTGCGTAACCCGTCTTGAGTGTTTACCGACCAGCAGCCAAAAGAAGATTGAAGTCTACGTGCTTTAAAAAAAACTTTTTAAAAAAGTTTTATTCGACCTCATATGTTTTCTCCAATCCTGTGTCACAATCTGAGTGGATTTTTTGTGCGTTTCCACAGACGCGAGACAACCACAGCTCCATCCACGGTAAGTATAGTAAGGACTGTGGTTCCAGTTTAACGCTTTCCTTTCAGCTTTAGAGTTTATTTCAGCCACGTCCTCATAATCTTAGCCATAAACTCAGCCTTATTCAGAAGCAAAGCCTCTTTTTGTCTTTGTTGGTTAGACTCACGGCTTTTCAAGTAATAATTCATAGGATTGCTTAATTTAAAAAAAGAAAACGTTTTGCTTGTTTTGTTTTTGTCATTTTCCAATCTGAACCAAGAACTAATTCTTAGAAGGAAGCTAATAGAAAAAGAACAATATTAAGTTTTTTGTGCTTTTGTTCAGAATGAAACTCACCAGGAAGCCACCTCAGCTCAACCAGGGATGTCACATGTTTCTGCCACAGTGTGTGAGTCAAAACTCCCTTAATGTTCATCTGATTGAAAGCGCAAGGTTGAGTGCAATACTTACAATTAGATAAATGTAGGAGGCCATCAGGGTATGGTGGTTGTGTGGTAAGTCAGAGATGTCTGCCTCATTGTCTTTTTTTTTCCATGTCGTTGCTAGGGGCTGTTCCGTTAGTTATTTTTGTTATTGCCCTGCTCGCCTTAACTGCTCTCTTCATCGTGAGACGGAAACGAGGTTTGCTTTCTGAAAGTTACATGAGTTTGCTTGCAAAGATTTTTGCATACTGTAAAGATTTTAGCAAGCAAACCAGCGACTTTGAAAACGTATTTTTACTGCAGGCTTACCATTGGTTGGCCAGCAGATACTGATTTAGTCTGTCTTCTCGTTTCACACAGCCCAGCGCAAAACAATGTTTTATATCAGAAGATCATCGTATACAAACGAGGGGTTTTGTACCTCATTTACAGCTTCTAACAATGATCTGGAGGACATTCTCAGTAAGTGGAAATGGGTGTTCCCTCAAACTGTGCTATATCAATCTGATTGGTCAAATTGTACTCTTACATTTTGTCATGTTTGAGTAGATTTTTCCTCATCAGTCTACACACAGCTCCATTGTGGTTGAAATAGTTAGTTTAGGTTTCGTTGGTGGTAATATATTTATTTCATGCTTCAACTCTTCATTCAAACATTTTTTCTTGGCAAAACTATCCTCCAGTGGTCATCATGACTAAAAATGTGTGTATGCAAAGAGATAGAGAAGTTCTGCACCCCCCCCCCATCCTTTTTTGATTCCGTCTGTCTTCATAGGACTTCTCTGTCTTCTCTGTACTGTGACCAGTTAGAAACAATTCTCAGCGAAGAGGAGGAAAAGGAAATTGGTTAGATTCAGCGTGCTCCATTTTGTAACTGGAAACAGAGCAAAAAGCTGTTGAAATAAAAACCAGTCTCTTGGCCAGCCTTGAAGGTTAGAGACTTAAAAACCTGGGGAGGAAATGGGAATGTTTTCAATGTCAACTTCGTACTTAATTTCGCCCATCATTTCACTCTGTCTTTATTTCTGTCTTAACCATTTCAGTTAAAAATAAAAAATAAAGTAGATTGAAAACATCACCAGGTTTGACTATAGGTATACTATTAGTGACAAGATGTCCTACAGTGGGATTTCTCCAAACAAACAGCTGTTTATAGTGTTGAAATATGTTGAAACCACACACTGTAGGACCTTTTATAAGACATGAGTGCTCTTTTCCTGATATGTTCATGGCTATAAATTGCAAAAAAGAATGTGGACAGTTTGAAAGGAGCAGTGGGCTTTTATACATCCTTGTTCCTGCATGAAGTTTCAGCTGTTTATGCTGATCCTCGAGTACCTTCTGATGTTTTGGATCTGTTTTCTCTAGATCTGGACATCCTGTCAGCACCGTTGCAGGCCGTCCTGGATGATCTGGATGTTTTGGAGGAGCTGATCATTTTATTGGATCCAGAAACTGTTGGAATAAAGAACACAAAGAACCTTGCTTCCCAGTGTTCCTTCTCCGCCGCCTGGATTACCTACACCTACTCCATGAAGGATAGCAAAAGTCCCCTCAAAGTTGTGTTGGAAGGGGTCACCAGCAAACATCCCGACTGGACTGTAGGCCACTTGGCAAAGCTGCTGAGACAAATAGAGCGCAATGATGCAGTTGCTGTTCTTGCTAAACTCAAGCCTAAAGGTATGTGCTAGTTGAACCACGGGTTCAATGAACTGATGTGTTAAAAGTCAGAGGAGACATCCTGTAACCCAACCAACCATAGTACGGGGATGTACGCAATAACCAGTTTGATATCCTGTTTCCTGTCACGGTTTAGGCCACACTAGGGATAAGAACAACTTCTAACAACCTACTTATACTGATATTTATGTCACGCCTATATGATCCTGCATCTCCTGCTATTCAATCAGCATTTGAACCAAGTTGAGCCGAACCATCTGGTATGCTTTTATTCAGTGCGGTAACTACCAATGTATAAAAATTAGTGTGAAGAAAAGCATGAAGATTAACCATGTGTGTCACCCAGCAGATAAAAAAGCACCACTGGTGTAACTGACTTTGTTTTTTTTTTACTTCATCCATATACTTTTATTAAATTATTATTTTTTTGTAAAACAATGTTTGTGTTATTGTGATTGGTACTTTTAATTTGAAAATTGTTCCATAGGGGGTCTGAATTGTTCAGTCATCATTTTATTCTACTTCTGCCTTTGGCTCTTACTACATTTCAACAATATCTGGTACCATGTTTGTTGTACTGTACCTGTGAACACACGTGTAATATTTGAAAAAATATGAAGAATAAATACAATATATTTCCCTCAGGGGTTTGATCTGCGTACAGCTATACAATGCATTCACTCAGCCACGCTCAATGAAAATTTGTTCAAACATCTTAACATCTTTATTAAGCAAATAACATTATAAATAAAAAAGTGCATAGAAAATTAAACAGGTTTAGAAATATGTATACAAATATTTACAAACTCAATGTTTATTTGTACATGGTAACAAAGACGTAAATTTAAAGAGCACATATTTTCTCATTTGTCTTTTACACTTTAAAATAACCCTATGATATATATATATATTTATATCTTTATATATATATATATGTGTATATATATATATAACATACAGCTTTCTTAACAGATCCTGGGAGAGATGGTAATGGTGACTTCAGCTTTTGACTAGTGCTTCTGCATCGTTCATTGCATGCACGCTCACAGACACACACACACACAACAAAAACAAAAAAAGTGCACGCACACACACACAGACCAGGATATTAAAACCAAGGTGTTTCATATCATCGTCCTTTTGTTTTGCATCAGTATTCCCAAATATCTGTCTAAACAGCTGAGGTAGAATCCTTGCGAGAAGTTGGGAGTGACTGCTCGTTTTGTCAGCTAAATGATTGACACAATTTAAATCTGGGCTCCATCCCTGTGATTGGACATGCAAAAGGGAAAAGGGGATTATGAAAAAAAGAAAGAAAAAAAAAGAAAGATAAAACATAATTTGCTCTGTTAAGTTCTGGGGAAAAGGGGGATGAAAAAAGATGATGGGCTTGAGTAGGTGAACAGTGCTCTCTTCACTCCTGTGGCTGATTCTAAGACCGTCAATAATCGACACTTTAAAAGATTTAAATACAAAATAAAAAAAACGAAATAAAAAATGCTTCTTTAAAAAAATATATATACCTGCTTCAGAACAAGTTCTGTCATCAAGGCTTATACGTATGACACAACGGCCGAAACAAAAAAAATTCAAGTAAATTAGTGACACAAATCATCTGTAAACAAAGAACGCAAAAAGAGGGGGAATCCGCTAATACACTAGACCGCCACCAATTATACACAGCACAACCTTTTTTCTATTAAAAATATAAATCAAAACACGAATAAATAGAACCACCAATTGGAACAGTGTCTGAATTCAACTCGGCTGGCCACTGACTGCACAGAACATCGACTTAAAACAACATCACACATTATTCGAAAGGTGCTGCATGCTCGCCGTCAGCAACATTCAGAGCCCCTGTGCACCCCGTTCCCCACCACCCGGGCGCAGGAGCTGGCCGTACGCGCTCAGTAGCAATCCGTTTTACCAGTGCTCTCCCTGATTTACAGAAACTGTAGCAGGCTTCACAAAGATGAAGATACGTTCGTGTGTTGGATGATTATTCTTGTGCAACTGTTGGGTAACAAAGTCTTATTGCAATAAGTAATGCGTATCTGCCATGAGAGTAATAAAATATATATTTAAAAACTGATTTTTTTTTTTTTCCCCCACCACAAATCTTAACTTTTGGCTTGGGTAGTGTTTGCTACATACACTGTAAGTTAAGCAAAAAAAAAAAAAGAAGAAAAATAAGTCTTTAAGACACTTTCGTCTTTGAAATATGACACCATGTTAGTCACTGAAACCAGCAGATAGCAACAACCGATTTGGAACGTACAGGAAGAGATTGGGTGAAAACTAGCAGGCCATATGATGCTAAATTCAAAATTTAGCATCATACCTAGCAATCCAATAATAGAAACAAAGAGTACTGCTTGAGTGCATAAATGATCTCAGCATGGTGAAAAAAAAAAACGGCTAAACAATTCCTGATTCACAAGACGTTTTAGTATAACTAAAGACAACGCTTTCAAAGCTTAGCACCATGGTTCTTTTGTTATTCACAAAAAAAAACATCTAAAAAAAAAGTAAGTGTAAAGTGTTGAACATGAGATAAAACATACAGGTCTGGGCGAGTGTATGGCTCAAGAACAGACTTCACCACGGTACAGAGGGCTGCAATGTCCCCGTCACTGGAGGATGGAGCGATCATGATTCGAGGGTACTGTGGACATACGAATTCTTCTTTTCAAGCAAAAAAACAAAAAACAAACAAAGAAATCACATAAGGAATCAAAGATTAGATATAGGTTCTCAGCAATGATTCAAACAGATAAGGCTTGGTGTGTGTCAGAAATTCTGTTGACGTCATCCATTTAGTTCCAGGAACAACCCACTTGTAAATATCAAACGTGACCATAAACATCAAAACTGCAGCCAGCTGTGCCAGCTGGACATGGGAGAACTCCTCTTTAGCAGAGGTACGGTGTGACGAGAGAAGAGGCAAGAAACCTTTCAGAAGTCGTTGGCTTTCTGAACTGATTTTCCTTCTCCTCGCATCACTTCTGACCAGCCGTGTCTCTGGAGAGGTCCATAGTGGCAAAACCCTCCCGCTGTGCAGACACACCACCTCCTCCCGAACGCCCGATCCAGTGCCACCTTAATTTAAGGCTTACTAATAAACAGGGATTCACTCCTTTTAAGTGGGACTGATCACTCAGTTGAGGAAGCGTCGACATCGCCGGGCCCCGCAGTTACAGTTGAGCTTGTTGCTGGCGTCTTCGATGGGGAACTTGTAGTCGTAGGTGAGCTCCTCCCCTCTGTAGATTTTCCTCAGCGCAAAGATGACGATGTGCTTCCGGCCCTCCACGTTGATCACTCGAGAGTAACAGTTGGGCTCACAGGAGTGATTGATGAACCTCGCTGCGTTGCCATGCATGGTAGCATCCACAACGTCAAAGTCATCAATGCGGAACATGTAACAGCCGATACCCTGAAAAGGCACAAACAAACCTTAGCGGCCCGCTGTTGAGCTTACTAACGCTCATTTCCTGCTGCGAAAGATAAACAGAATACAGGAACGGAAAGACAGTGAAGCCCAACGCACCTTGCCATCGTAGTATTTCTCTCTTTTGTCAGTGAGCACTGAGCGAATAACAATGCCTGCATACTCTATGACCATCTCCCCTGCTTCGATGTTCCTTTTGCAGAACAGGCCGCGTCCATGAATAGCAGACCTATAAAAGATTCGAACCAGTTTGGTTCAACATCCTAAAAAAAATGTTCAAAACGGATGTTTTGACTGATGTAGTGAACATCGACTGACCTGTACACTCCTACGGCCTCCTTGGATGTCCTTTCAAGGTGTCTGAAGCGCATGGCCATGGGCAACTCCAGACTAGTAGCCCGTCTGAGAAATAGAGGACAAAATACCAATGTGATTCACTTCAATGTTAACCGCGGAGAACAAGACCAGTAACAGGAGTGAAGCCTGACCTTGTGGACTTCAGAAGAACCTCATCCTCCTCGTCATCGTACGGCCCAATGTCTGGAAGCTGTCTGTGCTGAGAGGCCAGGAAGTTGAACATATCAAATGTAGACTTCCTGTGAAAGAAAAAAAAAACACGTTGAAGGAACAATTTGCAGTTTGTCATCGTCTGAAGTAAAAAGCGTGGAGCAGGCGTACCTGAGGTAGAGCTCTGAGCGGGCGCAGCCGCTGGGGTTGACAGGGAGGTCGTCCTCCTGGCTGAACTGTTTGAAGAAACGGAAAGCGTGCCGCTGACAACGGTGAGCGCCTTCCAGTTGCTCCAGCAGGAACACGACGGCGTCGTGGACCAGGCCCATCAACCCGGAAGCCGTGACCCTCTGGAACGTCAGAGGCCTCAATCTGGCTATTGCTCGTGCCTCCTGCACTCCATCTATCACTGCTTTCCAGGCCACTGCAGGGGGAGGTGAAAAGAATCAAACTGACGTAGTCCCTAAAAAACCTTTACTGCTTTTTCCCCCCCAATAGACGATGGACTTACCCTCGATGCTTTCTGCCTCCACACTGAAACCATCATCGCTGCTTATCTCAAATCTCAAATGTGGCTGGTCTCTGTGGGCTGGGCAGCCCTGATCCTCATCAGATGGAGCTGGTTCGTCATCTGACGTAGAGGCAGCGCCTGTTGAGACACAAAGCATTAGCCGTTTTCATTTGACCAAAAGGCCTGAAGCACAGTCCCCCACCCCGGAGTCTGGTCCATATCAAGAGGCAGACAAAGTTTACAGCTTGGAATGCTTTTAAAGTCCCATGAGTGATCTAACTTTGAACTGAGGCGTACCAGAGTATTTCCTCCAGTCGGTCAGGTTGCTGTGACCCACAGACTCCCACACATGCGGTTTGCCTTGTTCACCCTGAGACAAATTATTCCAAGGCTCTGACCTGGGGAAAAACAAAAGAGCACAACTCATTTATTTGGGAGCCAGGATGATTATAACACTGAACTGTAAAGTATTTGGAAAAATCAAAGCAAATCACTCAAAGTCAGTTTCTTGTGTGAGTAAAGTCATTTAAGAACGTAGCTAAATCAATCTGTTTGTGCAAACAACTTCAACATTTTGTTGTAAACATTCCATAACTTACCCTGAGCTGTCTGAATCACTCCAGTGCTCCTCCTTTAACGCGTCCAGGTTGAGCACTCCCTTCACTGTTGGGGTTTTGATGCGCACGCCCGAGGCCCTGCTGGGCGCGCTGGGTAAGCTCGCTTTGGGGTTCTCCTCACGCTCACTGACGGTCTCTGGTTGGAGGAAGTCAACTTTGGACTTCTTTGTGACGATGCGGTCTGAAAGCGAAGACACTCTCTTCATGCGGACGTGGGTGCGGGGGCGAGGGGCTGGGGCCGGGGCTGGAGCTGGCAGTGGCGAGCGGGGCGGGGCGGCGGGCTCTGGTTCAATCAGAAGACCTGGCGGCAGAACCAGGGAGGACGGGCTCATTGTTCGAAGCCCACTCCACTTGGGGGTGTAGTTGCTCGCCATTGCTTGATTTATGATTGCTTGGGCACTTTCAGCCGGGCTCATGGGAGGGTTCTCGGTCGACGCGGTGGATTTGGAGGACTTGGGTTTTCTGGGTGCATCCTTCTTCTTCTTTGGTTTTTTCAGCTCTGAAACCGTTTCATCTTTTGCCGTTTTTGTGGGTTGTCTCGACTTTTTCTGGTTAACAGACGCCACTGCGCCGTTGTTGTTGTGGGTGAGCAGCTGTGTGACTGTAGCTGCAGGTGTGACTGAGGGGGGAGCTGGCGCTGCGGCGGCCACGTTGGCCCCGGCCGGCGGCGCCGTGGCACTACCAGCGGCCGCCAGGGTGGCTGAGAGGGCGTTGCTCTGCAAGAGGCTGGCGATCTGAGTGACGCAATTGAAGGATGGAGAGTTGGGGGTGGGCAGCTGGAAAGTGTTGCTCTCTGGGTTTTTCACAAAGATCTGCCCCAGGCGGTTGACCAGCAGCACGTGTGGAGTGGGATCCACGTTCGGGCCGCCCACCTCTTTCACAGTAAGGATGGCGTGACCGGGCAGGGCCTGGGGCAACGAAGGCTGCTGAGGTTCCATGGCTGGCCGGGGCGTGGAGAAGTTGATGGAGATGGTGTGACCTGATGTGGCTTCCTTTTGCATGGATGGCGAGCTGTAACCGTTTAAGATCAACGGGGCTGAGGTCGTTTGCAGTGGCGTTGGAGCAGCCGAGCAGTGTGTGGACAGTCCAGACAGACAAGACATTGGAGCAGAGGAGGAAACGATAGTGACGGCGGCCGAAGCGAAAGGCTGGGTTTGGGTGGAGTATACCGGCACAGAAACCGCTCCGCAGGTTCCGGCTGGGGGACACGTGCTCGGCGTAGCCTGTAAGCTTGGATCACTGGGTGGGGCAACGTGTATCTGGGTTGGCGTCACATCTCCGACAGGAGTGAGAGTTGTTAGTTTGGTAGACAACGGCTCCAAAGTCGTTGCAGATTCCTGAGCCGACGTCACCGGCTGAAGCGTTATATTTGTTATAGGGGGCTGGCTAAAACCTTGCAAACAGGAGTACATCTGGAGAGAGTCTACAAGGCATTGCGAGGGGTTTTGTGTGTCTGTAGGTATTAAGGGGGAGGGCTGGAGCAGACTCAGCAGGGAGTCCTGGCTATTGACAGCAGAAGCTGCTATGGAGGGCTCGCTCACGTTGGACGTCAGTTGGTTCATGATCACAGCTGAGTCCTCAGCTGACAACGCAAAGCTTCTACTCGCAGACTCAGAATTTACGACTTTGCGATTTTCTGACAGCTGGGTTTCGGGTGGCATGTTTTGTAGCACAGGAAGCAGCTCGGTGAAATGTTGGCTGCTGTCACACCGCTCCAGAACAAGAGGTGTTTGTGAAGTCAACCCTAAACTAGAACCTACCAATAACTCCTCTGAATATGATGTCTCAGTCACCTTGGCGAGTACGTTTGGGACAGGCTCACTGACTTGGGTATAAAGTATGTTTTCCTGACCCGCTGAGGGAGTGTCAGAGCTTTGACCAGCAAAGCATTTAGGTGGATCCAGATGTGAGCTGCCACTCGTACCTTTGATGGCATCAGAGACAGTAACCAATGGAGGGTCGGCTCGCTTATCATTGGCTGGTGTTTCAGGGGCCTTTGTGCTGTTTGCAGGTTCTGAGTCTTTATTTTTACCTTTCAGGTTTTCTATCCGATTTTTTCCCGACGCATCAACCTTCTGATTATCATCAGTAGTTGCCACGCTGGCGTCACTCTCAGTACCGTCATCGATCCCATCCAGCTGAGCCACGGGGCGGGGTGAAGGGGAGGAGGGAGACTTGGACCGATCCTTTGATACGGGGCAGTTTACTATTGTACGGGAAAAATCAAAATAGTGCTCCATATCATCGTCAGACGATGAGTTGCCCACGTCCTCCCTTGCTGAGGCTGCAGATCGTGGAAGATTTGCAACAAGGGTCTTCCTCTTATGTACCTCTTGGGGTCTCCCCCAAAATCCCTCCTGATCATCGCCTTCCACCACAATTTGCCCCCCACAATTCATTGCCACACCTTCATTCAGGAGCGTTTCTTCAATCTCTAGTTCTGTCCGCATCTCCTCGCCCAGACTCAGGTTGGGATCCTTGTGGAATGAACTGTAGGGGAACTCTTCCTCATCCTTCTGTCTGTCTAACTCACCATGGGGAGATGTACCATTTGCTGGGGAGACATCCTCAGGTTCAGGAGAAGCTAAGAAGTTGTGTGGCACCTCGACCGAGTCTGACTGGCTAAGGTCGAACGACAATCTGTTTCGGGGTAGCTGTTGCATTGACGAAGAGAAAGGCAGGCTTACAGAGGCTGTGCTGTCCTGCCACGGAGCCTGAGGGAAGAAGGATGAGGAACAGTGTGTATTTCCAGAGCAACGGACCGAGGAAGAGCTTCTTCCCCCGACGGTGCGGGATGACGGACAATTCACCAGGCTATCTGAAGTACCGAGGGGGAACAGTGGGGAGGTGGGCAGAGAAGATTTGCCTGCCCGGAGAGTTATCGGTCCAGTTGGAGGACCCAGAGGAGGGGGAGACATGCGAGTTCTTAGACCAGGGGTCTGTGAATGGGGGCTGTGGCGACGCACTCTTCGAGTCTCTTCCAGGTCACTTATAGTGAGAATGTGATGGGGTTTTGTTTGGGTTATACCTAAGAGGAAGAAAGAGAATTAATCACCACCATTGCCCTTTCATCACAACAACTGTGAAATAAAGCCTTTTAAGTCGTATTTTACCTGGGGATGGCAGTGGTCGGAATAACCCCCCAGCCGGTCTCCTGTGCAGGGGGTAGCTGGGAATCTTTGGCCTTGCGCTGTGATCCGATCTCACTGGAGGAACTGGGATAAAGGTTTCCTCTGTTGGAGGTTGGGTTTCTGTGGCATCAGGTTCTTGGGCTTCAGATTCTGAGGAGATATACAAACACTTTAATCAACATTAAGTGGATCTCTTCATTCTGTAAAATCTGTTTTTCTGGGGTAGAAAACATACCAGGAGGGTGACAGGGGCTGTGAGCGATGGTGTGATTGTCTCCTTGGTCAGGCATCTCCTCAACAGGTTTCTCTGGGACTACCGGCCGGAACTCTCGTACTTTGCAGGTGTACTTGCACCGTCGTAGTGGGTTAACTGTACTCCAGTACCACCGGGAACACCTGAGGGGGGGAAAGGTTGCTAATAATCTGCATTCTATTATACTTCTATTATACATTCTGTTATAATTGCATACACAAGCTTATATAGATGAATAGATAATGTTCTATTTTACAAACTACTGGATCAGAATGGTCATGTCCACTCACACATTATAAATACAGTTTAAATTAGCTTTATTTATGTTTTTTGGGATTCATTTAAAAGAAAAATCTATAAATTCTATCAATTAAAATCACATTCTTAACATGACTGAAATTGCACATGTCCTAGATCCAAACAACAAAATGCATATTTATTCATCTTATTGGTCCACACTGGCATTACTTAAAAATATAGTTTTCAATCCATGCTGAAGACAGGAATCATTTCAACAATTAGATGTGAAAATAGAACTTTAAACTTACTGAAACCCCAGAGGAAACAATTTTCCTTTGCCAGCTGAAAGTTCAGTCAGCACACCTAGCTTTTCAATCTGCAAGGAACCTGTACGCAGAGAATGTGGATAGTCATAAAAAGTCATAAATAAAAACAGCAATGAGAAAGAAAAGCATTTTAAGGAAAACAGCTCACCAATCATCACATTGATCAGCTCTGGTTCCAGTCCAGTCAAGAACTTCCTGCGAAGGCTGATCCCCTCAAAGTCCACATAGACTCTGCGGTTTACTTCAAATTCTTGACCAGTTATCATCTATAAAGCCAAAAAACAAACAAAAGAAAACTCCCATGAAGAACACAAATAAGCATTCAGCTCCATGCCCTTAAATAAGTGCAGAGTGACAGAGATGAGGACGAGGATCGGAATTTACCCTGCCGCTGATGAGATGTCTGTGTTTGTAGCAGTAGACCTTTTTGTCATCCTGAAACACGCACTGCCGGGAGCGGGCACACATGAAGTGGTAGTTACTTTGACAAGATGTCAGGCAGCAGCCCACAGTGGCACCTGTCTGATTGCAGCGCTCACATCGCTATGAGAAATGCCCAAAGTGCAGGAGAGTAAGAAAAGCGAAACATCCATCAAAGTAATTATACGGTTTGCAGAAAATCCAAATCATTAACAAAAGAATGACGAGCCCACCATCAATCGCCCCCTTGTGACGGCACTGTGCACATGCAGCAGGGAACCATTGTCCTCCTCAAACACCTCAGCTGACCACAGACAGCAATTTACATGTATCCATTCATTTTGGCCAAGGTACAGTAGCCGGCCAGCTTCCTGTGGAGCAACACAGACAACATGCTGTGAATGAGCAGTGACGGTTTAGAGTTTTAGAAGCTTAGCTTGTGTTGTGGCAGCTCTTACATTGGGTTTGAGGTCTCCGTACTTCTGGCACAAAGAGCACTGCCGCTCGTCATCTTTAGACCATCCAGTGTCTAGATCAGCTTTTGAAAGCCTGCCTCTCTTCCCTGTGTGGTGAGCAAATATTCAAGAGTCAGCAAAGAAAATCCGGAGTTCATCGTCGCCTGTCGTGAACTGACAGCTTTACCCTTGTATCGGACAACCCTGCTGGTTCTGAAGTGGTTTCGGTTTGTTGGCTCTGTAGGCAATGGAGAGACTCCGCCTTCCATCTTTATATCTAAGCTTTGTCCGTTGTCCTCCTGCAGGAGGCCCAACGGTGGCCTGGGCGACAGATCCTCCCTCTCCTGCCACTGTGCATAGACATGCTCCGTTGTAGGAGGGTGAACAGCCTGGTTCAGCATCCCCCTGAAGAGAGAACTCAAGAGTTAAAAAGCTCTCAATTTTTAATGCGACAATGTTTAATGTCCCAAGGGGATCTTTAAGTAATTAGTTATGTAGTACACTACATAAAATATAATCTTATGGTACCTGTTGAAATATGTGCTAATATATGTATATTTATGCACATTTGTATGAATTAGTTAAGAGTTATGATTACTTACATGGGCAAGTCTTTGGTACAAGGGTTCCACACCTTCGGGTCTTGGCTGTTAAACCAGTTAAAAACCTCCTCGAGGAGCTAGACAGAAAAATTAGAAATGCTGACGTTACAACACATGTCCCTGGATGTAACAACTCTAATTGTATTGTATTCTCTGTTGTTGCATGACGTTTGTGTTTTTTTTTTCAGTTGTTCATAGTTATACTATACTACTATTCTTTAAGTATAGTATACCTCTATTCATCATCCATACCTACCAGTTTTATTTTCTCTACCCACTTATCTCCTGTCACAATGTGACAATCTACCCCCTCTTGATAAACAAATAAGACTAAAACACATCTTTACAAATACTTTGGCAGATTTTCAGACCCTCTCTGCTCCTTCATACAGCACCTTTAAGTAATAAGAGCGGGCCAGGGCAGTGGGTCTTCGCTCCTCCGGAAGATCTTCCTCTAGTTCAAGCCTCTTCCGCACCACCTGAACCACATCCTCATGGAACATTTTCTATTTAGAGAAACAAAAGGGGGCTTTTAGTGCCCACTAAGCTGTATCTGCAGATGTCATGCCACACCAGACCAGACCACAATTAGGAGTACATATTAGAGTGGTTAGCGAAACGTATCAGCAAAGGGTTGTTTTCAAGGAATGAGTAGAAAAGTGTGAGAAATTACATTTCAGAGTTTGTATGATTCTGGGCTTTGTACTCACCAGTGTAGTATAAAGACCTTTGTCAAACTTCTTCCCAACAGCTCGGAGGTCACACGCTGGCTGGCCTTCAACCCCGCTGTCAGGGGCAATCGACTTTTCACACTGAAGCACAAACAAGTGAAGGTTTTAGCATCAGTTCTTCTACAAAGCAAATTTTCTCATTAGAACACTCAAGCTACAAATTGTGTTTAAATGCCACGACTGTCCTACTGGTTCATAATGCAGAGGAAATCGTTCATACCTGTGAGCATGTCACGAGGTGCTGGGTGAGGGTGGAGGACAGTAAGCAAGCCAGCACCTTCTCCACTCCAGACCGGAGCTCGATGTACAGCAGCTCTCTCCAAGCACTGGGCTGGGTCACACTGCACGGTCGGCATGAGTACACCACGCTCTCTGGCAAACTGGACAGGATCTCGTACAGCTCGTCTGAAATCATTTTTAAGCAAAGTTGATTTCACATGGAGATTGAAATTATATGCAGTATTTTCTTGAGATCTATGGTGTTTTTTATTCTCTTTCAAAACCCAAAGAGAGCCAAAAGCTGATCACCGAAGTGTGTCCATCAGAATATTCACCTGTTAAATCCTCACACTTTGCATGCACCCAGTGGTTACAGGTGCCACACTGCATCATCTGACTGTCATAGTCATTGTCCTCATAACACTTGAAGCAGATTGGACAATAGTTACCTAAAAGAAGGAGACGTTTGCAGAAATTTAGCGACAAATGTCACACAGTAGCCGGCCAGAGGAGAAACAGATTAATCCTTCCTCACCCTGTTCGTAGAGCTGTGAGCAGTCTGGGCAGAGGCCTTTGTCATGGTTCCACTCAAGGTCCCAACTCTTCCCGGGCGTAACGCCACAACTTTTGCATCGGATGCACGTCATGCAAACCTACAGAAAATCAGACATATTAGACTGTGGATGTTTGGATTGTAATGAACTCGGACAGTCTCACATCCTCATCGTTTGTGGGAAACTCACCCAGGCTTTCCTTTTTTTGTTTTGTTTTGGATAGTTGGGTCCTAAGCAGGAAGCATGATAACAGTTCTGGCATCGTTCACACTCCAACAAAGGCTGAGGGAGGGGGGAAAGAAATGTGATGTCTACAGACAGTGCCACATTGTGGAGAGAGAGCAAAAGAGGCCCGATCATCTCTCTGTACCTTTGAAAGCTTGTTTTTCCCTCCACACACGTGACAAAACTTGCAGCGTCGGCAGCACCAATTTTCCTTGTTCTCCTCAGAGGGGCGCTCAGCTGGTTCAAGGCAAAACTGGTGGAAGGGTTCACAGCAAACTTGGCAATACAGCATCTGTGAAAAGTCATTCATAAAAAAAGGATTACACGGGGGTTCATGAAATGAGAAGCAAAAAATGTACGACACAACGGCAAAAGTCCTCAGTTTATTCTAGATAGAACAGTTTAAATAGAGAGGAGAGAAGTGAGCACTCACTTCATGTTGCCCTTTACTGGCACAAAGAAAGCAAACGTAAGGTGGCATGAGTGGTGCAGAGGTCAATATGCTTAAGCCGCCCATGTTCCAGACATTCTCCAAAGAACAGTCCTCCTGGAAACAACACAGTAACAGATGAGACGTTTAGCAGCTGTTACAAATGTGGCACTCTTTGTCAGCAGAAATGACAAGCTTGGATTTTGTTCATGGTGAAAAAATTAAGTGACTGAGTGCTAGGTTTTACTGTTATTGCATTTTAATTTAAGTGGGCAGAACTGCAATGTTCTTTTTTAAATGCATTTCTAAGAATCACAAAACATTGGTCAGGAATAGTTTGCGTGAAAAACATCGTATTTAAGAAGGAGGCTTTGAGACACAACATTTAAACCACTGCTGGGTTAGGTGGGTTTCACTGCTTGGTGCTGCAGTGTTCTCCAGCCTCCTGGCATCTCAATGGATATTACGCTGTGCCAACAGCACCAGGACAGCAGTGAGCCTCAAACAGGCTCTGAGTCTGGAACGGCCAACATTCAAATCAACAGATCTACTGAAGCCAGACTCCCTGGGACACTTTCAGATATTCTTTTCCATCACATGGCTGAGTTGAGCAATTTTTCCGGAAATTAAGAGGACTACTCAATATCAATTTCACTAACGGCCACAATGTTATGGATGATACAGTAAGACGTATTTCATGGAAAAAACATTTACCTTAAAGTCAACCCTGATTTTGTGAGTAGGTTTAGAAGATTCAACTTCTCGCTGTTCAAATCCATGAGCCAGAGCAGCCAGGACACTGGGAGGAGTCTGCTCCAAAGGACCCTGGGATGGAAGACCCTGTGAGACGAAAGCAACTTTAAGAAGGCTGAAGAGGACCACCAACGATGCCAAGTTACCAACGTCAAGCGCTTGCACCTTAGCGAGAGAATCATTGTTTTTCACTGACATGGAGCAAAAGGCTTAAGTTTGTTGGCCTTAAAGGCGTCAGACAGACAGTTTTAAAGGAGGAAATGAGGGTAACATTCCTCACCTTCTCAGCTTTACGGCGACCCTGAGGTACACGATGTGAACTGGACTTTCGATGCCTGATTTCATCATCTGAAATGTCTTCCAAGAATCCATCCAGAGGCACAAAGTCTTCAGGACAGGAGAAAAACATTCATGTTTCATGTGAGATGTTACTGGAAAACTGTTTGCTCTTTGAGAGCTAGACTACCTTGGCCAAAGCGAGGACCTGCACCTCTTCTCCTTGCTGGAGAGGCAGAGCTGGAGAGGGCTTTGTCGTCCAGATCTGAGTCATAATCCACCAGGTCAAAATAAACGCGAGGTTTAACAACACGCTTCGGTTGCTTCCTTACTGATGGACTGTGGCCATCACCGTGGAGACCAGATGGTGAGTCGACAGCATAATCATTTCCTTCTTCGTTGCTGGAATGACCCCCGCTGAAAGACGATCGCCGCCGCTTTGAAGAACCTTATCCCCAGAGAAAAAATAATTTTGAAAAAGGCTAAATAACATCACTGATCCTGAATGTTAAAGTTACTCTCCCACACTGGGGGGAAAATTCACCTTTGGGTGCTGTTCTCCCACTTAGTCTCCGTGCCTTTCTCTCCTCAATTTGATCACACCTCTTATACCTTGCAGCAAAAAAAGACAAACGTGCTATTTCTGAACTCTGTGCTATGAAGTGCCCCCCCAACCCCCCTGGCTCACAGATCAACTTACACGCAACATTGCCGTTTGGTGTTGGGACCGCCAAATTTGGGTTTGTCGAGGCAGTTGATGCACTTTCCACAGTCTTCCTCGTGGTTGCAGCCTTTGCATACTCCACACCTCCGAGACCGGTACCCGAACGGCCCAAGTCCTTTCCGCCTCACAAAGCCCGACTGCTTCTTAGCCTTGTTCGCCTTTGCATCGGATAGCTCAGGGTTGTCCGACTCTGAAGGAGACCCAATATCTACAGCACCGCAACGGGGAAAGCAGCGGGAATGAGACACCAATACCACTAACTTTCAACAAGGTTTGAATTATCTGACAAACAGCAGCAATCGTATGAAGCCCAGAGATAAAAACGTTAATGAATGCATCTCAGAGAGACGTCTGTCAGTCACTGCTACCTTTAGGGACCGCTGTTGGGGAAATACCGGATCGTTCATGCAGTGGCAAGGCGCTTAGTCTGGGAATGTCATCTGGTACCATGGCTCGAGGCTGCCCAAGCACCACTGAGGCAGCACGACACACGTGCTTGATACGGGGACCTCCGGCTCTACGGAACTCCTGACAGAGTGGAGAGATGAGCTGTGGCTGAGGAGGGGGAGAAAAAAGGCTGTATTTTACAGACACGCACACTCTACTTTCAGTAATCCAGAACACTGAGCAGTTCTAAAAATAAGACTCATTTAGCTAAGATAACCAAAGACAAACAGATTTGGGGTCAGATTCAAGCTCCCCCACCCCAAACGTATCGATCTGGTGGCTCACTTGTCCTTGAAGGGGCTCTGTCTTGACAGGAACGTCAGGAAGAGGCTGCACCCTCTGCTTCCGCCTCTGTCTCTTTGAGGCGATGTCTTGAGATCTGGCTCCAGTTGGACCAGATAACAGCTGCAAGGTTAACGGAAACACAAGCGATCAATACAATCCTGACAAAACATCCGATCACTTCGAGTATTCATGATTATACATTCTTCCTCTGTCATCTGTCCTAATACACCGAAATTAAGCTGCTATAACTATGTAACTATGTGGTGGGCTTATGGCTTTCGGCTTTACCCCCGAGGACTTCAGCTGCTTCTGTTGGTCGATCTTAAAGAGCTGAACCTTGGCTTTCCTGAGGAGATTGAACATTCTTTTATTTGCACCAGTGAGGCGTGCTCTTTGTGGTGCTCCCTTCTCCACAGACCCGGGATGAGCGGCTTCCCCTCTGCCCGAGTTCTGAAGGGACTGCAGCTCTCCTGTAGGTAGAAAGTAGTGCTACGTTTCAACTCACGATTCAGCAGGTAAAGATAATGTGTTCATTGCCTTGCTAAAAATCAATCCGACCTATTTAGGATAGCTGTATTACCTGAGAGAGGCTGGGCACTGTCTTTCCCCGTTAAATCCCTCTCTTCCTCTTGCTGAAATGAAAGCGACTTGGAGTTGACTCCCCGGACACACACAGCGACCTTTCTCACCACTCCAGGGGCATTGAGGTCTTCAATCTTGAGCTTGGACTTGTCCTTTTCTGTGCTGGTGTCACGCTGCCTGAGGCTGATGCTCATGGCCTCGTCATCGAGTCCTTCGGCTAAGTCAACAGACGGCTGAGCGGGTTTACTCACACAATCAAGCTCTGCTGCGCTTTTGCTTCTGAGGAGTCCCACGTGTGTCTTCTTAAGCCTTTGATAAATTTTGAGGTGGCTAGTTGGCTTGCTGAACTTGGGTACATTTTTCTTTTTCAGAGCATCAACAAGGTCAGATGACAGCTCTTGGGGCTTGTCTGCAGGAGGAGATAAAAACAGATCCTCGCATTTGCTCTCCAGAGTTTTGTCCAGTGTGTACACTTCCTCGCTCGACCGTTCTGGCGTATGCCACTTGAAGCTTGTGCTCTTCAGAAAAGACTTCTTTTCATTTCTATCCACTCTTTTCTCACAAAACAGACTATCGGCGAGATCGATGCTGTCATCCAGGTCCTGAGCGGAAAATAGATCAACATCTAGTTGGGCTTCGCTTAATATGTCTTCCTCATCAATAGGCAGGATGGGGGATATTGCTCTTTCTGCGCCATCATCTCGCCTCTTTCCTGGACGCATCTGCAAGCCCAGTTGGAAACCCTTCTTTGGAGAGCTTCTTCGAGGCAACACAGACATTCCGGCATCATCCATAAATCTTTGTGGGGTCTTGATCACTCGTGAGGATCTGGCACTTACGACGGGCATGATAAAATGCTTGATGTTTTTTATAAACTTTGACTTCCCGGGCTGAGTGTGACCAGCATCCGTCTGACCTCCGTCGAGCGGGGTGTCTGCTTCCTCCTGCTTCAGGCCGTCTTTCTCGAGTGCCCCTTCAATTAGCGTGGAAATGAGCTTAGATCGGGATTTGGGCCTTTTGGAACTGATAAAATGCAGGCCCGTCGGCCTCTTTCTGTACCTTTTCCGCACGCCCATAAGTTTGGAGTTGGGGGAGAGGGCGACGGCTGCCAGTGAGGTGGAAACGTCACCGTCTTCTTCACCAACGCTCAGACTTTCAGACGAGTTCAGTGGAGCAAACTTCCCGTCTCTGCCTCTGTGCCTGTGCTTCTGACGCTGCCCGATTAAACTTTTGCGCCTCTTTTTCATTCTTTTGAGTGACGCCTGTGATGTTGGTTCCTCACTTGCTTGACTTTCCTCCACCGTGGATGGCTGAGTGTCAATCAACTGCATGTCAGTTTCTTCTTTCACTGGTGGCTGCGCGTGCTCTTCCTCCACCGACACAGTGTCCTGTTGGCTCTGTGGCTCAGCGCGCTCTTCTGCCTCCGGCTGGCTCACTTCTGCTCCCACGGGCTGAGCATCTTCCTTTGGAACTGGCTCTGCGTTAGCACAGTCGTCTGTGGTACTGAATGACTCTGCTAGGGCAGGGACTGGTTCCACTGGGGCATCGGGAGAAGTGACGACAGCCTTTGTTTTAACAGCCCTCCTCTGAACGGCTTTCTTATTACCTACTTTGTTATTTCTACATCTTCTAGGTTTGGAAGGCACGGGCAAAGGTTTGGCCTCTTCCATCTGTGGCTCTGCCTCGTCCTCCACCTTCTGCGGGGGAACTTCCTCTAGAACATCAGACGGAGCATCAGCAATCCCCGAGAGATCCTTGTCGGGAACTTCAGAGGGGTTGACGCTGGTCACCTGTGACTGCTCCTCATCCAAAGCACCGCAAGAGTTTTCAGGAAGAGCTTGTGAGCTGGAATCTTCGGTCGGAACTTCGACAGAGGAAACTTCGACCTGCTCCTGTGCGGTCTTTTCATCTTGTGGACTTTTCCTCAGCCTCCGTTTCGGGGCAGTGACGGGTTTCTGACTAACAGGCTTTGCGTGAGGCGAATCCAGACTGGACGTCCTCCTCCTTAGCCTCCTAGTAGGCGTGGCCTCTGGGTCGGGAGACACTGGCTTGTCCTCGCTAACTTCAGCTAGATCTTTCTTGTCAGGCACAGGGCTGACCTGCTGAATCAAAAAGGATGGCTTTGAGCTTTTGTGTTTTCCGGGAGAGGAAACTTTTTTAATCTGAAGAGGAGGCACTTTCCCGCTGTCGTTTTTCATCACTTCTTGCGTGGGCGTCTCAGGTGTGGGCTCCGCTTCAGGTTCCAGCGGCACACTGGACTTGTCAGAGTCAGCTTTGCTCTGGAGATCCTTCTCATTGCTGTCCGTGCTTTCACTCTCCTGTGGGGCTGCCACATCCATCTTAGATTTTTTCTCCAGTCCCTTTACAGCTTTGCTGGTACAACTGTCAGGAGGAAGTGAGACATCCACATTGTCCACCGACTCTGCTGGTGGTTTGATAATATTTTCAGCGACTGGTGGTGGGCTTCCTACTTTCACCAGCGTTAAAGTCCAAATATATTTTCGCCGTTTTTTCTTTCGAGAGGAAGCCTTCCCACTGGCCTGCACTTCATATTTCGGGTTTTTTATCTTTATCAGCTTTAAGCTTGGAACCCTCGTTTCCTCATTTTGAAAAGGCAAACTGTCACTCGGTTGTACAGCAAGGTTATATTTCTCTGTGGATGAAGAGTCCAGGTTTTCTGGGACTGTAACATCTTTATTTAGTCTCCTGCTTTGCCTTCGTCTGTTTTTTCCCTCCAAAGCTTTGGCCTCTGCTGTTTGGGAAACTGGCTTGGATTCAACCAGATCGGCAGTATTTTTACTATTACTCTCGCTCTCGGGCTCAGCTGCTTGGTCAGGGGCTTTTTTAGAGAGTGGGTTAGCAACTCTGTTGCTCCTTCGAGTTACTAGTTTATCTGCAGAACCTTTAGTCACCACCGCTTTCCTTTTATTTACTTCTTTTGCGTTCAATTGTGGCTCAACAGACTCGCTGTCCTCCACAGAGTCAGTCGGCTCTTTTTCTTTTGATTTTTGGTCATCAACCACAACTTTGGCAGTAGTCTGGCCCTCGGGCTCTGCTCTCTTTCCGGCAGATCTCCCGCGCCTCCTTGTAGGTGCAGCTCCCACTCCCTTGTCCTCTGTGACCTGTTCATCCTCAGGCGGTTCAGTTTTAAACTGAACTTGAGCACTTAAAACCTGGTCTGCTTGAATGTCCGTGGCATCAGGCTGATCCTGAATTTCTTTTATCTTCAGCTTTTTCGTGGATTTTTTCTGAGGCTCCTTTATAGTTTTCACCTTCTTTTTGGCCACTAACTTTATAGTGATTCTTGGCGTTGCTGCTGAAGCTCTACTTTTTGTGGTCTGCCGGTCTATAGCGTTTTTTCCTTTTTGACTTTTCTTCATGTCCTTTGCCGGATTTGCTTCAAGAGATGCGCCTTGTACCTCGGCTGAAGACTGGACATCTTTCACAGGGTCAGGTGGGATTGCTGCCTCCACTGCTGGCATTTTGAGCTGTAGCTTCTCACTCTGTCGTTTAGGTTTTGTGTTGGCAGCATCACCTGCAGGACAAAAAAATTAATCACACTCAGTGTAAAGAAAAATACAAGTCAGGGATATTGTGTTTTACTGAGTTCCAGCTCTAAACTTTTTTTCTTTTACCTTTGGAAGAATTTTGTTGAGACACAACAGGTCCTTTGGAGCCTTTTTTCTCTGCTTCGAATCCTTGGAAGTCATCAGTCTTGAAAAATAAAACCCAATAATTTAGACTTAAATATAGTCACCATTATCTAATGGCAACAATAAAACCACCTAGAAAAACAACAAATAAAATGCAAGGTGTTCAGCAACACTAAAGCCCACTGCACAGGGCCAGTATTACTCAGCTAGGGAAGCAGTAACATTTTCACAACATAGATCAAAGCAATATCTGATGATTGTTTCCATTCAAATCAACTACTTGTTTATCTTCTGTGGATTGAAATGTATTAAACACTAATAAAGTCTGCATAACTATTAATATACACTAAACACATGAATTTGCATACTTAATTTTAACTTTCAATCATGCAGTCACATTTCGAGAGATCCACTGCAATATAGTTTTTTTTACAAACAAAAATGTCAATTTCTCAGCCACACATCCACAAGCTATAACCACGAACAGGACTTATCTATACAGAAAGAAGACAATTATGTTTTTTTGTTGTTTTGGTGTTATGCACTAGTTCCTTAAAACTTAATGCCAGTAACAGTGAAAACCAACTGACACACTTTGAGGGTGTGCTGATGCCTGCCCATATCACTGATGCATACTGCTTCATGTGCAGCAGATAGTGCTGTTAGTATTGTAAACAGTGGTGTCAAGGCCATTCTTCCAGCGCACAGTGTTAAAACCCCATATTCAATTTGCTAGATATATCTTTTCCTGCAATGTCAAGCGTGGAAATTAATTTTCTTATGGTTAAATGTGAAATAGTTATATAATATCCCGATAGTATGACAATTTTCACTGTTGTGCTGCAGAATAGTTTGTTAAACTAGGATCTGTATCACACAGTTTATCGTACATCTGAGACATACCAATAATATTGGACCATTAAAACACTGATCAGGATATGCATGTCATAAAAGATTTATGAGCTTTAAATTTGGCCGTAATCAAACTTGAGCAGTTCACGTTGACGCCTTCACTAGGGTTACAGAAGCTACGGGGAAATGTGGGTTGGTTGCAACTCCTTTCAAGTACTGAAACATCTTCCTCATGCTTGCAAGCTGAGATATAAAAATCCACGATAAACTCTACTCTCATGAGCCTTAATCGGACGTCATTGATTGCCTATGACCTTAGGAACATTTGATTCTGACAAGGGTGCAACTGACTTTGGCACACTTATACACGCACCACCATTTAAACCTTTCGTGTTTGCTAACATTAGCTAACATTTAGCCAACCCATTCTCACGAGAACATTTAAACCTATTTTTAAAAATAAAAAAACAGAACATACGCGCTAACAATAACCAATTTCTATCGGTATGTGTGTGTACGGCTTTTAACCGAAGCAGTTTTATTTAGAGTCGTATTAACTGTAAAGACTATTCTGCTCGCATCTGGACAGCGTAAGGAAACAGAGCAGTTAGCGGCTAGCCAGTGAGCAAAGTACGGAGGTGTTAGCCCTCTCCCTCTTTGTGTTCGGGCTTAGCAGGCTAGCTGCTCCTCTGGCCCTGAACTGAGTGGGCCGTAGATGAAATAATTGCGGTGCATGTTTACAAATTGATGTTCTTGCGCTCTGGCTATAATAAAATACCCACACGTACTATCTGTGTTTTCACCATTTTGCGTTTTAACTTATTTTAAGAGTAATTCAGAGCACAGTGCCAAAATAACAGCTTTGCAGTTTGATTGAAGTGGCATTTTGCGTTACGGGTGTTCATTAAATGTAATGGAAAGCTGAACTGTGCTAACACTGGTTAGCAGTTCATTTTAGCTTAGCAAGCGTGATGCTAAAGTTCATGTTAGCCGGGCAGTAGGATGTTGACATTTCTCCATGGCACTAACCAGTCACACAATTGTGAATAGCACTCAGTCATGCAAATGAACAATCACACAAAATGTAAAAAGATGAAATAAAGATACTAACTCCTGGTTCGGTTTGGGACCTCACCTCTTCACTCCCACTAGAGCTGTATCCAGCCTGGCCAAGGATCTTGTGGCTTGCCTCTATCCCAAGTAAGCGCAAGTGAGACTGGTCTTCGTTTAACGATAGGACCGGGTTTGCGGGCCTTGGCCCTCCGTTAGTCACATCATCAGCTTCCAAGCCTGATCGACCGAGTTGCCATCGCTTCTCAGAACGCAAACGACTGCGCGATGACCAAGGCCGACCAGGGAAACGACCTCGGGCCGTTGCGGTTCCACCTTGGCCTCCTACGGCAGCCGCGGTTGCTGATCCGCATCCCGCTGCCGCCATCATTGCTTCAACAACAACACACACTCCGTCGGCTAGCAGCTCGAGGAGGACAAGAGGGAAGGCGCGAGATGGGAGGGGTGGGCCGCAGTGGTGCAAGGGAAAGGGAGTTTTCTTTTTTCTTTTTTGTCAGACGGCGAAGTATTAGTTTTTTACAGGTCAACTGTTCATATGAAGAATTAATTCTTAAATATAAGAAATATGAATATTGATTGTAGTTTGATTTGAATTGATGATTAGCAATATTTTTTCACTTGAGGCTGACATTAACACATATGACATTCTTATTACAAAACTTGAATACTCTAATGAAAGCAGATAATAAAAAGAGCAAGGAACTACAATGTATCAAAACCTATGACAGCATGTAACAAAATGTGGAGTGCAAGTAGAAAAATTGCTACAATATTTACAGGGTAGCTTGAGATGATTGATGCATTAAATCCAAATTTGATAGAGTGACTTGTATCTTTGTTACCACCATAAACATGGTATTCAAAGAGGAAGCAGAAGTCTTCACAAACGTTGTTGTTGGTTTGACTATAAGACATTACAGGCCAAATGGGATCAGAGTGCATTTAAAAATGTGAAGTAATCTATGAATATAAAATTATTAAAAATACTTGTTACTCTCTACCACTACTACTATTAATAATGTTTTGTAAAACTGTGCAGAAATTCTATGGGTAGCTCCTTATATCAGTTTTTAAAAAAATCACATGTATTAAACAACAGAAGTTGGTCAGAAACCATTTTTATGATTAAGCCAGGTAAATGTTAAAATTTTAATTTAAAATGTTAAAAAACAGATAGCATGAGGGAACAGGTTAAACACAACACAAGAGAAAGTGAGATAAACACGTATCGCAGAGGAAACATAACAAAAATCTGTTTCCAAGAGAAATGGTCCTTTCACACTTTACCATGTGGTGGCAGCAATTCACAAAACCATTACTGGTCACCCAACATTAAATGAGAAGAAGAAGGCTCCCTCCAACCTCACAAAAAAAAGTCAGAAGAAGAAAGGGTTCGGACGAAGAGGAAGTGTATTTTGTTTCGAATAGCTGATTCACTTTGAGCGACAGTTCGTTGTAAAAACATCAGGTGTATATTTTTACCTTATGTATTGTATTATTATTATTGGACATGTTATTCAAAGACAATACCTAGAAGCAGGAAACCCTTATAAGTTACATCTAGCGCCGAGTTGCATTGCTAAAGTAACACAATGCTAACATTAGCCTGGAATGATTTCGGAGTCACCTGACAAAAGGAGTTAGCAAATTTTACGAGACCACTGCGTTGTTTAGTTTGTTATACTACCGATGAGAATAATGGCTAAATGTTGCCTCAAAACAAGTTGTGTATATATATGACTTGTGAGTACTAAAGTATTATCGGGTTTTTAAAATGTTTTATCCCTGTTATTCTTTATTTTCCCCATTAGTACACAATGAACCTGGAACGACTTCCAAATGAAGAGAAGCTCAGCCTATGCAGAAAATATTATTTGGGTAAGCAACGATAGTATTGACCCCAAAATAATAGCAGGAAATGTGCCCTCGTTGAGGAAAGAAAACAATGCGATGCACATAATCGAGATGGCCTGCCACTGGTAATGTTTTTCTCTTCTATAATGCTTTTTTCTTCTGTTCAATCCAGGCGGTTTTGCATTTCTGCCATTCCTGTGGCTGGTTAATACGGTTTGGTTTTTTCGGGAGGCTTTTATGAAGCCAGCCTACACTGAACAGCTCCAGATAAAAACATGTGAGTGTCAAATCTTCTATTTCAGATCTACAGAATAATTCTACACAGATTTAGATGAATGGCTAGAGATTCAGTGATTGATTATATTTTAGTCAATGCTGTGCAGCTCCTTTTATTGGTTCTCTGTATCAAACATTTGCATTTTTTAGTTTATTGTGAAGCATAACCAAGAAAAAGATTTTCAATGGTAAAAGCAGTTGTTTAAGAGTATAAGTTGTATGTTTGACTAAAGTAGCTATCTGATCCAAATAAATTAACTCTTAACTAATAATTCTTAAAGTAATGAAATGTATTTTCAACCCTAACAGTTCCTCCATTGCAGATTAACATCCCCTTTGCTTTTTGTATTTATAAAGTCAATGCTATTTACAAAAATATATAGTCTGCAAATCATATATATATTAGATGAATTTAGCAAGTTCCCAATGTCTTGGCATAAATCTGGTTAAAATTTAGATGCAGATGTTGTTTTTGTTTTATTGGTTAAATTTCGACTTGTTTTGCAATTGCCTACCAGAGTGATTAAGAGTGCTTTTACCATTGTGTTTTTCTAGATGTGAAGCGGTCAGCACTGGGACTGCTGTTGTGGGTGGCAATTCTTACAACCTGGATCACAATATTTCAGCACTACAGAGCAGAGTGGGGAGAAGTGGGAGATTACCTCTCCTTTACAATTCCACTGGGCACTCCTTGAATTTTATTTTAGTGACATGTGTTGAAAATGACTAGTGATCCTGTATAGTGGGCCACAGAATTTCCCTTTAAATACAGAGAAAGACTTTGGCCTGTTTTTATGGTCCTTTAGTGGCATAATGAGTAATTTCTCACAGTCTTAAAATATTGATGCTGCAGGACTCAGGATTCTTTTTGTGTGTTTGTAAAAGCATTTGAGTCAGAAAGATGAACCTTGGGTAGGGGGCAGACTGATCTTGCATAATATACAATGACATAATGTAAAAACAGGATGTGCTTTCATTTGTTTTGCCATGGAAATGTTTTTTCTTTATGATTTATTGTCTGTGACTGTGTGTGACTGTACACATTAAACCATTTTTACTGGTATCTTTGACAAATAAAAATATGTTCAATTCTTCCAAGTAACAGTGTCATTTTATCCATGTACAAAATTCCTGGGGCTTGAATCAGTGCCCCATGCTGTCATTGACCTTAAAGAACGTATTTACTGATACATAAATACTTTTTTTGTTTGGCATCTGATCAACTAGCTATATCCGCCATTTTTACTCTTTGTTTCATATGTCTCCTAAAGTTAGAACAACCACTGGCGCCGGTTACGAAACTCAATAACTTGATCCCTCCAAATGCCCCCTCTTTCCTTTCATCCTCGATGAGTCACAACATGATCGGTGCCAATTTTAGTCACTGGTCACAATCAAAGCTTTAGTGACAGGTTCAGCTTTGCTAATAGGGCGGTCCAGTTCACATAACTACTGACTGAGGGTGTGCTGTGAACAAGAAGTATCAGCACACAGAGTACTTTTCATAAGACCTAATAAAACTGATTGATGGGTGGAAGAATTTGAAAGCTACATGTCAGGATGTACGAATTTGACAACTGAAAAACTTGTCTTTTGTAGATCTGTTTTCTGTCACTTCTACCCAGTTGTCAACTTGTGTGGCATTATTTTAATATATTGAATTTAATACCTGCATATATTATCTAGATTTCGCTAGTGATAGTAGTAATATATAGGTTCTGTCAGTATCATTTAGTCGAATTCACTGAAAGTTCATCAGAATGGAGGGAAGGCTCATTGGTGGCTGGGACATCCTACACACATGCAAAAGGCACGTGTGTAAGACATCCCTGCTGTCACTGTCTGTCTGACATCCGCTCAGGAGGGTCAACAACACCGTCATTTGAACTTATTTATGGACAGATCTTCCTTGACAACCAAATTTAACCCATCAGAACCCAGACAAGATTTCTCTTAAGGAAAATTCAAGGGAATATAAAACGGACTAAAAATACAACATCGATTTCTGTTGTTTTTTAGGAAGCCAACATAAAATAAAAAATAAATGTAAATCTAGCCACTGTGAAGATTTTTCATCACTCATTCTTTACTATGGCCATTTCTTTTGGTTCAAGTTTGGTTGTTCCACCCCGTGTCACCAGGGCCCCTTAAAAGGAACAGTAACAATGTTAATTACGCATTAATAGCCAGTTTGCCAAGATGTCGTCGAGCTAATAAAAACGCATGACCAATAAATACGTTAATTGATATCCGCAACAGCTGCGTCAGCCCCAAACCAATAGGCCTGCCCTCATCCTATGAGGCCGTGCTTGGACACCCAAGGGTACGCAGTCTAGAACATGACAGAGGCAAGGTGCCCCGGTATGAATTCCCAGCTAATTGTGCAACTGCGGTGTAAAACACACATGACAGCCGGTCACGTCCTGGTCCAGCCCCCGCGGGGAGAGCGTCCCGGAGGCAGACAGACGGGCGCGAGACACTCCGTGCTCTGGCCAGCACGAGCCGGGCGCAAGAGCGGTTAAATCCCAGGGGCGGTCCTTGGCCGTTTGCTCACTAATTTGAGTTGGAAATAAAAGCGGAGGTAAGTAACCCCCGTGCTGTTTTGTTTGTCAGGCTCCACTGCACACAACTGAAACCTCCGGAGTTTCTTTTTTCTTTCTTAAATTTATTTCTTTTAGAAAATGGACTTCATTCTGCCAAGCACCATGACAACTGGTGGTATCCCGTGGGAGAAGGTTCTACCACCACTCATTCCTCGTCTGAACGGGACTTATGGTCATTGTAGCTGGTCTCCAACATTACTCATTCCAGAAACGGATAATGGCAGCTCTGCAGAGGTAGGTTAATTAATATCTGTAACTTACTCAGGGAAAAGAACAGCCCCAGGGTGCCTCTTGCTTATTAGAGCTGTATGAAAAGTCAGATGGTCTGTTGAGTGAGAAACTACTCTAAAATGTTCGGTAGGTCAATTCGCATAAAATAACTTTCACTAAGCAGATGGAAATGCTGAAATTCAGTTAAGTACTCCAAAAGGTATTAACTGTTATGTCATGCTACCATCTCAGGTCCAGATGCGTTGCATTTCTTCTCAGGAGGGTGAAAGGGCTATTTGTGGTGCTGTGAGTGTTTATTTCTTTTTAATCCTGTTTAACGTTCTGATTCCCGCTGCCTGGCAGGTGCATTGTGATGACAGCGGGTTCACAGTTCAGGTTGATGTGAAGCTTTTCAACCCAGAGGACCTGCTGGTCAAAGTGGTGGGAGACTTTGTAGAAGTTCAGGGAAAACATGAGGAAAAAAAGGTTAGGATGCTTGGTGGAAAATTGAAAAGGTTTATCACTTGGTTTTCAGCAACCATAACCTGAGTTGCTCTCTAAACTTGGTTTCAACTCTCCTTTGGTAGAAGGATGGCCCTGGATTCACCACACGACAGTTTAACCGCCGCTACCGGATCCCAAAGGGGGTGGACACCATGGCCCTGGAGTCAGCCGTCTCTCCCGATGGCATCCTGATCATAACCGCACCCATGCTGCACACCGAAAACACCGCCACATCTCTGACTTAATCCCATTAACGTCAAAACCCATCAACTCTCTGCACTAAAAGTTTCACCATTTAAGGAAAGAAACAAAAGCAATAAATAAACACGCAAGATTAAAACAGCAATAAATCCAGGCTTCTCCACTAATATCAACACACAATAAGTGCAGAAATACACAACTCATTCTGTCCCCGTTCAGGCCCTGTTCCAATATTTCCTGCTCTCTGTGCTTTGTATATACTGCTCTGCTGTTCATGTTCAATTCTACATTATATTTCAATGATCAACTCTTTGTAAATATTCAATGTTCACAGTTTGAGCAGATGTTTTTTTTTGGGAGAATCCTTTGTACATTAACTGTATTATGTCAGAGATTGATGCACCCAGATTTATTCCAAACTTCTTTAATGTGGAAATATTTCTTCAAATGTACAAATGAACTTTATTTCTTTATAAAATCAAAATAAAACATTGGACTACTTGAAAGTGTCTTGTCAGAGTTTAAGAAACTTGTTGCTTCTCAGGGAAGTCATTCAGCATCACATTCACTTCACTGAGGAGAAAATCAGAGAAGCTTATTAGAGAATTTTGATTTTCTTTTTTTTAGATGACATTATATAGGAGAATAAACATTGAATCATTCAAGATATACAACGGTAACAGGAGTAGTTTACTTCTAATTTACCTGATCTGATCCTTCACCCATTTTCTCTGTTGGCGAAGGACTTGTAACAGAGGGTCATCTTCAAATTCTTTTTCATCAGAATCTGATTGAAAATGATATATAATTTAGGTGGACAAGGCAGACTTTATTAATGAAGGCTAACAATGAGTAGTGGTAATGCAGCTATAACCAGTGGAGATAAAAATGTACCCTACTTGGATTATGAACACTAGGAGTTGAGGTTAGGTAGGCAATGTCTGTGGAACAGAACTGGCTCAGATTCAGAACTCAAACTATATTTGGCCTGATGGCATAATACAAATTCAGTTTGTTAGGATTAGGTTTTGGGTTTTTAGTTTTTGATGGTAACCTCCCCACCAAGTACAACTAAAGAAAGTCAACTTTCAGGAAGATGAACAAAAACAAAATAACTACAGGAAAAAATACCTGTGCACCCTACACACAAACACAAAAAAAAAAATTTTCCTAAAACATTTTGACATCCTGTCAGTGGTCAGGAAAAGCTGTCTCCAATGAAGCACCAGGCCATTCATGGCCACAAGCTCACCTTCAGCCTCCAAAAGCAGCTGGGAAATGACTTCTAGAGAGTTGTGACTCTCCTTAGTTTGTGAGTGGGAAGAGACAGTGTGAGGAAGAAGAGACGAAGCGGGGGTCTTCTGAGCAGGAGGTGAATCCCCCGCAGGGAACAGTACTTCTGACACGACCTGTCCCAGCCAGTTAAAAACACCCCAGTGGTTAAATCCCATTCTTATCACCTGCTGTGCTATGACGTCTAAAAACGGCTGTCAGATTATGCTGGCATGCTTTGTGTTACATGAAGAAACTGAAACAGACGAATGCTCCAAACAAAATGTTCTGTTTGTCTTTCTACTGACCTGTCCTAAGGCGGAGTGGACCGGGGAGGGTGGAGGCACATGAGCAGCGTGGCAGCTTTTCTTTGGAAGCGCTTGGCTTCCTTCCTGTAGACGCTGCTCTTTCTGTGAGGCGACCTTTTTTGGGTGGCTGGGATGCGAAGAAGCCCTGTTTGTACATAGTTCCCCAAAGGATGTTCACAATCCAGAGTTTATCTGCATTCAGACTGGACTATAGTGCACAAATCATGTTTTTATACTCCACCTTGCTGCTTTTCTCTGCTGTCTGGTAGTCTGTGTCTCTTTGGTCTCCGCTTTCTTTTTCTTGTTGTTCTCTGGTACCTTTTGGTGACTGCACCCATGTCCTTCTGTAGCTCCATGGGATGGACACAGTGAGGGTGACATGTGGTCATCAAGCATATTACCCATGACAGTCAGTGAGTGTTTGGACACTTGGGGTTTCTTAACCACAGCTGGGGTTGTTTGAAATTCATCTGTTCTTTGTGAAGCAGCGGATGACTGAAAAGCGCAGGGAAGAACATCACAGAGTAAATGCATGTGGGCAGGGACGTGGGCCATAGCCTGGGGTTGAGAAACTGATGAGCTGGGGACAGCACAGGCAGGAAAGGGCTGAGGGCTTGGAGCTGGGGGGTGTAGTCTGTGGGCCTCTGTGGGGTCCGGGGGCGCAGAGATGTGCGAGTGAAGATCTCTCTGGGAGAACTCAGGGAGCTGAGAACTGTGCTGTCGCTTTAGAATAAACAAGAAAGAGAGAAATCTGATCATTCTGTAAATGTTAAATACAGTTCACGAAGGAAAGCGAGTTCTTTAATTCCAACCTTGTCGGGTTGTTGGGTGGCTGACGAATGGGCTAAACTGGGGGTCTGCCAAGTGACTTTAGAAGCATGAAAACTTGAGTGCTGCAGGGAGCGTGGCCTTTCTCTGGCTTGCTCCATCTTTCTACGTAATCGCCACTGGAACAGAATGTCTTCTTCTGGACGTGCAAAAGTAGGAGCCCGAACTGACTCGGAGCTATCCTTTGCTGTAAACAAATGTACACAGTCCTGCCGCTCTAAACTTCAAACCCCACAAACAAAATCTAAAAAGGCTTATCGTCCATGTCAGATTTTTCAAACAGATCTAGGATGGTGTACTCCGCATTTTTGACTTACCAGAAGTCGGATTTATCAAATTCCGAGTCAAAGGTAGCCGCACTGGCTCCTCCACACTGACTGGAGAAGAGAAATCTGAGCAGCCCAGGCCCTCAGAACTGACATGGACAGATCCATCCGTCAGGCTTCCTTCACTGTTAAAACAAACCACAGGTTCATTTCAACTAGGTGAACATGTTGAAGACTTATCACTAATGGCTTTTTAAAAAACTTTTTAACCTTCTCAGCAGAAGTTTACTGGCTCTTTCCTGTAGGTGTATTATCTCTGTGTCATCTAATTCACCCTGAGACGAGTCCGACAAAACCTGAAAAACAAAGAAAAACATGTTATTATTGTGTTCCTATGTGTGGGAATGAGCTTTCAAATAAAAAAATCTAAAAAAATCTGGTCTTACATAATAACACTAACAAACATGTGTTGTGTTTTTTTCCTTTCCTTATATTCCACGGGATGATACATATGACAGCTGCAGGCTGAACAATGTTTGAAATGTGGTTGCATAAACAGTGGCTCCCCCGTTATCTAACAACGGTTTCCAAATGAAGCGCTGTGGTGCTGGAATGCAAATATTTATATGCTCACTTGGTGGGTTGCTCCTGAACACAATCAGGCCACCAGGCATCCAAATAAACTTGCTATAAATCAACCATGTAAACAATATTCCAAGTCTACATATACCCCATATATGTTTCACTTAAAAAAAAAAAAAGAATAATGTCTCTAAAATCCTCCAACATTTCCCACAACAGCCCAGCACAGTTTCAGATTAGTGAGCAAAGACAGCACAACAATGGGCAAAATAGTAACTTATGTCAGTATCAAAGACGAATACACTCACAGTGACAGATCTGTCATGTCCACGCTGGCCGCCTGAGATGGAATTGCAATCCCCTTTTGGGGGCAGGATGAGGTCCATCAAGCAGGAAAGATTACACGGAAAGTTTGAGAACATTTGTGAGCTTGCAACAACTGAAAAAACACATACAGCAGTGCATACCTCTGTCTGTGTTTTTATCTGCTATTGTACTTGGGTCTGCTGTGTGTGACATCCACCAAAAAGGCTGAATCTCCTCCCCAAAGGTCGCCATCTGCTGACGGTCATCTCGACTCTGGGGCTGACCATGACGAAAACGTTCTATATATCTATAAACGCAAAGATCAAACTCTGCAATGCAAAGGAAAAATCTGAAATAATAGTGTAGGAGATTTTAGTCAGACCTACCTTGCCAGGACTGAATCCTCTTGGGCTCCTTGGGAAACTGCTAATGTCTCAAGTCTCACAGACTTTTTGTTTTTTTCCACTTTAGGAGAGGAGTCACCATCAGTGGAGGGCCAGATGTCTTTAAAAACAGGTTGTTCATCAGCAGCAGAAAAATGGCCATTTCTGCTGAACAGCTGATGGCTCCCCTGGTTTAGACAGTGTAACTGTTCCCTTGATTTCTGGCTTAAACGTTCAGGACTCAGAGTCTGCCCACAAAAAAGAAAGAGACAGAGAAAAAGAGAAAATAAAATAAATAGCAGTTCTGCAGATGTTTACAAAAAAGAGCTGTTTTTTGGAATGTATAACATACAATGTCTTTCTCTTTCTTTGACAGGGACTGCTTGCGAGATGGATGGTAGTGTTCCCTCCTCCTCACTGTGGATGCTGATTTGAAGGGGTCCTGCCTTGTAAATACCGGTCCACTATATATAGAAACCAACATTAACAGCTGTGACACATGTGAAAGGAGACCTAAAACTCCACCATTCGATCTTACCTGGATTTCATGGCACTTTAGGAAGCCGCTCCAATGGTTCAGAAGTGAAGATTTTTCCGTATTTGTCTTCCTGGCGTTAAATTCTTTTAGCTATTTTGATAAATTTAGAGATACGTAGTAGACAACCAAATGAGCAACTGTATTTAGGAGCTCGCAAAGCATGTTCACAAGGGTTACCATGGAAAGAAATGCCGAAAAACACAAACTGACTTCCAACAACCGAATTGCACTAATTTAGTAGAGAGTTCAGGAAACTTTGAACGAACTGCAATTTTTAGGTAAAAAATCTAAGCACATATCTCTTTTTAAATTAAACTACAGTACTTAACACATGCATCGATGAAACCAGAAGAAATGCTACCGTTTATTGATGTTTACGGCGCAAAACACAGCCAATAGACATTGTCTCGAAATAATTGACTTGATATTTGTCCAATCATGTAAAACGCATTGTTTGCACAAGCGCCAATCAGGCAATAGGAAACCGGCAGCGCGCGGAAGAGGAAACCCTCTCAAAGCTCTGGGCTTGTCAAAAATAAGCTAGGTTAGCAACGGTACTTAGGCTAATACGTCCAGCTTCCCATTGTTGTAATTAAGCAAATTGTTTACAGCGACTTTTGGGCGAATTTATATGAATAACTGGGGGCAGCCATTATTCAGAACGCTGCTAGGCTCGGTAAATGTTGTTAATTTTAGATTTGTGGACTAGTTTTGATGTTAGCCAGTTGTTACTGCTAGTGCTAACCGAAGCTAGCTATCGTTGCTATTAGCAAATAATCGACCAGCAGTCATTGCCAATTCAAAAGATACCGTGCATTTTTATTAGCAGCTGCTGTGAAGTTTTGGATCTTCTGAGACGCGTTTATGAAAAAAGATAAAATGCACCACGTGAAGATCAAGACTGAAAGAACAGGTAAAATTATGAATATTGTACCTATGAAAACACCATAAATCTCGCCATGTCACCTACAACGAAGTATAATTTAAATGACTTTAAACTATAATCAAGCCATTTTTTGTTAAAAGAAGCCAGAGAGAAAGACATAAGCTCCTAAACCGAGAATGACTCTCCTGGTAACCATACAGGCTTGTCTTGTTTTCATCAATATCACAGGATATTTCAATATTTCACTTTTAAATTTTCAGATTTAGAAGGCACTGGTGCCCGCAGCAGATTAGATGCAGTGCTGAAAGGACTTGTAGAGAAGAGTGAAACTGAAAGGTTTGTTATTAAAAGTTTGCGTGCCATATTTTTGAGTATTTCACTTAAATACACTGACAACATTGTATTTCGAACAGGGAGACAAATGAGTGCGATCCAGGGAAAATATCAACTGACTCCCTGAACAAGTATGGACCGTTGATTGTTTTTTTCGTTTTCTGAATTTGGCCCGGTATATACATATATATATATATATTTAGATATTATTATTGTTAATAAGTTGCTCACTTAGTTTTCTTTGTTTAGGGATTTGTCTCCATCTTCAGCTGGAAAAAGGCAAGTCTCTGTGTTTGTCATTTTTCATTGATTCATGCAGAATAATTTTTCTACCATTTTCTTTTGTAGCCTGAAAAATATTTCTCATGGCTTCGCCTCTCTAAAGGGATGCTAACAATGATAAAATGTGGTTAACCCTTGTGTGGTGTTCGGGTTTGTGGGACCCGTTTTCATTTTTTACTAAAAGAAAAATGGCACAATTAATTCATTTCTCAAACTGAGACTCACTGGCTTTGGCTCATTTTCTGTGAAGAACATATATCAGAATACATATTTAATGAGCACACACCGTACACCCCCCCTACATATTTCTATTACATATAAGATGTCTGGGTCCACTGGACCCGGGGCTAATAGAAGTGTGGAAATTGATGTTCTGTGTACCACACACACACACGCACTCACAATGTCGCAACCTTGTGTGGGAACTGCAGGTGCACAAACACAAAAGAAACAGTTCCCACACATTGTTTGTCTGCTCTAATTTTCTCACACATTTGACCCTCTTTCTATCTGCTAAAATTGGGGGCGGGACCACACTGGCTCAGCTTTGCCAGTGTGGTTTCTTATAACCGATCAAGATGGCCAAAAGGCACTCTGCCCAGAGGGCCCTGGAATTTATTTTGGATGAGAGAGAGAAGTTAAGATAAGGTAAACATCTGTTCAGTATTTTAATATAAAAGTGTTTTATTGTGAGGCATTAAAAGCCACAAAATGCAACAGGTCCATCAGACCCACAAACACTGTCTGAGTAACAACAATGTGAACATCACACAAGGGTTAATAAGAAACCTTCTAATCTTATCTGATATTTCTAAATTAATTTGTTTGTTTAAATTGTCATTCAGACCCTCAACTCGATTTCCGCAGCACCGGCGGAAGAAACGAAAAGAATTGGATGAGGGCATACCAGAGGCTAATCAGCATAAACAAAGTAAAACTAGTCCAAAGTTGTTTGACTTGATATTGCTAGACCACCTTTTAACTCTATTATTGTCTTCTTCTTTTTGCTAGACGCTTACATTATTAAGTTATTCGACCGTAGTGTCGATTTAGCTCAGTTCAACACCAGCACACCTCTGTATCCAATCTGCCGAGCATGGATGAGAAACAATCCTTCTGTTCGAGAGCCAGCTGCTTCCCCCTGCTCTCCACACAGCATGACAGAGGAGGAGGTAATGTCATAAATGGAAAAGTTTGATCAGTTGTGTTTGACTGCAATTTTTTAATCTTCATCTTTTCATTAATGGATTTTATGTATGTTTTATCATCTGTACTGTTCAGTTTTTCGGAAAGATTTTGTGTAAAATTCTCTATGAAATAAACTTTTTTAGGAATCCTTTTCCTTGATTGTTTGTAGTGTTTGGAAGTTTTTATAATGTTATTGTCAATGGTATTTAGGCTTGAAATAATTAAGTGTAAATAACCATGTCACTGTAATTGTGTTGAATTGTTATTGTGTGTGGACTTGTTTTCTGTGATCAGGTTTCAGACATGATGAACGGTAAAGGTCAGAACGTGTACAGGCTTCCTCCTCCAACCTCCTGTCCACTGAGCCCTTGTGGTGAACCTGTCAATCTGAGAATCCCACACACTGAAAAACCCATCGTTACCAAGGTTCTTTCATGAGTTGTTTTTCTGTGTGGTTGTGTGTCTTTTGGTACATTAAACCACAAAAATCTTATGAATTGTGACGTTCATCTGTGAAAAGGATCATCTGTGTTTCCACAGTTAACAGATGTGGCTGTATCAGGATCTCTCATAAGTGACCACATGGAACGGTGGAAAAAGATAAGGCAAAAGTAAGATATCCCCAAGCTGTTTTCTCTATTCTCGTTTGCAGAAGCACAGCAATTTTAATCTCTTTGGAAAGTAATAAAGTGCAACATGTGCATGATTATCTGTCCAAATGAGGATGTTTCCTTTTTTAATAATCAGGTACAAAGTCAAAAGTTGTGTTGCTGTGATTTTCAGATGGAAGGAGTGCTCTAACAAGAACCAACTAAGATACAGCGAGAGCATCAAGATCCTGAAGGAAATGAAGGACCTTTATGATCATTAACCTGGTGCCTTTTAGTCCTCCTGGACAGAATGGACTCTTCATTTGGGGGAAACCAAATATCTTTGATGTGTGAAAACAACTGCCCTCTACTCAGTCAGATTCAGTCAAATTTGTTGCCAATGTTATTTACTCATTCGTAGGACATTTTGTTCATGAACACTTAGGGTAGGGTATCTTTAAGATTTGATTTGTACATCCTCAACATACACAAAAATGAATAAAGTACTTCCCAAGCTCATCAATCCTCCAGTTTCCGTCTTTGACACAATGTTCAAATAACAGAGCAGCAGATGCACTCAAAATGTTTATTGAAACTTGGATTGATTTGTAACAATTACCAACTGATGATATCTAGTTTAAATTTGTGCTTAAGCATGTTTGGAGAAAAGCGGGGACATATTTGCGTGGCGGATCAGTTCCAGCCGATGGTCTGGTCGATCCATCCCCGCAGGTGGGGCACCTTTGTATACACGGCAGGAGTATGCACGTCACAGCTGGAGCTGCCCCAAGACACGATGCCCACCAGGCCCCACGAGCCACCTCTTAAACACACCAGAGGACCACCAGAGTCACCCTTGTTGAGATGAAAAAGAAAAAGGCAAGTTTATTTTGAAATCACTTTCCAAAAGAATGGATCTTTCTTCATTTTACTGAATTGTGCTCAGTACAAAAACATTTCCTTACAAGAATGAGAAAGCTATGGACTTGTCTTTGGTTTGACCACCTTTTGCTGTTACCAGGCCTGAAAATGTATATTTGTTGTGCAAACTTGCCTAATGTAGCAGATCTATAGAGAAACTTGCAAGCTTAAGCTTCTGGCAGCAACTCAACAGTCACATTAACAAGTGCCTAATTATGTTTTAGGGATAGGACTCCAAAAATGCCAACTTAGATTAATCTTAGGGCTGTTTTGATGTGTGATATGATGGAGAAGTTCTACCCTGAAATAGAGTATTGAGGCTATTAATATTAGTGTTTGTTAATATGTGAAAGGTACTTTAATGTCTCAAAGTCATTCTTTTACCTGGCAGGAAGACATTCCGGCAGCCCCAGCACAGATCATAGCATCAGTGATTCTGTTATAACCCCAGTAACTCCTGCACATGTCAGGGCTGATCACAGGCAGGGCCGTCTGCTGGAGATAACGAGGGGTCGCTGAAAACACAGCAGAATATAGGCGCATCATCATCCGCGCTGAAGCTACTCATGCCTACGCACACACAAGTGTACATCACCTCATCTTGTGTAAAACATGGGGAGTCGCTCACTTACAGGTTTGCCCTGTCTTTCCCCACCCAGTGGTAACACATTGAGTCCCAGGGTGGATTACGGCCATGGAGGAGGCCAGGCACACGGGAGACACGCGGTTGGTCATCTGCGCCGGGTGGGACAACTTCAGAAGGGCAATGTCGTTATTAAAAGTACTGGGGTTGTAGTTAGGATGTGTGAATATCTGTAGGGGGAGTTGAGAACAAACCTTAAACACGCAATACCACATGGAAATGATTCAATCTGTCTGTGAAGATTCTCAGGCATCCAGGTCTTGGTCAAGCTCGAAAAGTCCCGTTAGGCAACAGGACATGAATTTCACGTCCAGTTGCCTAACAGAACTTTTCAACCATTTTTTCATGGCGTCTCTCTTTACCTTGGCAATGATCCTGCGTTGAATATGCTCACTGTTGAATTCGAAATCATGCTCTCCCAAAACAACGCGGTGGGATATTTTGCTGGAAATTTTTTGGGAAGGAAACATTTTAACTATCTTAGTATTTCCAAAATTGACATATTTTCCATACCTTGTTGTTTTGGGACAGGTTAAGTTGCTTACGACACACGACAGTGAGCTGCAGTCACAACCCAGTACTGGTTTACAAGGGATCCCCCACAGAAGTGGTTAAACATGGTATCCTGAAATTGAAAATATGTTTCTTTACTAAATTTCTTAAGCTGATTCCATAAGATACATTTATGAGAAACAGTGGATTTCCAGAGCAGAGTGAAAAACTCACCTGAATTGAGACCTGCCAGGGCCAGGACCCAGACACAGCCGTCTCCCCATTTACAATCTTGTTGAATCCACTTATCTGGGGCTCAATGGCAGGCACCCCACACCCTGGTGCACAGTGATGCAAAGGAAAATGAAAACTTCTCTGAGCTCAAATGTGGCATTTTTGCAAAGAAATGTCAGCCCAGTGTTTAGTCATTTTGAGTTGCTGGGTGAGAGAGATCGACCTGAAGCTGTAGCTTGTAACCACAAGTGTGATTTGATTAACCAACAGATAAACATCTTTGAACACTGCACTCACCCAGTGCAGGGACCACAAGAGCAAAACAACCTATGAGCCAGAACATTACTGCCAATTGGTCGTGGTTCACCTCCTTGCGTGTCAGCTATGTGTGGCACCAGCTTATAAATGTGTGCTCCACGTGTTTGATCTGAGTTGTAGAGTATGACTTTAAACACATCCCACGCGGCAGGTTCCACCTGCCTGAGCTAGTGAGTTCACCACCTGGCGATAAGAACTCTTTCTCAGAGTACTTACGATGCTTATACATACTTATGACTTACTTCTTGTTATACTTTGCATCACATTCATTTGAGCTGAGTCGTGGTTCACATAAAGACAGATATCAGTGCATTCTGTGAATAAACTCTTCATTAGATGTCGGTGGGGAGGAACAGCGGTTACCTGCATATCAGACAGCCAGTGCAAAGCACGTGAGCACTTTGATGATACACTTAGATGATACAGTCATTGTGGCTGTTTTTAAAAGTAAAAAAACAAACAACATTTCTTAAGCATTTCCTGTTAGTGATGATAGCTTGATACTGACTGATTTAATCTGTTGGTTATTGCAAAATATGGATGGTTCATTGAGAGACCTTATGCAGATTTTTACTGAGTATTAGAGTAAATGCATGACTGCATGTTGAATGTTTTTTATCAAGAACGCTTTTACTTTATATAATGAAGCAGCAACAGTAAGCCTTATCATGTGTTTTCTCTTTGGCACTAGCAGTTGTGGGATTAAACACTATTGTCTCAAAAACTAAACCACTTCAGTTTACTTCTTCTCTGTACCCCCTTTTTAAAATATATGAGCATCTGGTTGTATCCACTAATAATATATCCAGTATTAATCCCCCTCTTCATTTGAATCATGAGACATATTTCAAAGCAGCAAAGCAGAGTGTGTCCAGACATAAGAACATGTGCACATACTCTTGCAGTATTATGTAAGATAAAGCATGACTAGACCTGTGTGGTTGTGAAATTGTCTTGTAGAAAAAACAACTTCTTCATCAGTCCATTTTATTTCACAGTTCAAAGAGCAAAAAAGCGTTCTCATGGAGGGAGTTGCACATAAGCATCTTCTATTACACATTGCTAACTGGAGCATGGAATTACTAAAAAACAAATATATTTAATTTTGTTCTCAAAATTGATTTGAAGCAAATTCATGGTAAACATTGCAAAAAGTTTGCTTTACAGATTCAAACATTACATTATTTACGTGACTGATTTGATCAACCGTTTAACATCTAAAACCTAAAGCCACGTGCATCGACTATGGCTGATAAAAGGTGGGTGTAAATGTGAACGACATAATGATTCTAAGCTTCTCGGTACAAAAAGATAGACTCATCAGGAAAAAAGAAGCATTGTTGTGTTGGAGAAATTATGTCATATTCACCCCGACATCTTTTCTTTTTGAGACATAAAAAAACAGATTTACTTTGACACATCTTCCCTGTCAAACTTCGACATCTTCTCTGGGGCTCTGTGTCCCCTCAGAGGTGAACACTTTTCTCTCTGTGAAGTTAAGGGAGGTTAACGTGTCTGTCCTCTCCACAGGAGACACAGAATCCGACTTTCGTGAAATTCTTGACAAGTGCGACGACAAGGACTGAGAGGACGCATACAAACGGTCCTCTGCCAGTGCACTCTCCAGAACAAAACATATGGACTGGCGAATCTTCTTTTGGAACTCATCACACAGGAAGACGTAAAGAATTGGGTTCAGGCAGCTGTTCATAAACGCCAGACTCACAGCCAGACCATTTCCAATATATATAATGCTTGTAAAATCTGACTTGTCTTTGATCATTACCTCAACAAAACTCATTACATGAAAGGGTAACCAGCAGATGAAGAAGGCAGTAACAACTGAAAAAAGGATGCGGAGAGTTCTCCTTCTCCTCTTCCTCTGCAGACGCTTGGCGCGGATCCCAATGGCCACACAAGAAATAAATATTACCATGAATGGGATGAGGAAGCCCAAGACAAAGCGGACAACACAAAGACTCTTGAAGTTCACGTGTGGACGATAACCACAAAACTTCTTGCCTTGATTTTCAACAACTTCACGAAAAGTGGCAAAAGGGATGCTGCAGGTTCCGGCCATGACCCAGATCACGGTGCTCAAGATCTGCGATTTTTGGACGGTGCGCTTGTTTTGTGCCCACACCACCACCCAGATGCTTACGCAACGATCCAGGCTTATGGCCGTCAGGAGAAATATGCTGGCAAACATGTTGACAACACTTACAAAATTATTGAGCTTGCACATAAACTCTCCGAAAGGCCACTGGTGGTCTTGATAGAGAGAGACGATTGAGAATATCAGGAAGGCGGTGAAGAGGAAGTCAGCCAAGGCCAAGTTGAGAAACCACACCGAGTTGACTGTTCTCTTCATCCTGAAGCCCGTCACGTAGATCACCAAACTGTTCCCCAAAACCCCAACAACAAAAATCATGCAGTAGAGGACCAGGGTGACAGTGTTCATGCGTCTGACGGTCAATTCCAGTCCAGATGATGGAGCAGTAGAGGCGGTGTTACCTAGAGAATAACAACAACCTGAGCAAGTATTTGCCAACTTTCTACAAAAGACCTCAATCTGATCCCATGTTGTTGTTTTTAAGGTTTGCCACATGACATATCTGCAATAAAAAAGTTGTTTTTTCATGCATACTTTAAAAAAAAAAGTCAATTTGCCCAGAAAAATTAGCATACTTCTTTTCTGCTGAAACAATTAAAAGTAATACTTTTGTATGTTAAAATGTCTTACCGGCCCCCATTTCTTCTGGTAGCTGTCAGAGCGAAGCCAGTCTTTATTCTGAGCCAGTCTCGGTCTCTGTCTGGACCACATCCCTTTAATATTTCTCCTCCCTCTTATTTCATGCATCTACCAATGAGGGAGTGCACATTTGCACAGTATGTGGCAGCAATGAATATATGCATTTATATATAAATATATGTCTGGTGACACTGGAAACACTTTTATCCTGTTCTTTATTCAAGGATGAAATTAGTTAGTTTAGAAACAAATGGCCCTTTTAAATGAATTGATCAAACAAGCAGGGGTCTATTTAAGAAAATCCAGTATTTCAAATGTGTTGACAACTTTCAAGTCACAATCATCATAGCTGAGTGACAAATTTCTGCACTGGTCTGCAAGAGTCCACCAGAGCCTTTTACAACCAACTGCATGGAATGTGTTTACCATGTTCATGTGCTTCCTGATCAACATCCAATTTTCAAAACAGCCGATCACAAAAAAGAGCAGGAGAATATTTTGAAAAAGTAGAGGAACTTTAAAGAGACAAAATGTGCACTTATTGAAAGCCTGGAAATAATGAAGACTGTACAGATTACAAAATAAAACATCCAGCAATTTTTTCGGTTACTATTATAAAAGAGTGAAAATACTAATGAATCTAAATGCAGTGCTGTTTGTTCAGTTTGTCGGGGTATATAGAGGTTACAGCATGGGTTGCATGAGTCAGAGTACTTCCTCTTTGGTCAGAGAAGTGGTTGCTGTGTCTTTCAACACTGATTAGAATTCATTTTGTTTGAAGCTTTTGAGAAATACACAAAAAATTGAGTCATTAAAAGGAACATGGACCATGGAGTTAAGGCACAAACCATCACTCCTCAACGTCTGGCCTTGAGCAGCCTTTTCAACTGTCAGCATTTGGGCTCCAATATAAATGTCAGGTGGACGCTACAAGCCCCCAGCCCTCAGACATGCTGACACATCAGACACACACATGTCGAGGTGATTATGACAACGGTTTAATAATAACTAGCTAGAGACATACTCCAACCCTCACCATGATTTCTTTGCATGTATCCTTTATTCATCCATAACCCAAACTAAAAAGAAAATCCTACAATAGGCCACTTTACCACACAAACACACACACACGTTTGTGAGTGCGTCTTTGTCTACAAAGAAAGACATCGAGCCCTGTATTGTTGTCTCAAGAATTTAATGTTTGAGTTGAGTGGAATCATTCCAGATCATTCTCGCTTTGAATACCATTCCCAGCACTGTCCAGTTCATGTTTGCTCTGGACCGAATCAACCGTTTATGAAGCTGTTGGTCAACACGGAAGCATGCTTGTGCAGTAGATTAGTTGTAAGCAATGGTCTGGTCGATCCAGCCGCGCAGGTAGGACACACGGGCGTACACGGCAGGGGTGTTCACATTGCAGTTGGAGGTACCCCAAGACACAATACCCACAAGGGACCACACACCACCACTCTCACAAACCAGGGGGCCGCCAGAGTCACCCTAAAGCAAGACAAATGTATAGTTCAATGGACCAAAAGTTCTTCCAAATGTTCATTTCACATTTGAGTGCCCAAACACTCAAACACTGCTTTTTTAACAGCTCTGTACAGGATGTGGGAAAATGACTTTTAGTTACAAGGAAATGTGTTTCAAGAATGATTTACTGAGTGAAACTGCCTGGCGCTTCCGTTGGCAACATTATTACAGACTGCTTGGTAGGCCTTTTTACAAATGTTCTAAATGTTTGGTTTAATGTACTCTCCACATCCTTACTTGAAACATGTTCATAACATAAATGCACACATACATTTTTAGCATGTCTATGAAACTACTTTCATCAAGGCTCTATGTCTGTGATGCTAATTTCTTCTTGTAAAGCACAGAAAAGCCATCGAATAGAATGTTACCTGGCAGGAAGACACTCCAGAAGCACCAGCACAGATCATGGCATCAGTGATTCTGTTATAACCCCAGTAATTCCTGCACTGGGTGGGGGTGAGCAGAGGCAGAGCCGTCTGCTGGAGGAAGCGGGGGCTCGCTGAGGACAGAGGTAAAATGAAGATGAGGATGATGCAAAGCAAAGCCTTTTATTTGAATTTTTCTATTTAAAGTTGTTCACAAGTGCATATTTAGAAATGTAATCTTGCTTGCGGCATTTAGAGTAGCTCACTTACAGGTTTGTCCAGTCCTGCCCCATCCAGTGGTCACACATTTGGTCCCAGAGGGGATGCTGGTGCTGGAGGAAGCAAGACAAACTGGAGAGACGCGGGATGTAATCTGCACTGGGGAGGACAGCCTCAGAAGGGTGATGTCGTTGTTAAAGTTGTTGGAGTTGTAATAAGGATGTGTGATGGCCTTGGTGGAGAGATTAGGGTGATGAAACTTCAACTTAGCAACAATACAAGCAACATTTGACATTTTCATCACAAAATCTTTCAGCTGTGTGTTCTCTTTCCTTACCCTGGCAATGCTCTTGACCTGAATTGGCTCACTGTTGTACTGGCGATCATGCTCTCCCAAGATAACGCGGTGATTCGTTGGTCTGGAAAAAATAAGGATATTCTCCGCAATTACTTAGTATTTGTTCTTGTTTGTTATCTTGCAGTTGAACATGTCAAGTTACTTACGACACACGGCAGTGAGCTGCAGTGACCACCCAGTACTGGTTAATCAGGGATCCACCACAGAAGTGGAATCCTCTACCATCCTAAGACAAAATGGCAAAATGCGCATTGATTTATCCTTGCGAGTCCTAATAATTGTGGTTTTCAGTGGCTGCTGGAAAACTTCAACAGCAGAGCAGAGTTAAAAACTCACCTGAAGTGAGACCTGCCAGGGCCAAGACCCAGACACAGCCGTCTCCCCATTTACAATCTTGTTGTATCCACTCACCTGGGGCCTAATGGCAGGCACACCACACCCTGGTGCACAGTATTGCAAAGGAAAATTAAATGTGACCTCAAATGTGGCATTTAAAAGCATGTCAGCTCAGTGTTTAGAGTAATTTAGAGTGCAGGTCTTCAAAGGACATGACTTGAAGCAGCAAGTTTTAATCAAAATTGTGAAATGATGTGCCCACAGATCAAATTATTTGAACCCGGTATAGCGCTTATCACTCACCCAGTGCAGAGGCCACAAGAGCAAAACAACCAATGAGCCAGAACATTGCTGCGACTTGGTCGTGATTCACGTCCCTGTGCGTAAGCTATGTGAGGCACTGGCATTTATATGTGTGCCGTAAATGTTTGACCTGAGTTGTGTGTTTGGCTCAATAAATGCCCTCCCCTTCTGCATTAGAAATGAGCCAGCTTGGGAAGAGACCGTCTGGAGATAAGTACCCGACTTCAGATAATTTATCCAAACTTGCCTTCAAAAACAAATAGTTTGCATCTGTTTTTCTTTGGTATGAAAAACAGCAATTTTCTGATCTTGTGGATAAAATTTCTGTCTAACTTGAATCAATTAATTAATTTCTGTCAGCTTTTTTCAAAGCATGTTTTTCAGAGTGGTAATGTTTCATGTGCAGAAAGGTAGTTCAAAACAGGAAAATAGATAATGACCACATGCGTGGTATATTCACAGGAACAAAGCTTATCAGCAAGTTTCAACAAAAGCAAGTAGTGTGACACTACATCCCTCTCTACTGCAAATGCTGCTGTGTGTCAAGAGTTTTTGTTTACAATTGCAACAAAAATATTAATGACAAGTAACGCAATGCAGCTTGAGTTGGAATCTCACAGTTTCTTTATTGGTTTGAACATTTGAAAGACAAATTAGAGGATGAACTTTTTAGGAAGATCATTATAAGTGATGACACAGCATGATCAGATGTTGGAGGCATTCTGTGCTGCTTGTATTTCTTTACTTTCATTCCAGAACTGAGTGATACATCTGCATCATACATTTCAATAATTCAATGCAGGTCCTCTTGAAACGAAAATCCCAACAGAGAAGATCACCAAATGTGTTAGAATATATTTCAGCTTGAAAAGTTCAGTTTAGGCAACTGGAAGTGAAGATTTCAAGAAAACTTCATGTCCAGTTGCCTAAACTGAACTTTTCAATTACCTGGATGACTGAGAATCTTCACAGATATTCAAATATATTTGTATTTCATATTATATCCGGTGTAGGAGATTGAGACATGTTTAATCAACCTCCTCAATAGTTGGGCCAGAAGAAGAACCAGCTCCTGCTCCACCAGGCATTCCTCCAGGCATTCCTCCTGGCATTCCTCCTGGCATTCCTCCTGGCATGCCACCCTGGTACAGCTTGGAGACGATAGGGTTACACACCTTTTCTAGTTCCTTCTGCTGGTGTTCATACTCTTCTTTCTCTGCCATCTGTGTAAAAGAAATATAAAATAAGCTACTGCGATGAGAGACTTTGATGTAGTCAAGTTTGCAAACACAAAAATCTGTGAAAGCAGAGACTTTATCTATATGTGATGAAAGCCTGTCAAAGAGGCTTCCAAAGAGGAATCTGTATTTGGTGAAAAGACCACTAGCTCAGATGTGAAGATTTCTACCTGGTTTTTGTCCAGCCAGGCAATGACGTCGTTGCATTTGTCCACAATGGCCTTCTTGTCCTCAGGGCTTATCTTGTCTTGGAGTTTCTCGTCTTCTACTGTGCTCTTCATGTTGAAGGCCAAAGATTCGAGGGAATTCTTGGCAGTGACTTTGTCTCTCTGGGCCTCATCCTCAGACCTGAACTGCTCTGCCTCCTGCACCATGCGCTCAATGTCCTCCTTTGTCAGCCGTCCTATGGAAGGAATACAGGACTCAAATTATTTGTTCATTTTGCTCATGTTTCTAACATGGTATATTTGTTTTGTAATGTGTGAAGGATTATTACACCTTTGTCATTGGTGATGGTAATCTTGTTCTCTTTTCCAGTGCTTTTGTCCACCGCAGACACATTGAGGATGCCGTTTGCATCAATGTCAAAGGTCACCTCTATTTGAGGGACACCTCTAGGAGCAGGTGGAATACCCGTCAGTTCAAACTTTCCCAAGATGTTATTGTCCTTTGTCATTGCTCTCTCGCCTTCATAGACCTGTTGATAATTCATTCAGAAGATCATTTGTGTGATCGGTGAACCTTTTTAATGATCAAAATTACTCATAAAAACTGATGTTAAGTATTTAGTTAACCTGAATAAGCACGCCAGGCTGGTTGTCTGAGTATGTCGTAAAGGTCTGGGTTTGCTTGGTGGGGATGGTAGTGTTCCTTTTGATAAGGACCGTCATCACTCCTCCAGCTGTCTCAATTCCCAGGGACAGGGGCGTGACGTCCAGCAGGAGCAGGTCCTGTACATTCTCAGACTTATCACCAGCCAAGATGGCTGCTTGCACGGCTGTGAAGAATTTCCAAAAGATAAAATCACATTGCTCAAAAGATTTTAGAGCCAACTTTGAAAGCAGGTCAAATGCTGTGGAGACCTACCTGCGCCATAGGCCACAGCCTCATCAGGGTTGATGCTTTTATTTAAGTCACGACCGTTAAAGAAATCCTGAAGTAGTTTTTGAATTTTGGGGATACGTGTTGAGCCACCCACAAGGACAATGTCATGGATCTGGCTCTTATCCATCTTCGCATCCCTCAGGGACTTCTCCACAGGTTCAAGGGTTCCCCGGAACAAGTCTGCATTAAGCTCTTCAAAACGGGCCCTGGTGATGGAGGTGTAGAAGTCCGTGCCTTCATAGAGTGAGTCGATCTCAATGCTGGCCTGGGTGCTGCTGGACAGGGTGCGCTTGGCACGCTCGCAGGCTGTGCGCAGACGACGCACAGCACGCTTGTTGTTGGTGATTTCCTTTTTGAACTTGCGCTTGAACTCAGCAATGAAGTGGTTGACCATGCGATTGTCAAAGTCTTCACCGCCCAAGTGTGTGTCACCTGCTGTGGACTTGACCTCAAAGATGCCATCCTCAATTGTCAAAATTGACACATCAAAGGTACCACCCCCAAGATCGAAGATGAGAACATTGCGCTCACCACCAACCTAATGTAAGGAGAAATTATTATAAATGGGTGGAAAAAAATAGAATGAAGTATTGAAGAGTAGCTAGTGACCTTTTTGTCCAGTCCATAAGCAATGGCTGCAGCAGTGGGCTCATTGATGATTCGCAGGACATTGAGCCCAGAAATGGTTCCAGCATCTTTGGTAGCTTGACGTTGGGAATCATTGAAGTAAGCAGGAACTGTGACAACAGCGTTGTTCACAGGCTGAAAAAAATGAAGCCTTATCCTCAGTAAATAGTATTTGTTAAATTCACATTTTAAAACAATAAGGAAACTAAAATGTGTCAATTTTTGTACTGGGCTTTGAGGCAAATTAAATGGTCTGCTATGATTATAATTTGATTATAATATATACAATACTAAAACTAGGGGCATTTCAATCTTTGTCTACATTCATTGTGATTTACTTTACCTTGCCGAGATAAGCTTCAGAGATCTCCTTCATTTTGGTGAGAACCATTGATGATATCTCCTCAGGGTAAAAGGTCTTGATCTCACCTTTATATTCAACCTCTACTTTGGGCTTGGAGGAGTCATTCACAACCTTGAAGGGCCAGTGCTTCATGTCAGACTGCACCACAGAATCGTCAAATTTGCGACCAATCAGACGCTTGGCATCTAATGAAGATTTAGTGGAAGAAAATAAGATTGTTTAAGTTACTTTACGAGTAAACGTGTACAATTATTAATTTCATTAAAAAAATGGAATGTTACGTTATATCTCTGATTGTTAGTAATGTTTTTTCTCATACCAGCTGAAATGAGATAATATTGGATTCATTATATTGATTAGTAGCGATATGGCTCCATTGTAGCATATAGTGTATTTTTACAGAAACAGTGGAATGTATTAAAATTTCTCAATTTCTGTACAACTTCTTTCAAAGGTTATTCTTAAAAATGTGTTCTTTTACTGATAAATCCTGTTCAGAGGAAAGTCCATGAGTTAAATTCTTAGTAATGTGTTACTGTGTGAGTTCTTTGGGTGAAGTGTTGCGATAACAGCTACATGTAGATGGAACCTTAGCAAAAGTAAATGGCTGAAATCCCCTCAAAACGTCCAAACAAAGAGTGCAAATTGTACCAACAACTAGATTTGTTAATCTGATGGTCTGTTTTTAAGTACAGAGAAAGTGAGAAAGAAGTGAAAGAATTAATGCTGTGTGTTAATGGTTTCTGGGCAGTCTTGTCATTACCAAATACAGTGTTGGCTGGGTTCATGGCCACTTGGTTCTTAGCAGCATCTCCAATGAGTCTCTCTGTGTCAGTGAAGGCCACATAACTGGGGGTGGTCCTGTTTCCTTGGTCATTGGCAATGATCTCGACTTTGCCATGCTGGAAGATTCCCACACAGGAGTATGTGGTGCCCAGATCAATACCAACTGCAGGTCCTTTAGACATCTTAGAGGAATAAATCAAACGTGTTTAGTTATTGGAGCGCTTTTTTACTTTTGAGTACAATGCCACATAAAGCCATGTATTGTCACACAATATGTGCCAACCAGTAGATAATGGCTTACATCACGTCCGCACACAGAACGATTGGATTGTGTCATACAGCCTTTAATTCAGTGTCCAAACTGCTTTTCTCCTCCCCTCAGTGATTTCACACAAGGGAGTCTCAGTGAGGCCTTACAAATATAATTTACTGATCTTGTATCAGTGATCTGTGAGTCTATTTTACGACAGCTGGCTCCAAATAGTACTCACTTACTATAATAAGCATCAGCATGTCTACATGGCACGACATTAGTGGCAAGAAATTCGATCTTTCAAGTTTTTTAAAACCAAAACTGTAAAAAACAAAACAAAAAACAACAACTTTGTGAGATAAAATATTGTTTTTCTTCCATCTTCTTCTGATGGATAAAACTGTTGCAACCAGTACATGTGATTGGATTATCATTTGTTAAGTAGTTGTGTAACATAGTTGAAAATGCTGACATACTGCTTTTTTGTCCGTCCAATCTAAATCTGGCTTTGAATTCTTTTTTACATTATATCGTTGATAAACTGCTTATGCACCTTTTTTCCCGAACTAAGAATTGCTTTCTCATGGCATTTTTTTCTTTTGACAGAAACCATGCATTCCTCACTTTTTGGTAACCTCTCACTGTAAAACGAGAGCAAGGCAGTAAGCGAGATTAAATTAAACCAGGCCAGAGTACAAAGCTCTTTTTACATGTGTCAATATATATATATACACACACATATATATATATATATACTGTTACCTTGCGTAGTTAGACCTTCAAAGCTTGAGCGTTTACTGAATTAAAGGGATGCTGTGTTTCTCGCCCAGCACTCAACGCGGCCGTCTGGACTCGTCTCCAGCACTCTTTCCTTCTCCAGGCAGTCAGACTAAGAGGGTGAGCGACTCTTCTCCCCCGTGTATATAGAGCTCTGCAGGGAGAGTCAGGTGACTTCACCCAGGAAAGTTCTAGGCTAATGTTTCTGCTGGTTTGATTTCCTTGAATGAAAACTTGCTATTCTTATCTACTCAGGCCTTAGCTCATGGAACAGATATAGTTGATGGACAGAGGTAATTCTGGAAAAGAAAATTAGAATAATCTTAACTTGATTTTCGAATTAAAAACAAATCAATCAAAACATTACAATAACTTTATTGTTACTTTTTTTTGTTATGAAAAAAGTTGTTTCTGAACATGGATAATGTTGTTCAAATGCTATATATGCTAGGCTATAGTGTTACGTTGCAAGTTTTTCTGAATGTTCTATGACCCTTGTGAAAACCCATTGCCAGCAAAGGCAAATATTTCCTTAAGTTACTTTACAGATTGTCAACAGTGATTGGTATTGTGTTGCACTAAGACATAGTGTTGTATGTCAGCTTTATGCATATATATGTGTAAAACTACATTTGTGTAACATTTCCACTTGGAAAAAGTTTATGTAGTTTCTGGAAGGCAGTTTCCAGAGGATTTACACCATGTCGTATCCCAGGTTGGACCCACTGTGGAAAGTTATTCTTCGTTCCCTCATTGCAAAGTCTTTAAAAGAACAAGAAGTATTTCATTGAAAAAGAGGACAAAATATTACACAAATACAATAAGTCCTGTTATTTAGCAAATAATTAAATAATAAACATAAGTATTGCCAAAAACAAACTAAAATCACCATAAGTGGCTTTGCTAATTCACAATTTCTCAATAGCATATATAGTGTGCTACTTAAATTCCTGCTGAAAGCAGGCGCTGTACTTCTCCTTCCTCTTACTGCACAGTCTCTCTGCCAGAGCTCATCTATTCTCGTGGCATGGGCCTCTCTGGCTTATGAGCCATCTTGAAATTAAATATAACTTCAGCTTGTTACAGCACCTGTTGCGACAAGCCACATCTACACACTGTTGGTATTTCAGTGGAGTAACATTATATATATGTCTTTACATATATACATATGCACGCACACAAAGACATTTAAAAACATCTCTCATACTCATAGCTTTTCATTCAACATACATACAGGTATATAATCACGAAGACAACACAACATTTTTAAGTCAAGCAGCCATCAAATTATTTCCCTCAGAAATAAAAAGCCTGATAAATCTTATTATAATGTTCCATCAATACTATACCGGAATGATCAGCCCTTAATCATTAAATGTTTTTTATACATATAAATAAGATCTTCTTATGATAACAAATCACTTTAAAACAAATAAACTGCGCAGCTGATAGAAAAAGTCCTCCTGTTTGCTCCTGTTTGTCCTGCAGCGGCCATCCATGTAATCCAAAGCACAGCGCTTGCAGTAGTTGTAGAAATGGTGCTCTGCTTTCTTCAGGGTGCTGTTTAGGTCCAGTTTTCCCTGAAGGCTGCGCATAAGAGAGTAGCTCCATCATTATTATACAAACCTAAAAACACACACAAGTTACACAAATACAATCGGACACAAACCTGCTGGTAAACTGGATGAGCTGGACATCGTCTCGGCACAGCAACAGAGGCTCTCTGTTTTCTAACAGAATGGCCGCACAGATGAAAAGCTCAAAGGTGAAGTCAGTGTTGAAGGCGGGCAGCGTTAATTCCGAACAGTCCTCTGAAAACGTCGGAAGGCAAAGACACAAATATCTCAGACATCTTTGAGGTGTAACTTTCAGGAGCAGTTCCCTTTTGTCGCTTTTCCCCCCTAAATGTGTCACCTGTGCAGTATCTTTGCGCCAGTCGTTCCTGATAACGGGCGCGGTCCACTTGTTGTGAGATGAGCTCCAAGTGGTCACAACTCAAGATCTCAAACAGACGTAGAGCATCACTGTGTTCAAACTCCCTTTGGAAACCCAGTAATAGCCATCTTAAAAGGAGAGGCAACACATTAAAAGACATAGCAATAAATGGCATAATATATGTATGTTTATATACTTTAAGACAACAGAGAATGTTATGAAAGAGCTACCGGTGGCAGAATGTGAAGCTCTCCATACTGTCTCTAATCAAATGGGCATAAAGTTGAGGGTCCAGTTCCTTTAACAGGGCAGCCTCCAGTTCTGAAAGATGTTGAAAACAACTCCATATGCTTAAAATTATTTAATTTTTTAACAGACATTCGGATCTGAGATTGGACAGAAAGTTGCTTAAGGCTTACACCATACAAAAGTTACAGCCTGGCACAAAGAAGTCATTTTTACATGAGGAAAATCTAATACATTCAGAACAATTGGAGTAGAAAATACCAGTAGGTACTCTTGACTGATAAAAACAAAATAAAACTGATGAGTACTAGTCTCGAAATAAAAGACTGCATTTAAAAATGATACTCTTACCTATTTTTCTGTGCAGGCCATCAGCTCGAAAATCCCTGGAAAATTTTTCCATGTAGCAGGAAAAACTCCAGAAAGTGTCGACCTCAGAGTCAAGAACCTCAAGGAAGCGGCTGCACAGGTCATTCATTCCCTGAGCATAACTAACCTCTGGAAAACAATGACAGCAAACATTGCATGACCAAATGTTCGGAATAAACACGCTTTAAAGCTGCGTGATCCACTAAAGCGACTCAACAAGGACTGAGTTTGCTGCTCACCTGGATGAAAAGCAGCATAAGTGATGAGGATATCTCTCAGTACCAACAGGTTGCCTAAACCTTCGTTCCTTGGACACACAAGAAATGTTAGTCATACACAAGAAAGAAGTAAAACATATGTTCCACGCCAGATTATCTTATATATTTAGTCTTTTTACATATGACACAGTAAGAAATCGCACAGAAAGATTGTTTCTTTTACTTAGAGGAGACTTTTTTTGTTGAGCGTATGATAACGAAATGAAACCTGTTCAGACAGGACTTCTCCAGTTAGTGAACTGGTCCGGCAAACTCTGACTGGTACTGAGGTTCGTTTAAAATACAAATGCACCCTCTGATGAAGATTTGCATAATTTCACGCTTTTAGTCTTGATAATGGCTGGGTGTTCGGTTTTTATTTTCGTCTTCCACTTAAAACTAAATTTCCCATAAACTTCATATTGAGAGTAAGTAACTGGCCTCCATCTGCTGAAGTGGTTTTCACAACTCACTGGTAGTAGCTCAGGTCTCTGTTGGTTCGAGGCACATCCTTGTCAATGATTCGTATGGCTTCCCGTAGCTCCTCACCGTCAAACGAGACACGCTCAAATACTATCTGTTAACAGAACGGAAATGTTGACACAAGAGAAGCCAGACAAGTTATTAAAGAAACATAATGTTTCCTTGACCTGCCTCTGATCAGCAATAATTTACAGTATGTGATTCTACAAATCTATGGAGACCTATTCTAGAGATGTAACATCTTTTATCCCAAAAAGCCCCCCTCAATAAGTGTTTTTTGAAGATTCCCTTCATCAGAAGGGTCAGTGATTCAGATTTTCCTGTAATATGTTGCTTGTCTGTAAACATGAGTACAACTGATGGAGATCCCAATACATCCAGCTTCCATAGAGGAACGTACATTTGTATCATTCTATCATGTTAGAAAAAAATGAACAATATTGCTTATGCATATAAGTTCAACTGTTGCATGTGTTTTATTTATTATTTATTTATGTGGGTATCTATCTGAATGCAAAGCCTGTCAGCTTCACACTTCAAGTAGCACAAAGAGACCGAATGACAGCAGAGTTCATTGCCTAGGCATATACAAGTCACTTTTCCTGTAATATATAGAAAATCAATTTAAGATAATAAACAAACATATTAATACGTTAAAAATATATTCAAACTAGAGAGGTCAAACCTGTGCTTGAAGCTCCAAGAAGGCCAACCTGTCCCTAAGCTCCTCTGAACAGTCCTGTAAGCTCTGTTGTGCCTGGGCCTCCCTCTGGTCAAAGTACCTGACAGCCGAGAGCAACTCAGCTGGGTCATATATGGGCAAAGAATGAAAAAAACAAATCAAGAGAAAATCTGTTAATTAGTCCATTCCCGTTCGGTTAGGTAGGAAAGGCCAAAACAATCTGAAAGACTCTGTTATCGGTGAGAGCTGAAGTCGTGTGTGTCTGAGCCTTTACCGTCGGTGCCGTTAAGGTGTATTCGCACGGCTGAGGGAAGAAACTGCTGCCACTTCCTCTTCATGACCCGGTAACGCACCAGTAGCTGCTCCTGCAGCAACGAGCGCTCCAGAGCTGTGGAGCCACAAGAGTACATCCCGAACAGGAAGCGCCACACCAGGCCTCGCTCAGACGGAGACACACCCCCTGGAAAGGGATTGAAAACCTTTTTTAAAGCAGCTATGTGAAGTGTATTCCCTCAGTTACCCCCCCCCTCCCTTTTTCTCATGTGATTATGTTCCCCTTCTTCTGAATAGATCCCACCAACTTAATAAATGCTCTCTGTTGTTTGAGCACAGTTTTCCTGTTGGTGTTTTTTGGCCCCAGGAAGTCTGATGTACAATAGCATGTTAGAATTCATGAGAGAGTGGCTCGATTGTGACTCAGCTAAAAGTCCTGGAGCAAAGCATCACTTGACTTAGGCTTGGTTTGCAGAGATTATATGGTCACAATGAACTGCTGCATCTGAGGCTACACACAGACATTAAAATCTCTGTAGAATTTCTTTACAGCACGGGGTGTGGGAAAAGGAGTTAATGCCTTTACTTATTTACTCATTTAACTAATGGTATGTGTGTTTTTAACCAGATGTGTACAAAGTCCTTCTTCTTTAACATCCCCACTGTTATCATTTTGTTAATTGTTTTTTTTGGGGGGATAAATATAACTTCTGCAAAAGTGCATATGAGTCATTATACATTTCTTTATAGTCAAAGATTGAGCTTTTTGTATTGCTTACATGCTTTCAACAGCAGAAATTTAGCAAACTATGTAAGATGATCAAAAATAGAATGTTAAGTGAGAACAACTATGAACAGACAGATCAATTAGTACTCTCAGCTCAAATATAAGATAAGATTTACTGGCTGCTGAATAGGCATTACTCTATGCCAGATATGTTCCCCATATAAATGCAGATTCACACATCCTCCGACACAGGCTAATTGGGTATTATTGATCACATTAGATCGCTTTATTTGGCCAATTGTGACTCAAACCCTCAGTACTCTATCAACTATTCTGTTGAATTAACGTCATGTAAAATCGATAGGCCTGTCTATCAAAAAGCAATAGCGCAGCTCTAAATCGTTTGAATATATCTACGGATAACGGACCGTTTTTGAAGATGTGCATCCTCAGTCTGGACTCGTCGACCCTCCCCTCCGCGTCCATGACCCCCGGTAAGGTGAGCCGCGCTCCGGCCAGAGCCGGACAGCTGACCGCTGCGACCCTCCGGACGGAGCCGGTGGCTTCTGCTGCCCTCGGCTTCCCATTGTTGTTGTTTAGATCTTCCATGCGTGTGCGCGGCGTTTGCGATTCGGAGCGAAGTGAAGCCGCATGTTGTTGGCTAAAAGCCGCGCCTCTTCCCAAAACCCATCTCCCTGAAAACTAACTCCTCACAAGCCCAGACGTCCGAGATGACCAGAGCAGCCCAGAAACGGGTTCAGGAAAAAATGATTTCCAGCTCCGTGGTTTCACATTTGGCCAGCCGGGAGTCATATGACTGCACCTTTAAGATCCCAGTTTGACCTACATTCCAGGTGGAGTCTGCGAACTCCAGCTCCAAAGTTCACAGTGGCTCTGCGAGAATGTCGCACTCCCCCCATCTAGTGGTTTTCTGTAAACAACATCAAGTTAATCAAAAGATGACAACGGGAAATGAGCCCTTTACGGCTGTGTCGCCCACCAAATCTCAGTGAAGATAAATAGTTTCTTTTGTTGGGTAATTGGCTTCCTTGATTGAGTTGAATGAGTTTTTCGCAGCTTTGTTTGCAAAGGGGCACATCATGTTTGAAGCAGCTTTCTGTTTGAATTTTTAAGCGCAAACTGACCAGTCCCAACATTCAAACCACAGACCAAAAAGAGGGAAAACTGCTCATCTTGAAAATAACTGCTTCATCCTCACAGTATTCAAATTCACATACAAAAACTGTATGTTAGAGCAGGAGCGGCTATTTATTTAAGGGTTCAGTTTATGCTAAAATATTACATATCAAAAGGCAGAAATTGTAATGACAAAGTCAGACACCAGAGACTCCAAGAGGACTGCACACGTACAATCAAAGTCAAGACAAGAAACATGTGCTCCAAAAATTGGTGTCATGTGAGGCTAGCATTTCTATATGAGATGTGTAGTCATGCCATTAGTGCAGTACTGATCAAATCTACATCAACACTCTGAATGGTTATATTTTAATGGATATATGAGCATGTGAAAGTATTTTGGGACTAATTGAACCTCATCCCATCTTTGACACATCTGTAATCCCAGGTCAGGCTGAAGTTATTGTGCTAATACGAAGGTCCGGACATCCAAGTTAGACGTGAGGCCTTTGTAAAACATTGATTGTTGCATTCTGACTACTTAAACCCACTTAGAACATTGATCCCAGGATAAATGCGGAATATTTTTGCCATGATTACCATCTGAGGATTTCAGGTTATGCTAAACTGTTTCCAAAGGATTGTGTTTGTCCTCATATGTGGACCATGATTGGACTGGAGCACAGAAACAAAGGTAGAGCCAACACCTATAGCAAGTTTCTTTTAGCTAAGATTACCAAACACTTATTCTGGATGTTATGGGTTTCATCACTTCCTTCTCAAAGAGCGAATTATTTAACTATACTTAAATAATTCATTCCTGCTGTAGTTATTACCAATGATTCTGTTCACTGAAATAACACAATTTGATGTTATAGAATCACCCAGAAACCACTTCATGACCTTAATTTAACTGCTCTAGGTGCATACAGCTGGATAGACACCCTCAGTAAGTACATTGAAGGAAATGTGATTATTTTCAGCTTTCTTTTACAAGCATGTGAGGCTTAGCATTTGCATTCAGTGTCTGGACATGGCTGTTGCACTACTGCCTGTAAACATTTTCACAGGTTCACCACATACGCATCAGTGGCCACGAGAGGTGAGAAAAACTGACTGGCTAAAGAGACTTTGTAATAAAGTGTAAAACTTGCCCTGAAGCACATGGACTTTTGTTGAGTTCATTTTTGTGACCAAACTTCTGCCATTTCCCGTTACTTTATGCAAGAGGAAACACACCTAAAATGTTCACATCTTTGCTAAGCTCTGAAACATACTGACAGAGCAAGCCGTTCAACATCCCTCACAGTGAGTATTTTGCGTGGTTTTATTGACAAGTTAGTCATTTAACTTTGTCTTTGAGTTAAAAAGTCCATTTAATCTGAGCTCATTTGATGTTGGAATGATTCTGTTTGACAGCTCAAGCGTTTTTTATTGGATCAAATGGAGCTTCCAAACCTGATAGTGCTCAGTCTCATACTAACACTGGCCTTGTTTTCAAAAGGTGGGCGCCACGTTAAGCTGACACGTTTGTCTGTAAAGTATAAGGTATGAACTTGAGCAACCTAAATTCAGATTGTTTTTTTTTTTCAAAACAGCTCTGGACTGGAAAATAAAAGTGGAAAAAAAACATGTTGGAAAAATTGGAGAAGACATAACCATACAATGCACCTACAGCTATCCAAAAGATCAGAGAACAAATGACTTTAAAGTTTACTGGAAAACAGAAGGGAAGAGTGACTGTAGTAAGAAAGACAAGGACACCAATGCATTTGTTTTCCACCCTAATTCCTCTTGTGTGGTTCCCAAGTACAGAGGAAAAACAAAGCTCATCGGAAAAAAAGACAATGGCAGCTGCTCTCTGCTGATCAAGGACTTAAAAGAGCCGGAACCATTTATCTACGTTCGTGTTTGTGGACTTAGCGACAGCTACAGTTTCAAAAAACAACCCGTTTCCATTTATCTGCATGGTTGTAAGTGTATTAGTATTTTATGTTTCAAACATCTTCAAATCTCAACTTTATTCTAATGTATTTGACAATTTTATCTGACGTCAGATGATGTGCGTTTCCTAAACTGAACAAGAAAATCACAAATGTCTCATGAGGTTTCATCTAAACAGCATGAAATCCACAACAACCTTGTTTTGTTTTTTTTAGATCTCAACATCTCCAAAACAGCTGATGACAATGTCACATCAAGTAAATCTATATTTGCTCTGATTATATTAGTAAAAACCGATAAACTGATATCCATTTTTTTAGAATCTTCCGTTTGTTGCTTTTATTGAAATTATTTCTGCTCACAGCTATGTCCACCAGTGATGTCCAAAACAACTATATTGTGTATCTGACCATATTTGTACCAGTTCTGGGACTCATGACCTTTCTTCTTGTTGGAGCCGTGGTTTGCATCAAACGCAAGAGGTAACATAGTTTTTTTTTATTCTTTGTGAACTGAGTGTAGTGCTTCTAGGCAGGGGAGCTTTCTGTTGCTCTCCAAAACTATCCAAGACTGATCTTGGCATTTTAAATTAGCTAAAACCAAAAATGTGTACAATTAATGCCCACTAACCTCTTTCAATGCCTGACTCTTTTCTTAACATCACTTAGAAACAATACACCAGGAGTCAACAGGCCTCCCACAGAAGGGGCTATCAAGGAATCAGATTACTATGTGAACTTTAGCTCAGCGTCATCAAACCTATCTAACAAGTAAGATTTATGGTTCTCTCCATAAACCAAATGGCATCATAGCAAATCTCTTTTTTTGTGTATGAACTCAATAAATGCTTGTTGTTGTTACTGTTGCGTGTTTTGAGGACAATGTAGGTTAACATAGGATACAATGATGCAACTTTCTTTTTCTCAGTAAATCCAAATCTGGCAAAAGTGTCGACATGGGAGTTCCTGAGCAGAAAGCCATTGATGAGGCCATCTACATTAATTTCCAGGTACATTTGACTTATATTTGCCTTAGATTTGATATCCCTGGTGGACTTCAAGACATGCCCTTTAGGTGTTGGAAAAGTTACATCTACCCTTTATTGTTCTCTGTCTTTGCAGGGAGCAGCAGATCAAACCAGACAAAGTGCGGATCCCATAGACAACATTTATGCAAATGTTGACTGTCTCTAAAAGGAAAAGAAATGTATTAGTCAATTAACCAAACAATATCTTTTAAGAACAAAGTTGTCTTCTGAATTGCTTTGTGAGAATGTGCTTTTTCAATGACCTGCCAAATATCATGCAATTAATTTTGGATGCAGTGTCCTCCAACCCCACAGAAAAACAGACACAGCTGCAGAATGAATGGAAAGAGAGTCGCTTATTTCAAACTAAAATCTTAACTACCTTTTGTCAAATATGACGAAGCTCCAAAGTACCAACTGGAGAATACATTTCATAGTCATTATGTCAGCAATTTACCACCGTAAGGAGCCAGTGAGGACAAGTCCATAACCAAGAGGGGACTATGGGAGACAATTACTACAATTCAAGTCAAAACAATTCCCAGGAATTGCATGATGTTTGATTTCCTGCTTGTTTTTGCTAGTTTCTACTTCTGTGTTCAATATACTGATAAACCCAGTTGCCTTCTGTTACAACGCTGACACAGGCTATGTTATCAAATATGTGATTATTTGGGTGTTGCAACTTAACTTTAGAAGTGCGACTTTTTGTCACAGAAGTTCTGCTTTCTGCAGAATGTTTCTTTCTAATCTATGAAAGTGGCGAAACATGCAACAGGCTGTGCTCCTTCTTTTAACACATAACCACATGGTGACAGTTGGTATTTTTTACTTTTCAGCAAAGCCTCTGTGTATTCGGTTGGGGCGGAGCTATTTACAGTCTGCTAAATGTGTTCACACCTTAAAGAAAATGTTAATTGAATGTATATTCCCAAAAAGGATCTTTAGAAGAAATGGATTAAGTCAGATGCTTCTTAAAAACTAGAAAAAAAATACTTTTCTTCATTAAGCTATTTTTTTAAAGAGACTATGCCTTAATCTTATCTTAATATTGGGGAACTGTGTCTATACAAACAGGATTTGAAAACTGTCCATCTCCTGCATATTTGCACTGGCCTATCATCACAACTCAGAGCTGATAGAGCACAAGGGGAGTGGGCAAAGAAGTGTGCAACAATAAATAAATCCCCCTTATCCAGCTGGTAAATCACAAGTTTGAAAAAAAAATCTAAACCATCAATGACACAGATTTTTCAACCTAACTAAAAGTGAAATATTTAACGTATTATTATTGAAAACAACAAAAAAGTTAAGTTTTCCTTTTAAAAATATGACAGCATGCACTTGTAACATAGTTTTATGGTGTAGTAAATGTTTTACATATCTTTTTTCTCTCTACTCCAGCTTGATGTATATTTACTCTGTGAAGTCCTCAAAAATGTGTTTTTGCTCATTGCATGATGACCGCTCGTGCGGTCTTTCATGTAAGTCAATAAATAAGGACCAAAATAAGGATTTTTTTCTTTTTTGCCTCTGTAGTTTCAGAGTAGTTTTCATTTGACTACCTTTACCTACTTTCAGTTATTATTTGATCACATACACTACCTTTTTCCGTTAGACACTTCTTTGTAAGCATTATTCTGATTTATTGTGTATTCTTCATTTCCAGTTAAGCACACTGTTGCTGATTTGCATGCAAGGAACTCATTGTTCTGTGAACATTATCGCTGTTTGATTACAAGAAGAATGCCTAAATGTAGCATGCTCAACACTTGATAAAAGAGAAATGGAGAACATATCGCAACATCTTCTTTTTCCAAGGTCTCTGTTGCAGCCATATAAACAGCAGATGCTCACACACAAATGCAGAAAGACCAATTCTTACACAGCGACGCTTGACTGTGAAGCTCCACACAGGCTGAACCACACAAATAGTGTTTATTCATTCAGATTTTGAAGGGATTCAGAGGTGAGTTATTCATAAGTATATGAATTTAATTGTGATTACAAAATGGCTTTGATGTTTTCTTTATTTTTAACGTTTCTTTATTTTTTTCCTTTAACATTTTTCTGTCCAAGCAGCAATGGAGCTTAAATTGTGGATTTCATTTCTTCTGTTATATGGTGAGTATGAACTTAAAATACTGTTTAAGGTGTTCTATTTCACACTTAGAGATAATCAACTATATTTGTTTGCATTCTAGTGATCCCTGATGCAGAACCAGCCAGTAACCAGTGGATTATAAATGTGCCACCAACAATTCCCGCATTGCAGGGCTCATGTGTGGTTATTCCCTGCGCTTACACTTACCCTAAACCCCCATCCAAAGCAATCCTCAACAGATATAGAGGATTTTGGATGAGAGGGAACACAATAGTGTCAACTAACCTTCCAAAATGGAGGCTGAAGGATGAGTTCAATAAACGAACCCGGCTTGTGGGCAAGCTCAAAACACGCAACTGCACCATGCTTCTGGACAGTGTGAGAAGCACTGATGTCGGCCCTTTTTACTTCAAGATTGATATTCCAAAGTATGAAAGCCACTCCTTCAAAGAAAGTACAGTGTCCATTGATGTCATTCGTAAGTATGAACAGAAGAACATGTGAATGATTTTGAATGCTTTACCTTAAATGTACAAAAGGAATGGTCCATTTAACAGTTTCAGGAGTAATTGTGATTTGATATTTCAATTCCACAGGACACCCTGATCCCCCTTCTCTGTCTGTGGAGGTGAATGAGAAAGTCAGGGCTACCTGCTCTGTCTTACACACCTGTCCATCTTATCTCCCTCAATTCTCCTGGAATCACGCTGGAATCGTCTCGCATCGCTCAAAGCCGCTGAACAAATGGCAATGGGAGACAAAGTCAACACTGACCTTTGTCCCTGCACCCACTGACTTCCTGAACACTTTGAACTGCACGGTGAAATACAGAGGGGGGAAACAGACGGAGAGCTCCATAGCTGTCCGGATATGATTTGAGTCCAGTGTATGGCTCATGTATTCCTGCCTTATGCAAGATCATGCAAAGGAAAGGGGGGGAGAAAATGTCAAATTTTCAGGTGTTAAGTTTGATTTATAACTTCAAAATTTGTGTCATTGCCATGTAAATGTTTCTCAGCTGTGATATGATCTGATGACAGTGTGATATGTAGGTGCTGAGATTGACTGATTATAAATCACTGGTCCAGATCGTAGACTGGGAAATGCAATCATTTAATTGTGCAAAACGGGAGCTGCGCTATTTAAAAATTTTGAAAATACCATCTACAGATTTTATGATTTACATCACCTTCATATGATCCATTTTAATCACTTTTGTCCTAATCTGCGGTTTAACTTCTCTTTTAACGATTTTTGGATTAAGAGTAAACTATTTTGTTTTTTAGATGCAACTGTAGTCGAATTGTTAATATGTAATGTGATATTTAGTTGAAATATGCAATAAATCAAAATATACAATCTTCATGAATGCATCATTTTGTCTTTCTTTTTGTTGTAAAACATGTCGCCATTTCTCCCCTTTCTTGTGCCACTTTTGGGCTAAATTCTGTAGTGTGCTTAAAGTTTAGGGCGTATAGGGGTTTGTAAACATCTTTTTCACTAATGTGAATTGGTGGTTCAAAATGCAAAATATGTCAAATGATTTTCGTTGAATGGTTCACTGGTTCAGTCGGACACAATGACTCTTGGAGGTCTAATATTAATCATAATGGGTCCTTGCACTAAAATAGCTCTCAGCCAATGTGGTTATGATCTTCCCCTTTGGCTTCCTGTTTTTTATTTGGGTTTTTTCCACTTTTACTCTGAGCACATTAAAGCAACAAGCACACTAGTCTTTGTAGGTGAAAAATAATTAAATAAATTCAGTAAGGGAGGATCTGAGTATGCACTTTATATTGAAATTATTTAAAGACAAAAGTGAGCTTTTGTCAAACTTTTTTTAAACTTTCTGGTGTAATTCAGTAGATCACAGACAAAAGTAAATTATTCCAGTAGTTCAATAGTTACTAGTTTGAAATATATTTATTCATTTTTTTCACCATGAACAGGACTGTGACATCAGATTAAGCATGTGCAAAATAAGGAACTGCGGAATGTTTTACCATGTAGTATAAAGACAATGTAAAAAACAACCTTTATGTTTACAGAAATATTCGACTGATGTTGCAGATGTTCTACATATTGGCGTATATTCCATCATCATTGTCAGCCTGCACAGAGAAAAGAAAATCTGATCTTAGCCTGTTCTTTAGTAATTGCATGGACAGAATGCAAAAAGATAACTTCACATACCATGTTTTTATGCACATCAGCATTGGCGTAAATTGCATCGTAAGATGAATCTTCATATGCGCTATTCCTGGAAGGGTAAAGCAGAAAGTAAATACATTTAACAATTGGAATACATAGACCATATAAACCACATTTAATAATGAAGTTATTCAATGAAGATGTCATTTTTCTGATTGCACAAACTAAGCTGATTCCCAAACCATTTTGATCTGGCGCACTGTGGGAGTTCCAGATTTCTCTCTGACATTATGGTGCTCATGCCTGGTGCCTCTGTGTCTGTAGACCTCCGACTAAGAACAGAGTAATGGTGAACAATGATGAGGACTGTCAAGACTTTTCACAAATAATAAAAAAGGCAGAATACAGAAATTGGCTCCAAAATGTTATTTAAAGCAGGTATGCATAAACATTGGCTATTGACATTTACAACATTGTCAGCATCCTTCAAATGTTAATATATGCTGATAACATTAACAACCAAACTAAAGGGGACTTTCCGAATCTGCAAAAACAGTGAAAACATTTTTTACATAAAACACAAAAAAGCTTTTTTAAAATTGCCACTAAAAAAAAAACACTATTTGCCTTTTACTTACCATTTTACAAAAACTCCCACCACTATTAAGATTATTACCAAAATCCCGCCTGCTCCAGCAGCGATGAAGAAAAGCATCCTCTTTCCTGTCCAAACAGAAAATGAGTGTTTTTATGTTGTCTCCTTACATGAGCCTTGTGATGTTTATGCATGTATATGCTTGAAATTAAAATATTATCTATACCATCAAGAGGTAAGGAAAGTCTGAGATTTGCTTTTCCTAGTGTGTTATTTGCCACACATTCCAGAAATGTGTGGGACTCAAAGTCTTCTTGTAGAACACTGATAGTGAAAAAACCCGATTTGTCTTCTTTGGTGCCCTGCAAAACTTTGTCAGCGAGGACAAAAGAGACTGTGCTGGGAGGCTTCGATTCAACTTTGCAAACACAATTGACCAAATTTTCCTTTGATGAACATGAAGAATCAATCTTAATATCAGGAGCATCTGCAGTAAAGAAACAGTAAAGAAAAACATGCATGGCATGGAGTTGAATTTAGATACTCCCTTATGATTATGTTACAGTTTGGGCTTGTGTTAGGATTAATTCTTTACTCACAGAGCACATTGAGCTTCACAGGTTTCGATGTGGCTCGCCCCACTTCATTGATGGCTGTGCAGTACAGGGTGCCAATATTCCTGGAAACATTTTGTATTTTGTAGTAATTTCCAAGATACACCAGCGCACCAGTTTCATTACGCCACTCATATTCAGAGACAGGTGGGTTAGCGTCACCAGAGCAGCTCAGCCCCACAGATTCACCCTCCCTCACGTGTGGTTCATGCTCGATCTCAGCCACCACCGGTGCATCTGCAGGGAAACATGTATTCAAGTCCTGGTGTTTGCCACAGCTGTGCGTCTGAACAGTTTGAACTACTACACACTTTCATTTCTTTAAAAAGTACCATGATTATTTTTTGCCTTTTGGGCTAGATACACTAGCCATTCACTCATATTTAAAAACAGAACAAACAAATAAAACGTATAATATTAATAGATGAGGCTTTTATCAAAAACTAATTACAGCAAGGTTCTACATTACTGTCAAAACAACTGCACCATCAGCATTCCCAGATTTTCCATAAACTGATCATTTTTGTTCCTTTAATAAACTTGAACATTTTACATTTCATGATAGATTTATTGAAGCCCACCTCTGGCTCAACTCCAGCTTTATCTCAACAGTTTTTGCATTAATTTCAAAACTATTCTAATATTCAAATAAAAAAGTAAGTGCTAAAATGTCGCTCATGGAGACATTGTAACATCTTTATGAGAGACAAACAGATACAGATGGGACTTTTTGCCCACAGACACATTCAGTTCACCACCATAAAGACGGCATTACATGTATTTTCCGATGGAACGTGATGACAATCAAAGCTGTGACTGTGAAAGAGTCAACCAGAGGCTACTAGAGTAAGATTGTCCCCAAATATTTGTTTGTGGGTAATTGTTTCCACATTGGGCAAAAATTAAAGAGGATGTTAGAAATATGTTCTTCTTTTTTTGCTGAAGAGTGGTTTTGGTTCACATTTCATTGACTTCTTTCCAACTTCTCATGAATTTGATCATGTTTCTTGAAAAAATAATTTCAGCACAACCTTTGATAATCAGTACAGATCTTGATTTTCATATGTGTAGCATTCGTTTTAATGTTTTACATCACTGTTGATTAATACTTACATTTTACTTTAAGGGTCTTGAATGTGCTTTGTTGGTGCCCTCCCCTGTAGGTTACATTGCACCATAAAGGCTTGTTGTGGTCTGACTGATTAGGACGAAAGGTTAGAACGGATGTTATACTCCATCGGCCCTCATCAAGCTTTTGTGAATGGTGGTCCATCTTCCCTGAGTGACTCCATTTGAAATCAGGTGGGTGGATCGGGCAGAAGTAAGACAAGGAGCAGGAAGCAGATGCCGGCCGGTTCTCCTGATGGTCCTCTGCCACAGTAAGGCTGATGTCATCTGGCTCTTGTGATCACAAAAGATCCCAATAATCAGTCAGAATTGTCATGAGCTGAATTTCATCACGTCAAAGATCCTTATGGGTCAGCACTATTTCAGTAAAACTGTTAATCATGGTCTAATTTTCTTTAAGAGGATTTGGAAAAACATTAAGATTCATAATCCTTGAATAGGCTCTAATTACACATTACCAAAACAAAACACTTCCTTTCATTACAGAAAAAGGTTGAGCAAAGGAACACTGAGAAGGGATATCCTAATGCGTAATAAAGACCCAGTTGTGGTCAGAATTGGCAAGAGGGAAAACTTAATAATTTCTGCATTTAATTGCTCATTAACACAATTCATGTCACATGAATTAAAAAAAGATCTATGATGTCTTGTTTATGGTGATAAAGCATGCTTTACACTTTCTAAGAAAACATCTCATCTTTCAGTGTATGAATAAAATACAACCTGGATGGTTCTCATCTTTTAAAGGAATATTTTGAAAAGTATCTATTCTTCTTTTGTGTTCTTGGTTTTAAAGTCCTTTCTTACTCTTAAGGACATTTTCTTCCATAGATCAAGGATGTCAAATCCAATTTTGATCAAAAACACCATGCACTTTAAAACAAGTGACATAAAATGTGTCTTGCTTAACATGTTTTTTTTATTTGCAGGGTGCAAACTTCATGCATTGTATTTGCTATTACCAACTGAGTGAAGTGAGATTGTTAAGAATAAAACACTTTGAAAAAGTTTTTTTTTTTAAAGAACTAAGAGATAAGAGAAAAGTTAACAAAAATTTCCAAAAGGTTTTCAACTTACTAATAAATGAAATCGATGCTTTGTTTCCTTGGTAGGAATACCTGTCGTAGTTGTCGATCTCAATCCTAAAATAAAAAGGCCCTGTATCGCTTTCCCGCAGGGGGTCAATCATCAGAGAACAATTCTTTTCTTTGATCTCTCCCACTAGCTTTGTTCGTTTCCTGTAGTCCTGGTGTATTTTAGAGTCCTCTGAGTGAAAGATGGTGACATCTTTCGGACCAAACCAGATACCAGTGAATTTGGACGTCCTCTCTGGATCTGGATAATTGTATGAGCAGGGAATCACAACACAAGACCCTGGAACACCTTTTACGGAGTTTGTCACCTGAGCTGTCCAACCAGAAGTTTCGGTTTCAGTAACTGCAACAAAGCATGGAAAGGTGATGGAATTGAAAGACAACATATGAACTTGGAATCCCTAAAATATTAGTCATCAGTACTGTAATATGATAAGAACATTGCAAAGAACATAGATGAATAAACAAGAATTACAGAGCACCTTACCTTTGAGCCAAAAAAAGATTAGAAACAAACACTGTTTCGAAACACCCATCTTATCTTCTAGAACTCCAAACTGCAAATGAAATTATTGGATTGGTTGGTGGGTGTGCTATTGAAATCATTTCCCGTTTTTGATGGATGACATCTTAAGTTTCCATTCCACTTTTGTAACACCCTGCCGTCACTCTGTACACGCAAATTGTCCATTTTGTTTTTGGTTCTCCTCAGATTGGTTCTATTAATGACCATTTACTTTAATCTTTCAATAAATAGTAACTGTCAGTTTTTTAGATAAACAAAAAAAGAGAAAAAGAATGTTAGAAGAGAAAAAGACAATTTATATAGATGTGTCCACTATTAAGTACAAAAGAATTCCACATGTGTCAAGCTAAGTAAAAATCACTAATTGGAGTTATCCATCTGTAATTATAGCAGAAAGGTAAAACAGCGCAAATTTCAAAAGAAGAAAAAAAAACATATAGCAAAAATACTCAAAAATCCATTTAACCAAAGGCACCTCAATACAGATAGCAACCAATTTAGGATTCCAGTATTGACCAGTAATAGAAAAGATCCTCAGATTCTGTTCATACTATTTAGTTTTGTGCGACAGACAGACTAACTTACAAGGGCTGCAAATTGTGATCAGGAACAAAGGCACACTGACACATGCCAACACCCACTTATGTGTTCGCAGTTCAATATCCTGCAATCAGACTCATACTTAGTGTGAGTTTAACAAGAGAGAGTGGAGGAGCTGCACAAAATGGAATCACATGCATGAAAACATAATGTTATATAATGTACATTTTAACCCTAACCCTAATTAACTTGTAGTTCTTATAAGGTATAGAACATTGAAAGGAAATATCCATATCCCCTTTCAAAACAAAAGCTTTAAAAAAAAAAGACAAATTGAAGGCAAGCATGTTTTATTAACATCCAAATTGCAAAAAAGGTGACATATATGCTGGTACCAATCTAGAAAAGTGAATGATCCCAAACAGACCAGGACAGCTTGTTCTTTTTTTCTATTCTTACATTGTACGGACTAAAGCTTCCTCGTGTACGGCAAGCAGCCACTGAGCGATGACAGGCACTCATTGATTAGTCATGCAAATCTATCTCAACACATTCTGGACTAATATGTTAACTTCATATGGAAGAAATTGTTAAATCATTCTTTAAAACACGTTGAATGTATTTTTGGAACAGAAAAAAGATTTTCCATACCTTGAATACTATTTCACAGAGGCAGGACCATAAACCCATTCTTTTGTTCTGTTTGTTGATTTTTAGAGCTTTAAAGTCACTTGGAAAGTAATTTTGTGTGAGTTTTCTCCGTACTGTGAACATAGTATTCTGGACAAGAAAACTAACCAAACCCTTTGCAATGGGTGTCGTTTCCTGTTCACACCTTCAAATTAACCACAGTACTGTGTTAAAATAGAAAAATGTCCGAGCATCTGTTCTCTATGGTTACAGTCCCAGCAGCAGTTTGTTGTTACCCCTTCAAACAGCAGAACTGAGAACTCTCTCTTGCTGCACTGCTGTGTAGATCAAAATGTGCACAGTGAGTCCTGCCATTCATGGTCCCTGGTCACCAACAAAGGCAGGATTAATGATTTCCTTCTTGTTCAGGTGGAAATCACCGGTGTCTTGGACAGTCAGGTCAACATAACGGATGTTTGGAGTGAGATAGACCTTTTTCACGGTTAAATGTCGCTTTCCTTTGACACTCCAGAGATCCTCCTCACACTGAGTCAAGAAGTCCTTCAGCTTGATCGTGTCCTCTTTTTGTCTCCTCCTGGACATTTTCTTGGGAGTGGATGTCATGAAGCTGGAGGATGATGAATTACCCATTACAGGCACTATGAACTATAACATCCAAAGAGCAGATCTGCAAATCAAACAGAAAGAAAAAAAGCACGTGTTCATATCAGATTAGATAAATATGTTTATGGTGAACATTTTACTGATAAATCTACTAAAACGTTTACCTGGTAACTTAAACAAGAAATCCGATGTCCTTTTCTGTGCTGGTTTGTCTCCTCATGCTCCAGAGCTGAATAAGAGGGGGTACACCACCTCCCTTATGAAGACAATCCAGAGGGTCTGACTTCATCTGACATCATATGAACTGTTAATCAAATGTAAAGATTAAACAAGGCCGTAACAATGGAAGTTAATCACCACTGATTAAGAATCAAATGGTCTGTCAAGTGTCTTAATCAAGCACCAGGAAGTCTCTTCATTCAAAGTTTCTCATTACCCTAAAGGGATTTAACACCTTGATTACAATAATCAATACTACTCTAATATTTTTCAGCTGATTAAAGAGGTAAAGAGGTTGAGATAAAAACTATCTACTCAAAAAGAACTACTTCCTTTTATATTCCTAAGAGCTTCCTAAAATCTTTACTGACGACTACTGATACTTATTAAGTCTTATTAAGGCATATTGAGTCTGTTCAGAGGTTATTAGTTTTAAGACACTGATAGTGGTGAATTAGTTAGAAGTGAAATTTCTGTAATGTGAAATGGAGGCCAAATCTTGTGATGAGGAAACTAAAATTAATACGTCTTTGAACATTGAAAATATATATTTTCCATAAGTCCAAGCATTGTTATGGATCTGCCTTATATGTAGAATCAATAGAAGTATTTCATAGGTATGGATAATAATTTATAGATCACATGCAGCAAAGACAGATATATATCAATGTTATGAACAACTCAGAGGGGAGAAAAAACACCATAAGTGGAATACATAAACCAAAAATAAAAACAGGAACATAACACACAAGTTTTCCACATCCTAAATGTAATCAGCTTGCTCTGCAGTGTCAATCAGGAGTTCAGTGCTTTTCCTCAGAGTTATGCATTTATTTACCATCAAACATATTTATAAATTAAGTTTAATGAGTGTGTCGAAGCTTGTGCTGTCATCTTTGACCTGCTGAAAATAGGTTACAAAGGACTGGTTTGTTTCCTCCCATTACCTGCCCTCCGCTGACCAGTCTAACAGCACCACCGTCTGGCCATTCTGGGCTTTTTTTAAAAACATGATCACTGAAGGAGGCTCATTTAATTTCAACATGTTTAGTCTAAAGATAAAGACATCCATCAGCTCTGCTTCCTTTGACCCCAGATGAGCTGTGTTTGTTGGCAAGCTAAGGTTAGGTGTCAATGTGGGCACAGCAGAGACAACTTAAAGAATGACTGAAACAATATGAATTCTTGTCCACTGGAGACGTCCTGAAAAATTGGCAGTACAAGGTGTAAAGTGGGTCCAGCTTGTTTGTCTGAAGGCCTGTTCGTTCAATTCAGAATTGTACTTTTTCAAAGAATCTGTGTAACTCACCAGCTGTTCTGCTCTTATACTTCTACTTTAGCAATAAACGTATATTATAACCTCTGTGGTTAAACTAAGACCTTTTTAATTTCTGTTGTGTTAAATTCATGTCTTCAGAGACACACATACACACATTTCATATCACATCCCAGTGGAATGTTTATGAATTAGGAGCTGACCATATCAGGAGTGACTGGCCGGTGAGACTCGGTCGCTTTATGTCCAGTCTCTCCACTCTATGGGGCAGCTACAGTTGGAATTCAAGGCTTTGGCTGATGGAGATCCTCAGGGACATCTGTCACTGGGAGCTCAGCGCTGTATTTATATATCTGTGGCCTGGATTAATGACTCATTTATGCACTGACAATTCTGCTTTCCTCTCAGGTTTCCAACAAAAGATTTGCTCATTAGAAACAAACTTATTTGCCATGTAGTTCTTTACATAAATAATACATTTCTTAGAAAAAATGCCAAAGAAGAACACAGATATTGACAAACTTCTCACTATCACATGTATCTCAATGGGTTTCTTTTCTTATTTGTGACTGTTAGATTGAGCTTCCTGGTAAGAAAAAGGGGAACAGAAAGAAAAAAAGTTGACATTGTGTTAAAAATAAATACAAGCATAGATAGTTTAAAAACCATCCAAATATCTTAGCATGTTTTTGTTTAAGGTGTAAAATTATAAAATCATTTAAAAACTCATTTTAAAGAGTATGAAAAATGAAATCTGTGAAGATTTAAAATAATCAAAATCCTCAACAATCCTCTCTGAAACTACAACGATGACATAATTTCTGGTTCCATTCACAAATCATTTGCTACACCCAATTATTTATTTTTTTAAAACAAGAAGAAGACAATAAAGATAATAGAAACTTGTATATCCTCTGTCTGATAGAAAGGAGCCGTCAAACTCTGAACACACAGAATTTCATGGCTCTGGATTACCAGAGAACCAAATACAATAGAGGTGCATCCTGCTTTAATGAATCTGATCTCCATGTTATTCCTGAAAATAGTTTTGCGTTGTTCTTAAGTGTGAAAGTTTTTCTCTCAGTCAGTTAGTCAACTCTGGTAAACTGTTACTTGCCAGCAATAAGGTTGTTGTAATGCTCCATCTGAACACCAGAGCCCCCAAGAGATTCCTTTCAGCTTCTCACAACCTGGGATTTGCTGCTCCCCATTATTTAGTCACCTCCTTCCACACTGATACTGTTCCCTGTACCGCTAAACCTGTGAGTGCTGATTCTGCATTCTCATTCGTGACATTCAGTCAGCCATTTTTTATTTCAGTATAACAGATTAAACCTGCTGTGAAATATCAGTAATTAATAATACCAGTAATTAATTAGTAGAAATCGACAGAATAAATGTATGTCCTATTGTTGAATCCTTCTCATGCCACAACATTTTGCTCTCCTTTTCAGTCCCAGCAAAAATGTGTGCACTGCACTGTCAGGAAAAGAGTCTCTGATTCTTAGCTCATTGTGAATTTGTAAATTGGGACTATATCTGTTTTTTTTACATAAAATCATTGGTTGATTTCTTTATGTTCAAATGCCATAGTTATAGATTTGAAGCCATTTGTTAATTGTACTGATGAATAGTGAAAGAGAAAAACCCTAACGAGTCTTTCTCAATTCTAATTTTAGTAACTGTCTTCTTTTATTGTGCTCAGCGGTCACTCATTAGTTTCCAAATATGGACAGGGTTCCTTACGGAGACCAACCCTTGCTCTCTGCATCATTGAATTTACCACCCCTGCTTCAACATCTGCTTTCACAAATTGATAGACTGTCAACTGTCACACAGCTATCAAATCCGGATAAGTATTCATATTATTACCTTTATTGCTATTTTCGAGGGACAGTTTTAAACAAACACAGCAACTTGGATCAACCCACGCAGCAGAATTTTTCGGTAAGACTCATGAAATACTGCCCTACACTACAATATGATTCCTTCTAGCTTTTAAAAATGTTTATTTATGATATGCCTGGTAAAAAATAGCATTTTCAAAGTATTTAATGTTCTATTGTGCTCAGATCTTGGACATGAAAAAGACAGGTGTAATTGAAAACAGTGACCATACGACGCCCAAACAAAATACTTGAGACACATACTGTGAGATCTCCACACCTCTCCTAATGTTAAAATTATTTCTATCTAAAGTCTCATTTTAACCAAAATAATTTTGCTGTTATTTGCTGTTAAAATCTTGCCCAGGAGATATAGCACTTCTAATTAGGAAAAAAAAAAGGACTATATATCTAAGCAAAGAATCAGTTTAGCTGTGGAAATAAAAACAATTTCTGTGCTGTTTCTTGCCACAGCACACACACAAAGGAGGAAGGGCAGCTGGACTACAGAATGTAGCCCATTTACATCTCTCCACAGATTTGTGGTCTATGATGAGTATTTTCACTTTGACTTGCAAACTCCAAACAGTCAGAGGTTGGCATTTGATCTCTCATACAGAAAGAAAGTCAGAAAAGTGAGGGGATGGAGTAAAATGATCAACTTGAAGCTTAGTGTGCATGATTTTCTGTCTTACTCTTTTCTGTGTGGTGCTGTGATGGAGTGGTGACGTATCCACCGTTCACCCCGTCACTCACCCAGTGACAGCTGGGACAGACTCTAGTCCCCCATGACCACACTAATGGATGGATGGAGCTGTCTGTGGTCTCTCAAAATGTTACCTTTATTATCGCTCCTTCAGTAACTGCATGGGAGCATCATAGTGATCCAATGGCTTGAGGGCAAAGTTAGTGTATGAGTGAATGTGACTACTGTCATTTCAGGATAAAGTCTAATCTACAGTACTTGCTTTTATTGCTTAGGTAGATCATGATCCAAAATGTGCTGCTTTCATTTTCTTCCTTTTCTCTCTGACTTCATTCAAACATTGCAGGGTGCATTAGACCAACAACTCATAAGGAGAATGGACAAACAGAGAAATATGATTACATTTTGTCTGCTCATGGCAGGTAAATGATTCAGACTTTCATTCTGTTTTTGTTTGCACATCTTCACCTTTAATTCCATTATGACACTCTGCTTCTGTTCATTCAGCTATTTCCAGCACTTTGTCGACTGGAGAATGGAAGGCCTCCGTCGTACAAAATCTGGAAGCCCTGGTTACTTCCTGTGTTGTGGTCCCCTGCTCTTTCTCCCATCCTGATGGAATATTGTCAAAGTCCCAACTAAGAGGCATATGGCATGTCTCAGATAAGAGGGATAACATAGTCTACCATGAGGATCAGACAAGAATTTTGGACAAATTTAAAGGTCGAACAAAACTGTTAGGACGTCTGGATGAGAACAACTGCACCTTAGAGTTAACTGAAGTGAAAGATCATGACACCGGCCCTTACTGTTTTCGAATTGAATACGCAAAGACAAATGAGCCCACCAAACAGAAGTTCTCATTTATTGAAGATTGTGTCCATTTTCAAATGACCTGTATGTTGACACCCCTCCATGACTTCATAAATCAGTTCAAAGTTTTTATTGAGTCAGTAAGCCTCCTGATTAAGCTCGGATTTTTGGTCTGTTTACAGATGATCCACCAAAGCCTGAGCTCTCTTCATCAAAGAAACCAATTCAGGGGAAACCTTTCACGGTCACCTGTTCAGTCCAACACACCTGCCCATCACATGTGCCTAAACTCACATGGAGTAAGGGAAGCACCCCCGATGATGTATTTGAGAAAGAAATTGACATGAAACATGGTGTGTGGAGGACGGAGTCTGTTCTGACATTCATTCCTGAAGAAAATGACGACCACACTGATCTCAGCTGCACCGCAGAGTTTTTTGGAGGGACGAAATCTGCGGCCACCATACCACTTCACATAAAACGTGAGAACTTGGCCTTATTGGCAGAATTTAAGGGTGTATCTGAAGAGCACATGTTTTCATAACAGCTAAGTTGAGAGGGGTATTTTTTCTATGGGTGCAAATATGAATGTAAAATGGGGCCAATTTAAACTCTTTGCAGGTACACAAAACTACTATCACATCATCATTCCCGTCTCAGTGGCGGCTGGTACTGCGGCCATCTTTGGACTTCTCTGCATTGTGATGATGAAAAAATACAAGTGAGTATTAAGGCAGCAGGGCAGTTTTAAGTAGCAGAACGCACCACACAAATAACGAAGTCCACCAATAGCAAAATACACTATAATTTTTCCAGAGTTTCAGTAATTTACACCTTACTTTCTTTTTGTGTGTGTTAAAGGAACCGCATCGTAGAGCTTCAGAGACGGGATGGCAGGTGAGAATGTAGAACAACAACTTAAATTCAATTTGCACGATTTCATGTGATTTAGTCCAAATAAACTAACATAATCATACTTTCCGCAACATTTAGCGTGTTTAACCGGATATCCAGAATGTCTCGCAGGTAAGAAGAAAAAGCTTTCTGGTACTATTAAAACTTTTTGGGGAAAAAAAAAATCCTACCAGCGTTAAACTCTAATTCCTCTATGAAACATTCAGATTTCGTTCTGATGACCGTGGACCAGCGAATGAAAGGCAGGTTTTTTCAACAGATTAACAAACTTCTACCCTTCATTACTTCCCTTTTATGCATGCAAAGGCTTTTTTTATCAGATTGTGCTTGTGCTTCTGTTCCTTGATATATTAAAAAGGTTTCTGTTCTTGTCTTTTTCGCAGATCATCTATGTGGAGCAGATTTTCTAAGTAAGACGTCCTTTCCGAGAAGCTTGAAAAGTAGTTCTGCTTTTTATTATTTTCTGTATTTCTACAAATTCTATTTTTATGTTTTGTTTTTTTTCATAACAGGAGGCCCAGAAGGGACGTTCCAGATCCTCGAGAAAAGTAAATTGATTAAAAACAAGGTCTTCAAAAAAGTTATAATTGTTTTTCAAAGTATCATGACATTTATTGTCATAAACAGACCCAGTCATTTGAATTCAAAATCCTGTGGGGAACAAAAAGTCTCCAAACCCCGTCTCCCGTCCCCCAAAAGGTAACTTACTAGTGCAAATATATACTCAGTTGTTGTATATCAATGCATTTAATTACTGTTTTTTTTACCACCTTTTGTTGTTTTGACTGTTAATGGACCACAGCCAGCATAAAGCCTACAACTACAACGAGGTACGATTGCACAATTCATTTTCGGGTCCTTTCATATAACAACAGTTTTCTGTACTGGTTCCATCAACATCTGTGATACTGACCGGTGTCTCTTGCAGGACTGTGATGGTGATGACTACGTGAACACTGCTGATCTCAATGTGTATGGAAACATTTGAAAATCTATTCAATTTGAGAACATTTTCAAATTAGGAAACACTTTGTCTTGGAACATGTAAACATTTTCTAGTTTTGAATTTTACCCATGCATTGCTCTCAGATGTACTATGAATATACTGTGATACTGATGGAAGCTTTTTAGCTATCAAATAAACTTTAACATATCTGACCAAACTTAGTTTGTTCATTTAAAGATTGCAATATTTTAAACTTCACTTCTGCTGGTAAAAAGAAACATTGTTTAATTGTTTTAATTCAAATTATATGAAATGGCACCTTTGAGTCACATACACTTGATCTGGCAGTGGAAGATTTTTTTTTTAATCTAAAAGATAAGTAATCATCTACCTAACAATTAGGCCTAACAAAAAAGACAACTGAAAAACAAGATGTCAAATTAAGCAAACGGTGTGGTTATTTGTTGCGAAGAAGTGTCAGGAATAGAAAGTGAATCCATTCAAAGGAGACATTGCAGTAGAGATGGGACTTCTGTACCACAACACTGAGTTGCCATGTGAAGATCCTTATAGAGAGGTCAATACAAATTAGTTCTTTATCAGTTCTGTTAAGAAACAGATAAAACCTTTACAGCCGTTCTTAACCGTAAAGTCTCAGATTAGTAGTTGGTTTTAGCAAATGTACACCAGAGAATGGTGTAGCAATTTCACTTCCCCTTTCTCTAGACACTATTCACACATTCTGTTTACTTAAAACCCTTTAGCTCCAAAGAGTTGCTTTCACTGTGGAAATCATTGGCTCCTAAACACGTTAGATGCAGACTAATTGCTGTTCACATATAGGCTACTACTGCTTGCAATAACTAAGACACAACCATACATTTACAACACTCTGAATGAACAGAAAGAGTGACTGGTCCAAAGGCAAGGACATGAACACAGTGAATGCACGCAACACTTAGGAAAATGTGAAACAAAAACAAAAACAAAATGTAGTAACAGCATCGTTGGTGAGACAGCTATATAGAATGTACCGGTATGTGCCAGATAAAGTTTGCTGCTTGAAATTGGATTTCGGTCATTATTCACATCAGTCTTTCCTTGCATCACATTATTGAAGCGCTATTGAAGGAAATCTTTCCTTTGCTGAATTCTAACCACAGTGAGCTTATGTGGGTCTGTTCAGGGTCATGAGTTACCCTTTCTTCTGCCTGGAGACACCCTGAATGATTAGAAAACATTTTTTAAAAGTGCTGCAGGTCAGAAAAACAAAAAACTCTAAGATGTTGAAGAGTCTAAAGGGAAAAGCAATTAATTGAATCTGACAAGGACTGAAGAAAACCATGGAGCTTAAAGACAGAGCAAAGTGATCGGTGGGTGGTGGCAGCTAATACTCAGAAGTGAACAGAATTGAGACACACTGAAGAAACTATAGGAACAACAGGAAACAACCAAATTATCTGAGTAAAGAGACATCTTGTTTCATCACTCAATTAACAACACATAAAAAAACAACACCAAAAATATTTTGAAAAAAGCATCTATGCAGGACACATAACATTAAAGTTACTTTAGAATTACCATTGAACCAAGCCTGCATGTTTATAGACTTACAAGTATGTCAAGGGAAAAACCTCACTCCATTTAGGATTAAAAAGCAGTATTTTGTTTCATGTCTTTTAAAATAATTTATAGCGTAAACAAAGTTGTGAACTGTGTAGGAGTTTTCAATGACCCGTGAACAAAAAAAGGGAACATTTAAGCTGTCTATATTTGTGATTTTGACAACTTTGCATGGTTTCTGTTCTTCTTTTTTTTCTCTTAGCAAGGACAAATGGAAAAAAAGTGGGCAGAAGTTCTCACTCTAAAATTGTATTCAAGACATTTCTTCGAATTTGGACTACAATTTGCACTTCGAAGTGCAAAAGACGCCTGCATTTGTTGCATAACCATGCGACTGCTTCTTTTTTTTTGCTTTTAACAGACAGTATACAATCACTCATGTTGTCTCTAATCTATGTCCTTTTTTTATTTAAGAAACTAAATGAAGCATGAACCACCACACTGCTTTTGAGTACTTGGCAGGTGTTTCGATGATCTTTTATTTTTAGATTCCATCAACATAACAAGTGGGTGAGGAACCTAGACATGAGTGAAAAAAAGTTTTCAGTGGAGACTCATTTTGAAAACTGGGTGAGGTTCAACTATAAAACCCTTCAGCGAAGGGTGTGGAATTTGGTGGTATTTTGGATTTTCCCCTATTGACACCTCAAGGTCAGATATAGATTATTGTGTTTGAAGGCAGGCTTATCAGGATACAATCTTATACTCTATGCTATGTGAGCCACATCAATTTGTTAAATTGACACACATCATAATACGCTGCAAGCGTTACGATACATTAACAGTATAGTAATGCATCGAGTTGATAAGATGCAGTTCACCCCTGCTCATAATATGATACAACTTATTACTTATTTGACAATGATTCGACTTTTTATAATCATATTCAATGTGACGTGTTTCAAAACGAATTGATAAAATACATAGAACTTCTGGTTCCCAACATCCCTCCATTATCGTAACCACTTTTTCCCTAATGGGATAACGGGGGGACTGGATTCTATCCCAGTAGTCAATGGGCGAGAGGTACACCCTGGACGGTCTGCCAGTCCATCGCATGGCCACACAGAGACACACAAGGACGAACAACCACGCACACGCTCATTCGCACTCACGCAGTAGAGCAAGTAGGGTCTATACTTCTCTGTTGAAATCATTTACTCCGCCCACATCTTCAGGGGAGTATTGATAAAGGAGAACTTTTCTTTTCTTTCTTTTCTTTCTTTTTTTTTTTGAGGTGGCAAAACTGCTCTGAAATAATCGACTCTGGAGGTAATATATTGCATTCTTGTATTCTTGAAAAGTGTTGGTTGGAGAATTTGAGTTTTTTTGCTTTTCAGAGATTTTAATACTGATTTATAACGTGGCATATTAGTTGTAAGTGAGTGAATGAATAGTAAATTATAAAGCATAATTGATGACAATCATAATAACTTCAGAGGTGCAAAATTATTTATCAGCTAAATGCGTTGGTAGTCACTATACTTTTTTGGAAATAGCACTTTGAAACTGTGTAGGAGACAAGAAGGTTGTCAATTTTTTACAAAATTGTGCAAATTATGTGTCTTTATTTTATGTGCTGTCCGATTTAAATTTTTACAGCAGACCAGTTGTTAAACAAAGGCCAGATAATCACTTTGTGTTGATTGACTTGTGAATTGCGAACTATACTTCATACAAATTTGTCTTTGTAAAACCACAAGTTTTCTGCCAGATCTAGATTACACATTGGAGGTTATTTCTGATTAGTAATGGAAGATTTTAAACACACATACGCAGATTTATTTATGCCTTTAATGGTTGATTTGGCTGATTAACTTGCACTTCAACATCAAAAGGAGGTAATGGTTGATAAAGTAGTTTCCCCACAGAAACAATCACCCCCCGAACTTCCTCAAGCTTGACACCCAGAAAAATAAGTTTTGGTCCTGTGCAGTTTAGAGTTTGAATGTGCTTTAAATCATTAACATTAACATTAACGTTAACTTATTTAACTTTGAACCATATACATGATGACTTCTTGTCTCTGGTTATAAATGGGACTTTGTCAGTAGGGACAGCCACTATAGATGTTTATAATGTTTGTGTGTTTCCAATGTCATTCTGGCTCAATAGCATCAATACATAATGCAAAATTTATTCTTATTTCTCTTTTTTAGAAATTCCATTCTCCTCTGCGTAAGATGTCTGGATTCAGTTATTTTTTCCTGCACTTCTTTGTTCTGGGTACTCATTTTTCACAAACTTTTCACTATTTGTCATGGATATAAAACTGTCTTAGTTATGAATAGCCTACATTTATTATCCAATGACTTACTTTTTACATCAATGTCTTCCTCTCGCAGGATATGTTTTCTGTGGATCCAGTACTTGGCATGTACATTTGCCAAGCAATATTGAAGGATTGGTGGGTTCTTGCCTAGTCATTCCTTGTAGTTTTGACTACACAAGCTATCCACCTGAGAATCCAAATCGTGTTGTTTGGTATCAGTATGTGAGCAGGGGATATCCCTTAGTTTATGACAGATGGGATCCCAACAATGTAATCTCCAAGTTCATGGGAAAAGCAGTGTTATTAGATCATGGATATGGCAAGACCTGCAGTCTAAAGATCAATCCAGTGACCTGGTCTCACCACAGAGAGAAGATTTATCCCTGGGTCGATCCAGAGCACGTTGGGAAAAGAACATACCGATTCTTTGACAAAACTGTGACAATTGAGGTCGTAGGTATGTTACTAGTTTCAACTTGAAGCTCCAGTACAATCATTAAGACTATCTATATGTACTCAATTCTAATTTCTTTTTAAAGACAGAGCAAAGGTTCCAGAGATTGTTATTACTGGTGAGATGAAGGTTGGAAACTCGGTAACTGTGCAATGCTCCGCTGAACACACCTGTTCCATCAACCCCCCGATTCTGAGTCTCAACATCCCACTGAGAAACCACCATCAACGTCAAAGTGACCGGTCAGATGGCACATCTACAACTATCTTGACAACAACTTTTGTCATAGAGAGAGACCATCAAACCGTGGAGTGTTCTGCCAGACATCCTGGTGGCATCACAGCAACAGTTACTAAAACCTTTGATGCAAAGTGTACGTAATGGCTCTGCATGACAAAACCAAAAGTTCCTTTACACTGACTTGGACTTTGCATATCATTTGTTTGTTGCTTTTTTCACAGGCTCCTTGTTCCCCTTGTCTATCACAACTGTATCAAAAGAATTTCTTGAGGGAATTGCAAGCAAAGTAACCTGCACTGCCTCATACACATGCCCTAGAAATATGCCAACTTTCACGTGGAATTATGGCAGCATGCCAATATCCACTTCTACTACCCAAGTATCTGGGAACACTGTATTGTGGAAAACAAGTTCTACTCTGACATTTACATCATCAGCTAGTGACCATGGACGATCTCTAACATGTTATGCCCAATTCAGTGGAGCACAGAAACAGCAAACAAGTATCACCCTGAATGTTAAAAGTGAGTGAGAGTTATTTTCCTCTGTGTAAAAAACTCACTAACCATCCTATTTTTCTGTAGTTCTAGGTAATAAAATGTATTATGTTAGAATGTTGAGAATAACCCCTTATTAAGGCATGTAGTGGTGCCCTTTATTTGTTTGAGGTATTTTCTGAGAGCAAATTGTCTGACAAATTTGCTTTAAGTGTTTTCATTTTTACAGGAAATATGCACTCTCTGGGCTGGTCCTTCTCTACTCCTCGGATCATAACAGGATTGAAAGGGTCATGCATTGTCATTCCTTGCAAGTTCTCCTACGCTAACTCCCAGCCTCAGGGCCTCCAAGTGATATGGTACTTGTACCAAAGCAGAGGTTATCCATCTGTATTCAACCAAAGAGAAAGAAATGTTGTCAGTAAATATCATGGGATAACAAGTGCGGCAGGGTCTGTGGCAAATGGGAATTGTAGCCTTAAAATCACGACATGTCACACAACCTGGATCAACTCTACCCATGGGTAGATAAAAACCCCATTACTTCATACCACAGCCATGATTACTCCTTTTATGAAAAGACCACTCAACTCAGAGTTTTAGGTGAGTCTTAATTTCCCTTCATCTTGAGGAATTTGGCTTGGGTACAAACAGAAATGGGACATCAAGTTAGATATTCTTGCTTTTTAGCCTAAACCCTAAAGGCTAACCCATACTTGCTTCTTTTTCCTTTTATTGCAATTTCATAGACCATCCACAGGAACCACAGCTGAGAATCATTGGCATCCCAAGGGTGGGACAAAAGAGCACAGTATCTTGCAGTGTGCGACATGCATGTATTTTTGATCCCCCTTCCTTAACTCTGCATAATATAGTTGGAACAGACTTCTTCAAAGACTCTATCATATCAGATGGGATTTGGGAAAGAACTGTAGAACGAACATGGATTGCAGAAGAAAAAAACAAAAATGTGAAGTGTACTGTGCGCTATCCTGGTGGCCAGCAAGCCTCAAGCGAGCTCATACTGAATGTTGAATGTAAGTACAAATTTTGCTTAAAAATTAGACTTCAAATGCTCCTTGCCATTAAATGTAACCATCATAATTCCTCTCAGGTCCACACGAAGACATCAAAATGGTTGAACCACCAGGACAAATGATGGAGGGTGTAGCAAAGAGTGTCATCTGTTCTGTTTCATACAAATGCAAGAAAAACACTCCCACAATTGTTTGGAACTACGATGGCATGCCAAGTTCTCTTACAACCAAAGCTATCTCCAGCAATACATACATGACAGAGTCAAATGTCACATTTATTGGCTCTATGGATGATAATGGAAAATATTTAAATTGCACTGCAACGTTTTCAATTGGATCTACCTCAGATTCTGCTAAACTGGACATAAAAAGTGAGTTTTTAATGTCACACCTGATCAAATAAATTCCTCAGAGGTATTGTGAAAATCAACCAAAATATTAAGCTGATGTTATTTTAGAGCATGACACTTAATGGGCTTTATCTGGGAATGTTTTCTTCACATTTCCTTTCCAGAATACGAGAAACCAGTGGAAGAAGATGATCTAGAGACACATCAAAGTGACAGTGGGTTCATTTTCCAGTATTTTCTCTGTAAATCTAATTTTCTTTCAAGAGTGATGACAAGCAGACTTTTGCTCCCCTTGTACAGCATTCCAAGTCCTGGCTGCAGACGTGCCTTTCAGATTCAGCGCCCTGACCCGCTCTTGTGTGGTGATCCCATGCAGTTTCAGGGACACAGGCGATGAACCCATGTCTCGTGGCATGTGGTCCAAAAAAAATGGGGGACTTGTCTTTCATAATGGTCGGAGCTACATATTAGATCATTTCAAGGACCGAACCAGACTGTTGGGCGATCTAAATGAGGGAAACTGCTCATTGGAGATTGACGACATCAAACCCTTTGACAATGGACCTTTCTGTTTCCATGCAGAGAAAGGACAGGATAAATACAAGTTTAACAACAGCTGCGTATTCATTGTGATGAAAGGTCTGGATTTAAACGCTTGCATATTTTAATATGCCATTAGACCTTTCTCTTTGCATCTGAGCAATAAAAAGGTTCAATGTTTTTCCTCCTCAGCTTCCCCAGATAAACCAGTGATGACCACAGTTCCAACTGAGGTTGATGCTGGTTCAACAGTAAAGGTCTCATGTTCTGTTAGTCATACCTGCTCATCACACCCCCCGGTGTTTTCATGGAGTGTCCCTTACACCACCAGCGAGGTTTCAGACGTGTCATTATCAAGGGGCATCTGGCAGAGGATGTCTACCATCTCATTCACGGTTCCCGGGGGAGATGGACATAAAAACCTGACCTGTACTGCCACTTTCTGGCGTGAAAAGCAACAAGCCAATACAGTTTCATTCACTGTGAAGGGTTAGAGAACAAAAAGCATCTACATTTTATATTTCATGCCAATTTTTGTATGGAAGATCATTTCTCTCATTTGCACAATCACCAGGAACGTTGATGCACCAGTGGAGAAGCTCTGCTCCAGTCGCCATTCCGGTGTCTCTTTTACTGCTTGTTCTCATCATCATAGCTGCTGCCCTTGGAGTATTCATCTGGAGGAAAAGGTAGAGTAAATAGACGACAGTTCCTAATGTGCCAGTACAGTTCAATGAGTACACATAACTGCTTTAACAAGGTTAGTTGCTATTTGGGTGTTTGCGTCAGTCACAAGGTGGGTTTCAGGATTTTCTCCTGACCAACAGGAAAATGACTGCTAATGGGCAGGTACCGCCACCCCGACCAGAAAAAAGGCATGTATTCAAACCTCAAAACTTCATAAAAGAGAGGTAACTCCATCTTTAAATGTTTGTTTTAAAAGTTTTTGTCCATCTGAACTTTGAACAGGACATCTCTTTGGGACAGACTATCCAGGTACGGTTATTTTGTATAATACCTAAGGATTGCTGTCTTTAAGTGGTCTTTTAATTTGAAATAGAAATTAATAAAAACTATCTTCATTACATTTTCCAGGAGAAACCATCAAGCGGAAAGGGAAAAGCCTTCAAGGCCTGAGAAACGGTCTGTAAGCAAACATCATGCTTCTGAAAAATCCAAATTTAAGGCAACGCTTTCTTATAAAAATGTATTTCTGTCACACAGGAGATCTGTTTGGAACCGGTTCTCTCGGTAAGGAAAAGTAACACAGGTGCATTTAGTTTCAATCCTCAGTTTAAACGCCTCAAAGGTACAATGCTGTTTTTTTTTTCATCAGGGCAACCCGTGATAAAATCGGGTGGAAAAATGACAGGTAGAATCTTCACTGCTGTTTAATTACTCTCATTCCTAGCAGCCACAGTTTAATCATTCAAATATTTATGTATTTGAATTATTTATATATACAATGTATTGATAGGCCATTCTAGAGACGATTTTTAAGGCCCTTTTTCTCACATAGCTCCAGAACTACAAATTGATAGAAATTACAAAATTTACAAAGGAAAGTTTACTGTTGGCCTGTTTAAATATTCTTTTATTGCAGGTACCAAGACAACGTTGCTGACTATAGTGTCAGCTATTTGTAAGTATCTCTCTGCCAAACTGTGACTACAACAGGACTCATAGGGGAAGTTGCGTCATTCTCTTCTGTTCCTGCAGAAACAACACTGTAACCTGTGAGACTCGTGCCCCAAAACAACGCTTTCCATCTCCAAAAGAGTGAGCAAGTCAACAGTTTCTTTTTTCCTTTAAACGCCATACTGCTGTGTTTCCTTTTAAAAGGACACTCATTTTCTTTTTTTTTGCATGAAAATCTGTTTGATCCAGAAAAAAGAGACGACCTCCACCCGCCACACCTGAGGTGAGGAGTTGTTCTGCTTCAATCATGGAATCAAGATTTCAGTTGAGGTTTCTTATGCTACCACAAAACATTTGATGAATATAAACAGTATTTGGGAAAATAATATGTGCTTTGATTTGAAATTGAAAGCAACCAGCTACAGAAACCCGCTTAACTGACCAGTCTTCCGATGTTTGTTGCAGGATGGAAATGTGTACGGGAACATGTGAGTCCACCAAAGACACCTTTGCATCAGCTTGGAAATGTATCAACATTTTCCCGCCCTTTCTTTTATGTTTTCTCCTCATTCATCCTGTTAGTTCTTGTATATTCATGACTGATGAAAGATAAATAATTTGACTAATTCAGGGGACCTCTGAAAAAAAAAACGTATGCATTTTTTTTACAATATCTGAAAAAATGAGTAAACGGATTTGAGATTTCATCCTTTTGTTTTCTGTACCTGACTGGGTGGTGGGCTGGTGCAGCAGGGGTCATGGCATACAGCCTGAAGAGGCTCCTTTCCCCTCACAGGAACATAGAGAGGGAGAATATCACTTTCATACCTAGTTAATACAAAAATTAGGGGGATAAAAAAAGGTTTTCTTGAAAAACATCAGCCGAATGTGTCAGCAGGGAGATTTGTTTCCTTGTTGCAAGGTAACCACATAAATTGTGGTCCATTATGTTTGGGTAGCCTTTTTTCTTTTGGTTTTCTTAGTTTTTCTCCTAGTTATTCTTTAGTGTTTTGGTTTTTAGTGTTTGTCCCTATATTTTCTTTTTGTGTTTGGTTTTAGCTTTATTTCTTTTATTCTATTTTAGTTTTCAGTCCACACTTAAAGTATTGTGTTACCCCTAAACGTCCTTTAGTTGTATTGGTTTTGTCCCTTGATCTCACTCACTCCTTTGTCTGTTGAACAGTCTTTATTTGTTTTTCTTTCTCTTTTAATTTTTTTCAATGTTATTTCTTGTGCATTGGTGGCACCATAGGTCATTTAAAAAAGAAAACTATCATTAATGCTCTGTTGCAGTCTGTATTTAGGCATAACTTCCTAATTATCTGCCTTTGTCAAACATGGCAGTGCGACATGGTGCTCATCTTTATGCCTGGGCCTGGGTTTTGATTTCCATATAATTTTATTCGTTGGAGATGCCAAAGACAATTGTAAATTTTAAGACATGAACCTCTGCTACACCGGAAGTTCTGTAGGTGTGTTGTTTTTAGTTTTATTCATATCATATACATATTGTTTCAATTAAATGGAAAGTTCTTCAGGAATATCATTCATAACTACACATTTTGTACTTCATTCACACTGTACTTTGTATTGTTTACAAGATGTTTTTTTCTGTTTTTTTTTTATTTCTAAGCATAAACTGTTTACTGCTGTGAGCTATTAAATGAAAACACTTTCCTTTTCTGATAGTGTATCTCATGACTTCCAGAGGAGAACTGTACAGTAGATGTTGTGGTACCAGTGGTCATTTATCAATAAATCAATAGGTGATGATGATTGATAAAAACGTTTGAACTGATTCCACTCATGTTCAACAGGGAGTTCCATTTCCAACGATAGGGCTTATTTGTGACCAATTTCTTACACATTAGTAATTGTGTTGGTTTTTTTTCAAGCCTTTTAGAGTCCCATGGTTGAATTCTGGGGGTTCTGTTGTTCGACATGAACTGGCTCAGAGGGTCGCTGATGCATATTGAGCACATGGGGAAAATAATCGGTTACAAATATTATCCTGATCCTATTGAGTAGGAGGTATAACCGGTATTCCTGTAGATATAGTTTAAAGTGCCAAACATACTCACATGCAGACATTTATTCTAATAGTATTGGGTGCTCATCCTAATGACATGAGTCAAGTAGTACACTTCCTAAAAGTTCATTGGTTACTTCCTGTTACTGCACTCTCTCTGACATCCATCAGTTTGTTAGACTGATTGTAGAATATATTAAAACATCCAGTTTTATATCGATCTTTTTATTTGCAGGATACGAATTCCTGATCTAACATGCTTTAATCGGACATTTAGAGCAAGCTTTGCCTCATTACATTTATACTTTGGCTGAAAAGTTTAACCTGTTTTCTAAACAGCTAGGCAGTGAAAGCAAGAGCAAGTAAAAAAAAAAACTTTTTTCTACAACTTTGTTACAAATTAACTCCATAACTTTTCAAAATTGGTAGAAAAAGAAATCGGTCTTTACTTTTATTTTATCAGCTAAAAGAAATAGACCAAAGAAATCAGTGGCAAAGCTATCAGCAGCAGAGTGGCTCTTGTGCTCCTGGCGCTGTTGCAGAAATCGCCCTGACAGCAGTTTATTTCCGCTCCCATGGCTCCTGCCATCTGTGCGGCTGATGAAGCTAAACACATCATCTTAGAAGCACAACCCTTTACGGTCATCTTCCTTCCTCCCACATTCACTGCGAGAATCAAAACATTGTTATCATGCAGGCTCATTTGTTTAATATTAGAATCACTTGACATTCCCCTGAGCAAAGGAATCTTGCACAGCTCAGAGGGCGAAACGGGTTGCTTACTTGTTGTTTTAAGGCAGTGGTCCTCACTCCCCTCACAGTTCAAGGTTTTAGTGCACGTTTCTCCTTCACAGCTAAAGCACTTTTTGCCATTTGGAGAGGATTTGCTGACATCTGTGAAGGGAAAACTTGTTTTTTTTTGGGAGTAACAGGTAATAAATCACTTAAACTGACATCATTGAAACAGATCCTACTTTTTCCCAAATATAATTTAATGACAGTACACACAGAAGCATTCTTTCATTTGGTTTAGTAAATTTCCATAGATCTTTATTTTCGTTTAAAACTGCAACAATTTAATTAAAAAAAGGAAGACTATAATTATTCAAAAAATGAGATTAAGTTATGGAAGAGAAAAATATATAACACCATCTCTCATGGCAGTTTTCCCCCCTTTTCTCTTTCAATGAACAAAACACTGTTCTAGGTATTTGAAATATGCCCTCTGACAGAGAATCGGAATTCAAGGGAATGTACTGACCTATTATTGATATAAAAAAAAAGTTAATCTGAAACCAGCTGATTATTTTCGGTTCATATCAGTTTAATTTTGGCCTGCCATATTTCCTTTCACCAGACACGTTACACAAGATATACATCAAATAAACTTAAGAATGAACAACTTAACTTTCCAATTAAAAACCAAAGAAAAATAGTAAGGGAATTACCAGGAGCAGACTGGACATTGCAGAGCTCTGAGTTGCAGCACTTGCTGGCAATCCGGGTTTTGGCAACTCCAAAGTTGACTGAACCCTCGACACACTCTTGAGCCAAAGAACAAGCTTTTGCCTCAACGTCACTGAGTTTTGAACCACCTGCAGCCAAAGATGAGGCACTGTAAAGGCAGTCAGTTCCAAATAGGAGGCCGGCAACTGTAATGAACTATGCAAACACATACCGACATAGGACACGATTCTGACGGAACTACATTGGTGATCCTTTGAGGGACATTCTTTTGTATCCTGGCAATTTCCAGACATTCCCATTAAACACTCGTAGCATTTCAGACTGTCAGCTGATGAGAAAGAATTAGAAAAAAAAAGAAAATCTGAATATTAACAAAGGTAGACCATATTAATTTGTGGAAATTTGAACGTAACCAGCAACTTAAATCAGAGCAATCTTTTTTTAAAGATTTATAAGTATACATTATATAAAATCTACATAAAAGAATAACAAGAAGGAGTATAAATAATTTCTAGTCATTTTAGGGAAACACGTTCTACATAGCAAACCGAGAGGAAAAAGAACTTGCCTTTTGGGAGAAGCCAAACTCCAAGGATCAGTGACAAGAGATGCATTGTGTGAGTGGACCAGATGGGGCTTTGCTTTGTCCCATTTCAGCTTTAAAAGGCTCTTCTGGAGGCCCGCCCTTAAGCTAAGCATACTCCCTCTTTCACCAGAGATGAAATTAATTCAGAAGGCATCATTAGATTTCAGAACTGGTTTTGCAGCTTTGCTTTTTTTCCCATCCGAGTAGCAAGATGTGGAATCCTCATACAGGCTTCGTGACTTGCAGCTTACCACACAAGGTGTCTCAAAAAAGTACAGATTTTATAGAAACTAGGTTTGCTGTTGTTGTGTCTTGTTTGTACTTTACTTCCCACAAAAAATGTCCTTAAAGTATTGCGCGTGTTCTGTAAATGCAATACTTTTGCATGGCATTGCTTGTCTTTTTATACTGTCAATGCATGAGTTGATTTTTCTCAGTTTACTTCTTTCTCTGCACTTATTAAAATGAGCATAAAGCATAAATTCCTCGTGAGGGGCTGCCGTTGTAGCTTAAAGGTGGGATGCTGAGACTTAACGGTGGCTGTTTTTGTTTTTTATAACAAACCAAGTATTTGTGTTCAGCAGTTCGTTTTGCAGTCACCTCACTTGGGTTGTTAGCACCTGAAAGGTAAAGATAAATAGTTCTTTTTGTTTGGCCTTCTTACATCATTTGATTCAATATCTTTTTAAGAATGGCATCCCCCTGTCTGCGGATGGGGTTACCAAAAGAGTAAAAAATAACTATTTCTTAAGTTTTATACAATGGGTTTGGAATCCACCTGCTAACAAAAACAATCTTTAATTTTACGGCTGTAATAATGATGCTTGGCAAAAGAAAACATTCTTTAATATCAACTGTGGAAGATGAGTGTGAGGAGGAAGTCATTCTCTAGCTGTACCAAAAGTAAAAAGTAAGTGCTCAGAGTGCATTGACTGTACAGCCACATAATAATTCACCTACCTCGATACATGAGAGACATATAATTGAATGCATGCCAGCTTGAATTAAGAAGTGGGAAACTGGTACATGACAGTTATGAGAAGTTGTTATTTTAAAGGTATTCAGGCCCGGGAGCTTTACTTAGTTTCCTTTCATTTCCCTGAAAATGACATGTGTACAGATAACGAAACTTACCCAAGAAAGCACAAGCATTTCAGAAACGGTCTGTTGTTTCTCAATCTTGCATGAACGTGCCAGTTCAAGGCTATAGTTTTCACTGAAAATAAAACTGAAAATGTTAGGTTTTGTAAAACAACAATGTGACTATGGCATGTTGTTGGAGGGAGACTATAAAACTCTCTTCACATAAAAGGTAACTTTTGGGTTGTTTTTCTTCTTCCTTTAATCCAGTTTTAAAATCATTTTACCCTTTCAACAAAATATGGCCCCATCTTTTTAAGTCTAACAGCGACCGTGTCTTTTATTTCTTCTCTCTGTCAGCTGTGCGGCTGCATCAGTATGCATTACATTCCTTGAGGCCTGGAGCCGCCAACCATCAGGCACTCTTTCACGACAAGTTTAAATCACTGCAGTTTATTAGGGAATGCCTTCGATGTGATGGTCCTTCAAGTGGCAGCCTCCATGGGTAAGCACATATAAAATACAACTGCAAAAAACAGCAGTCCAGTTCAGGAGCTAGCAGAGGAGACGACTGTATTCAGACAGAGCCGAGGACTTCTTCACACTGTCCCAGATGCGTGCTGCATAGTGAAACCTGCAAAAACCACAAAGACATTTGGTAAATGTGAGGTGAAAGAGCGGGAAGAGCATGCATCTCGTGTCTCACAGGGCGGTTAACCTTTGTTCAAATATGAACATTGAGTAATAACCTCTGCAGTATATTTGACAGCATAACGTGTTTAAAATCATGTTCAGATTCTTTTAAATAACAGGAAGCTGGATTAGCTACATAGAGCATTTATGTAATCTTTAGGAATCTCTGAAGTCTTTTTGCATTTTTTACTTACTTTAGACTGATCATCTTTTTTTTTGTCTGAAAGCTTTGAGCATTCAAAAAGCGCAGATAAGTTTGATGTATTTCTATCGTTGAATTGTTGAAGTCACAATAACATAAAACATCATCAGATTAAAGCATCTATACACAAACTGTTACCTTTGTGCCTTTTTGCAGAGCAGACTAAACAGTTTCACTTTAGGTTCGGAAAGGAGTCTGGATTTATTTAAATTAGAAGTCTTTTCTTAAGATCAAAATTTGCTTTACAATCTATTCCAAACACAAATTCTTCTTTCCCAGTTCTTCTGCTGAAGACCAGTGTGACCTGTGTGTTGTGGGATAATCTACAAAAATCTGCTGCTGCCCCCGCGACTCCACCCCGGATAAGCGGAGGATAATGGATGGATTCCCCTGTCAACTTTTTCAATACATTTATATAAATGATTGCTTCTACAACAATCACAAGGCCTTTACGGCAGCTGCTAACTAAATTGTTCTCCATGTGTGGCTCGATTGTGCAGCAGCGGTTTGCAATTTTTTTTTAAAAAATTCCAACCACGGTGGGGTTTTTTCGTCCCCCATCAGTATAGTGGTAATGCTTCCTGTGATAAAAAAAAACAAAAAACAACTGATTACCAGTTTTTCTCTGTGAGTATGGTGTGTGACAGCTGACAGCGGGGCATTGCAAGTACTTGGCTGCGAAGTTTCGACACCATGGTGGAAAATGAGGGGTGTCCTCTGTACCCAGGGAGCAGGGAGAAAAGTGGGTACGTTCCTGATCCTAAAAAAGCGGGGAAATATTGAGTTAAGTTGAATCTCACAATACAAAACACATTCTGTGTCAAAATAAGAAGAAGTTCTCAACAACCTGCTTTGTTCAAGTTATCCTCGCCATCACTTCCTTGCACAGGAAGCAGGAACATGTTGACCTCAGTAGGCAAATAGTCCGGCCCCAGGCCTGGAAAAATACTGCAATCTAGCATGGACAGTGTACCTGTAAAATAAACCACCTATTAGCAAGATCAAGCCACCTGAATTTCATAACATGGTTGTTGTTTAAAAAAATATAACCTACTTTCCTGCATTAGTTTTTTAATAAATATTCTGATTTACTCCTGATCTAATTTTTTTTTGTTCTTTTGGAGGAAGAGGAGCAGTCCTAATCAATAGGGTTGGTTTGTCAATGGTGTACAAAACAAAAACTACAACCGCAATGGAATGGTTTTGTTTTGAACTGTTACAACATTGTTTAACAGCGTTTAATTGAAACCTCAATGATATCTGAAACCGTTTCAAATGACTTTTAAAAGAGTTTCACCTTTGTATTTAAGATGAGAATGGGCCATTAGTTTGTCCACCACCATGTTCATATTCTTCAGATTTCTTGGGCAAAATTCTTCCCGTCTGGCCTTGTTCTGTAGGAATACTGGATGAGAGGGAAAGTCAAAGGAGACGAACCTAAATGTGTGTGATCAGGTTAGCTAGGTGTAATAATCTGCACTGAGCAGCCACCTATGTGAGGATAGTACTCTGCTCCGTCGTCGCTGCCGGAAGAGCCCGTGCTGTCGTGGCTTGCAGAGGGAGTGGAAGGCTTCAGCATCTCAGCAGTTTGAAGAAACCTAACAAAACATATGGAGGTCAAGATTTTATCTGAGATAGACTTTGACTTTTCCAGTTTATATCAATACTAGAAAGGGAAACTGAGTGCCTCATCTTTTGCGCATTTATACCTTTTCACACGATCCTCTTTTATTTTTTATTTTTTTACCAAATACAAACAAACGCCAAACCTATGTTAAATCATTCAGTAAAACTCTTCATTTTTGACAGATCACACTGCACACAGTTCATCATCTCGATCCAAAAAAAAATTCCATTCTTGATTATCTTCATGGATATGCTGCAAAGCTTGCAGAAGTCGGTTGAAACCACAGGAAACAAATAACCAGATGCTGGGTATTTTTCTGCTCACAAGTGTAGTGTTTCAGAGGGTATAAACTTCAACCAGTTTCCAACCAGTCTTGTCATGTTCTTTTGTGTTTGCATTGTAAATGTGTCATTATCATTCAAAGTCTTTAACCAACTTCAAATGCAAATGACTTCTAAGAAAAACAGGAACAGTCCATATAAGATCAAAGTAGATGAACTTTGTTATATCAAGAGAATCTAGTGTTTTTTTTGTCTCTATTTTTCAGGAAAAAAATCCTTCGGGTCTCTTATATTGTGTCTTTCATATTTTCATGCTTAATGGAGGATTTAACGAAAACAGACTATGAACGCCTCATGGAGTGAAGCTTCACAGCATGACGTGTGAATATCACTGAACAAAATGTTTCAGTCATGGCTGTTGGCCATTTAAAGTAACTAAAAGAAGCCATTACAATTTAATTACTCCAAAGGCAGATTTCTGGTAAGATAAAGGCAAGCTGAGGCAGACGAATTATTGTCAGCACATGTGAGACAGCAAAAGAGCTCTACTTGCTTCCTGCGAGTCTGGCTTTGCTTATATTTTCTGTTTACAAGACCAACTGAAAGTATGGCATTGTTGAACTTATGAAAAGTGAAGACAAATATCCTCCTTAGATATAAAATGAAATGCTTAACATTCCATCGGAAGTAAGAGCTCCTCTGAGACCGACATTACTGCCCAGTGAGGATGCCCAGTGAGTACTGCACATGTCTAACGCAGATTGACAAGAGCCTACCTGTAAAGATTCAAGTCTGTGAACCAGTCTTGAACCACAATGACAACGTGACACACTGTAAACAGGAAGGCGGCGATCTGGAGAGACTGTTGACGGACGACACAGTGTGATAGTACAGAGAATGATTAAGATAAAGTTAGACGACAAATGCAAGTATCATAAGTATCACGTTCCGCTGGTTACATTAGCAGCCCTCTGTGGGAGAGATGCATACACTAGAAAATACTTCACATACCTGCATCTCTACATACGTATGGGGAAGGTTGTACTCGGGAGGCAACTTCCGATCATTGTTTATAAGGTGATCCAGAATTGATGGACTCAATATAGGCTGGAGAAACAAGAAGATCCCTTAAGAACGAAAGTGCTATTCTGCTCATTAACTGTTTTACAGCCGCACTCAGCCTCTGAGTATCCCACAATCCCTCTTACCTGTGTATCCAAAAAGATAACTCTCTCCTGTGTAATGAAGAAATCAATGCCTGTACTCTGATTACCTCCTCGCTCCTTGATTTCTTGCGGCTGGGCTCTAAATACATAGCTCCTGTTGAAGCAAAAACAGTAATTTTTTTAATTAAAAAGACTCAGAACATTTTCTTTAACTTGGTCTTCCAGCTGAAGTTGAATTCGGTATAATTCAGGGCCTGAGCTAAAAGCAAATGCATTATACCTGCAATTGCAATCAATTGCATAGCAGGGGTGCAGGTATTTGGTATCAGAGTTAAAGCTGATAAAATATACTTATATGTTAAGCTTTTAATAGAAAGTAGCAAAAATGTAGCCTATTTCAAGTCCTATTTGGTGAAGAAAAAAAAATCCATTCTGATACAAACAGTAAAGAACGTGTGCATTGCCCTCGTGTGTTCAGAAAGAGTGTGACACTTTATTATTGTTTTCTTTGGAGGGAACATGTAAATGGGAAATCAATAGCAATATAACTATAATCTGAATAGCCCTTCTGTTAAATGATTTGAATCAGGCATTTCTAAAAAACAAAACACATTTTAATCGCCCTTGATGGCATGAAAAAGACTTGGGTCAATGAGTTTTCAAAATTATATCTAAAAAATAGTTCCCATGTTGATTTGTTCTACACATTTCACTTGTCCAAAACGTAATGTTCCTTATAACTTAAATTAGCTCTACTCAGCCCTACCTTTGATCTTCCTCAGGGGTATTGGCAGATAACAGCGACATAATGGTAGATTTCCCTGATCCCTGAAGGCCGATGACTCCCACCACTAGCATGTCCGTCTGGTCCCTCAGATACTGCAATACATCTCAATCAAATGAGCATTTCTTTGTGCAGACACTGTAACACACCTTGAGTGTATGATCAAATCTGTCAGGCAATTAAGATAACAGCTCACCTCCATAGCACTGTCGCACCAATTCATCTGATCATCCACCAGCTTAATGCTGTGCTTCATTTTCTCCGGGGGAAGGAGTTTAGATTGACCTACCATGGCTGGAAATTGAGAGAAAAAAAGCACAATTTCTTTCAAATATTTTGAGCGGAATTTTAGCAATAGATAGATAGGTCGCTGTACACTTAAATCGGAAAAAAATGAATTTTTATAAGAATCCGGAATGACTCACGATCCACTGTGCCGCTTGATGCAGAAGCATTCATTCCTCTGTTTTGAATCTGATATACAGGCTGCGTAGGCCGCTGCCCTTCCCTCTCTACCTTGGAGGGTCCCGGTCCAGCGGACTGAGACGCTGCCTCCGGAGGCGTCCCCGGCTTCCCTCCATCCTCTCTGGCTTTCATAAGCATGATGGGTTTCTCTATGACCGGAGTTCCACTGACAGGTGCATTCTGCGCTGTTTTAGCCTGGGTACAAATCCATCAACAGTGTGGGTCAACAGATCACATGAGCTCAGGGCCAGAGGAGCTACAGGAGTAATCAAAGACTATGGATGACTAAGGACAAAAGTGTCAACGTGCATTTATGTCTGATTATTTTATTTCCTACGAAACTGATATGTCAGGATGTCTTCTAATTGTTATCAACAAAGAGTTGTAGGAAAAGAGTACGAGACAAGTTTACGCACCCTTTCCCCGGGAGGTTTGGCTAATATGATGGGGGTCTTCTGAATGAGGGGTCCTGGTGGATCTTCGCTACCATCCTGAGGAGGAAAAGATTAGAATTTATTTTTTCTACCGCTGCTCTAAAACACATCACAGTGCATCAAAACAGAGCTAAACTTAAGTGTTTTCAATATGTTTACCCTTCGTTCTCTAGGTTGATATTCACGATCTCGACTGGGGCCAGAGAGATTTTGTCCCATGGGTCCTACATCTCCCCGACGTCGCCTCCTCCTGCGTCCCTGCCCGTACATACCGGGCTGACTGTGGCCTGATTCCGACATGTCACGATGTTTCCAATTTATACCTGATATACACTGCTAATGAAGGAACGGTAGTTCACGCAGAGCCAAACACCAGAGAATACTATTTCCACTATGACTTTTTTCACTCAAGAAAGTAGTCGCCTTTTAACAAATTCCGGGATGTTGATATCGGTAAATGAGTTCAATTTTAGGTCGTGGTTACATGGAAGTGATGTTGGCTTGGCTCAACAGCTTGTACACAACGGTGTCGACAGATTCCCGATGGTGCGCTCACTTCGAAACTCGGTGCGTCCCTCATGGTAGTAGATTTCAAACATGAAGCACATAACTCCGCTCGCCTTGAAAATACATTGCTATCAAACAAACGTACCTAATTTGCCCCAACAAATAGGGTTGTTGTAAAACACCGTCGTGAAGTCTTTAGTTCCGCTATGTAATGACTTGATTATTTCAATCCTGAGAATGCATGGGGAATTTGTAAAGGTTTTCTTCATGACTTAATTTTGTTTTTCATGAGCGTGTTTGAATATAAAGTATACATTCATGACTGTAAGACAATCGCGTGATTACAAGTTATGTACAGACAAACACGCATACTGTTTGAAAACAGTCAGGTCGGTAAACTGAAGACAACACAGATAATACATGTTCATGTTTTTTAAATTACTCATGTAAAGAAATGTGATTATTGTGTTGGTTAACAAAAGTGATGCACTGTGGGAATTGTGTGTGTCCGCTTTCCGGTTAAAACCGGATATGGGCGAGCTCGGTATGAGTATATGGACGCCATGAGTGTTTTCTTTTTGTAATGTGGTTGGTATTCGTATAATATCACAATCTTGTTAACAAAATGTGATACAAAAACATCTTAAGCTAATGAATAGTTTCCCCTTTATGTTTCGATAATATTATTTATCTTTTTTATATTATAACAATTATAACAGCCCAACGGTAGATGCTTTCTTGATTAGGGGTTTGGACCAACTATTGGCTAACGCCGGTACCAGAGGGCAGGGGTAAGTACAGCTTACTTCTATAGGATGTGTTATACATGCTGTTTGGTAGCCTAAGATACGTAAACAATAGATGCCTTTTTGTCACTCATTACGTTTAAACATTAGGAATAGAGCGAAGAAACACTTTTTGAGAGGTTCTGCGTTGTGTTGCATCCTAACGCTGTTTGAAGACCTTCTGTTGAATGACTATTGTTTGACGTATTGGTCCTTATTGTATATTTAATGTAACAGTGATTGTATTTAGTTGATTGAATATTAGCATGCATGGTCACATATGCACGTATGTGACTTGTGTCCTGTGTGACTGTTAGCCATCTCCATTGCATGGGTACCAGTCCATTCCTAATATTCAAAAGGATTTAGATGTTACTTTCCAATACTGTTTGGAGCACTTGTATATCAAATAAACATGTTCAAAATTTACATAAGTGTTGCTTTAGTTGCATTCACACCGGCATTTATAGTTGCTGATTTGTGATTGGCTCACCTTGGATGCATGCAGACTAATATTGTGAGGACATTTGGTTGGCTCTCATAAATGCCATGCATAATGCCACAAAACTACATTGCAATCTTTTGGGATAATTTACTCAAATATACTGCCCATTTGTCAGTAGGTGTAGTCCATCAACATAGATACTAAACCTCAGTCACCATTGAAAAATGTTGGTCATCAGATAATAAAGCCTGCTAAAATTATGACATTTGAAATCTGCACTATGAGCTTATTCCCATCTTTGACTTTTCTCTCAATTGCAGGCCGCTAGGTTTCCTTGACTAGCTCCTTATGTCTGATGACTCCAGCAGTGAGGAGGAGTGGTGTCTACCAACAGGGAAGGTCTCTGAGACTAAATGTTGGGAGTGTGGAAAACCATTCGGCAACTTAAGGAACCTGATGAAGCACTATAAAAGTCACAACATCAATGCCACATGCCACATCTGCAAGGTAACATTCCGTCGCCTGACATCACTCAACACGCACTTGGATAATGTACACTCGCCACCCTTCTGTCTTGTGTGTTACCAGTCATTCAGTAACGTGTTGGAGCTGAACAAGCATGCAGAATCACACTGCAAAAACTCTGTGTTGTTTGAAAGCAATTCATCTTTAAAAAACAGGAGGCAGAAAAATGGCAGCTTTTCTAAGGAGGTGTCACCACAGCAAAGCACAGCTTCGTTCCATCATGACTCTGCATCGGATCTGAAGCTTCACGAAGGAATCGGAATGGAGTTGGAAAGGCCGGGGAGGTCAGTGAGCAGCATGGATTATGTCCTGAGTGAGGATGATGACGACATGGAAACTGAGAGTTCAAGTAGCTCTTCATCGGAAGGGACTGCATCAAACCTAAGTTCAACGGATACTAGCGACTCTTCCAGCACATCAGACTCAGAGGACAGCCCTACTACCCACCCCTCCATTAACTCTGAAATGTGTGAAAAATGTGGTAGAGGGCCATTTCGATCACTAAAGCTCCACTTGCTGCATTGCACTGATCTAAAGACAAAATACAAGTGTGTTTTGTGCAACAAGAATTTTTTTTCTGAGGCCGCACTACAGGAACACCAAATGCCTTTGAATTCCTGTAATATCTGTTTTCAGGTTTTTGCTAACGAGAACTCATACTATTCCCATAAGTGTCCCAGGGGATTCAAATTGCCTCTCACTCTTTTTTGCCCTGAGTCGATGCCAAAACCATGTAGCATATGTAAATCCTTTTTCACATCTGACACAACTCTGTCAGTACATGTCAACAATGTCCACTCATCAGTGGTTAACACCAAAGTATGCATCATAACAAAATCGTTTGGGGTGACTAATACTAAAGCTATGACAGTCATCCCGGGTGCAGAAGTTAATTCGACCACCTCTCCCCCAGTTGTAGTGCAACAGGCCATTAATGGAAAGCTTCTAGTGGATCAAAACTCTGTTGCCTCGCAGCCATTTATTGTGAACTCGAGCTCTCCCTCTGGCTCAGAGATCCCTCCTACCCCAACAACCTCTGTGTCTTCTTCTACCTCTGTAAAGCAGCCGTCAAGTCATCCTTCTGAGCGTTCATCGGCCTCTCCCGCTGCAAGTGACCCTGGCGCTTCAGCACCCACCATTCTGGCCTTGTTTGAGAATATCAGTCCGTATGTGGCTTTGATGAAGCGTTTGAACACAAAATGGCGCTCAAAGGCCCCTTGCCCCTGCAGGCAGTGTGGCGCCATCCTTAGACAACCCTCCCTCATTATCAGCCACCGGTACCGCCACAGGGGCCACCGCCCACATCGGTGCCAGTGCGGCCGTGCTTTTAAGCACCGACTGCACCTGCTGCGCCACTGCATGCAGCATGCAGAGGCCACCAGCTACATCTGTGTCGGCTGCGGGGACACTTTCACAGGGGCAGAAGTCTTAGCACAGCACCTAAAGGGCATGTCCAGGAAAAGATCCCGTTCTGGAAGAATTATTAAAGTGAAGAAGAAATGCAGGAAGCCCTTTACATGTGACTGTGGACAGCAGTTCTTCAGGCCTTCAGCATACATATGGCACCAACTTAAAAACAGAGCAAAACAAATGAACCGTCGCAGATTTCTATGACCCAGAAGCACATTTTGAAGTTGTTGTTTTTTTTAATGAAAAGAAATAGTGTTTCGTCAAAAAAAGAAAATCACATGCCATTTGGTTGTCAATACTTTGTTTAATTTATGTGGTAACAAAAAGAAAAGAATCAAAGTAAAACCACTAACACATCCATTCTTAATTTCTTTGAATTATGCATGTTCTATTCTGGCTAAATGTTTTCATCATGTGCAAATCATTCAAAGTAAACAATATGTTCTTCAGAGGAACATTCGAAAACATACCAGAGCACAAATGACCCCAGAAGGAATATTTTTGGATAGTGTTGGATGAATTGAAAATGCTGTAAAACTCCAGTTTATCATCCAGAGAAGTTAGCTCCAGTTTGGCTGTTGGTGATTTTCAAAGTGCAGTTTCATCAGTGAGTTTTGGGAGTTAAAATTCGCTTAATTTGATTTTAGATTTATTAAATTGAATGCAGTTCAGTAAATTCACTCCTTTGAGAAAATTTGAGGCGGCCTTTATATTCAGATTAAAACTCAAAATGACACTTTTTTTTAATGGTTCTAAAATCTCACTGTTTGTCATTCAAACCTTCCTCAATGTTTTGTTGACTTTACCCCTTGTCCACTAGATGGAGCTTGTGAGCTTACAAGGCAGCTTGGATTCACTGACATTGTTCTGCACAGGTGTGAACCGTTTGATCCTTTTCCTGTATCAGTTACAACCTAAAATGTCGACAACCACTGAAATCTCATGGGTTTGAAAGTTAAAAATAAAGTTTTTATCTTTAGTATCCAAACCTTCCCTTCACTCCGTCGCTTATTTTCAGTCACATGTCTTTTTGATGGAAAAAAGAAGGCCTAATAATGTTAAACATGGCGTTGTATTCTATAAGAATTTGAAAGCAGTAATCATCCAGGTATCCATTAAAATGTCTGCTATTGAGGAGAATGACAAGTTTATCGAAAAATGTTAAAGTGATCGGTGTGAATTACTGCAAAGAAATTGGAATAGAATTAACACAAATAATACACCGTATTTCACAGGAATTAGCCAGTTATCTGGTTATTCAGAGTGCAGTTTGGACCGTGTCTGTCATTGTGTGTTGTGATTATCGCTTGTTTCCTTGTTTGAGATCGTTCAATTCTGTCATGAATGGATCAGCTGAAAGTACAGCGGACGTCTGAGATTTTGCCCTGCATGAATTGAAGTCTCTTGTCTGTGTGATTTTACAGCAATAAGTCTTTGTGAAGTGCTCCCAGCCCTGAGCCAGAGCATCTGATCTTTAGCAGGTATCACTTAGACCTCCAAGTGGTTTCACGTGTGTCTGTGGCAGCTGTTGTGTGGAGGAGGACACGGACAGACACCTTTTCTGTTTGAACGTTGTCACCTGCAAAGACCAACGATAAAGAGAGGGTTATTCTCCACAGCGGGCATGTTCCACTTAGTGCTCCGCTGGCTGTGAGCATCGTTCACCTAATCTCGGGGCTGCGGTGGCGCAGGACCTCAGACAGCAGCTCAGACGTCTGCTGGAAGCAGCGGCTCAGCTCGTCCAGCTTCTGCTCCATGGACAGAATCCGCTGCTCCAGCTCCCGGTACGAGTTATTCCAATTGGCACTGAGGTCACACATGATCATCTGCATCTGGTAAAATCCACAGTGCAGCGCCAGTACAGAGAGATTTAAAATTTGTAGAGCATGTTGTCAATGTAAAAAGTAGATCCAGAGCATTGATTAAATCACTGAGCTGTAGGCCTTTAAAAGAAATTCTGTCACTGGGCCTGACGAACCCATCTGACCAAACATTGCTTTAATTCCTTTGCTCTGTAAGATGAGTACTGTAAAAAACCCGGCAGCTCCCCTTTACCTTTGGAAGGTCCACCATCTCACTGACGTAATCTCTCAGTTTTCTTTGTTTGAGGCGAAGATGTCGAAATCTGAACGAGGGGAAAAAGTTACTTTTATGCAGCGACAAAAAAAAAAAAAACTAGTCCAACACAAATGTGTTTTAACACTTCTAAATATTACCCTAAAATGTATATGGAAACTGATAAAAGAAAACCTATTAGGGTTTAAAAGCTCTAATAGGTGTGCTGGATTTCCCTTTTACAGATGGAGCATCCTATTTTTGGACAAATACAACAGACCTGGCACAACACAGAACCTCTGATTTGGGGAAGAATATGCTCACAAGTGTTCCACTCCTCATCATGGAGTGGTCATGCTGAGTTTGTTAAAAAGCTGTAAAACACCGCTAGAGGCTTTTCTGACATATAGAGATGGAAAAGGGATAAATTTAGGAGCACAGACGGATGAAAGCAAAAATTCAGGCAAACAAAAAAAAAGAGAGAGCAATATTGAAACCAATGTTATCATAAAGCACACCGCCCCTGAGAACAGAAGAGTGATGGAGTCTCATTACATTATGCTGTTAATACCAAGGTGTGGAAGGTCTTTCTGCTCATACTTTCCACAGAGTGTTTATTTGTAATGGTTCAGCCCATTTTAAAGCAGGAAGCGCAACCCTCCACACAGGCTACCATACACTCACACATGTAATCCTGTTGACAGGATAATGGAGCACATAATAACACTTCTGCACTTCCTGGCTTCTGTAATCCACTTGTTTTGGGTTGAGGAGTTTCAGGCTCCATAACAGGGGGCAGCAACTTTAAACTGTTACGCCTCGTTGTAACAATTTCTGCGTTCTTTTTCCTCGTGAGGGCAGGAAGAAGGGTGCGTGTCACGTGGAACCGCTTCAAAATGTAACGGTTTCAAGTAAATACTTGCAAGGAAGAACTGTGACTTGGTTTTAACACAAGACAAGGGTAAACCCGTATGGTCTGACTCCCTGTCAGCAGGAGAGATGCAAACAAATCTCATCGGTAATCTAAGTTGGGCGTTAACAGTTGGTCACTCTGTGGTTAAGCGTATTGACACCAGTTAATCCCCCATAAGATACACATGCAAGATACATAAGCCAACCCCCGGTGAAGGCATCGACTCACACTCTGATGGCTTCCAGAAGGCACCTCTGGTGTCGCCGGTGCTCGCCGCGGTTGCCCTTTGTCAGGTTTGCACGATGCAGAAGCCAGCACTCTCTAAGAACATTAGCAGCAGCATGGCGGATCTGACCAAAGAGAGAGAAAAAGAAAACTGACTTATCAGACTCTTGAGGTTCCATGACCATAGATAAGGCCATTTGGACAGTCAGTCAAACGTGCAAATTTAAATGAAAAATATCACACAGTTTCTTTTTATCATTTAGAACAGGATGTTCAAGCAGAGACTTCAAGGCAACTGATTAAACTCAGATAGTCTTTCCTGTTCTTTCCCTTTGACCTATGATGCTGAATTCGGATAATAGAGAACTGCAAGGTCTTGTTTTCACAGCAAGCCGCAAACACAAGGCCAGACAGTCTGAGCTCAGGTCCTTCTGCACTCATCTCTTCGATACTATTCTGGTCTGTTTGTTTTCGTGCGCAAATCACTGCAACTGCCCCATGATGATGTCACTCTGGCCCTGTTGTGGTTGTTATAAATAGCATCTGTCAGTGTTTGCATCCAGATGTCTTCCCTTGTTCCCACTGCACCAGATAGCCCAGAAGGATGCACGCACACTCGCACAAATCAACAAGAGCTGCAAGCAAAGTGCAAAGATGCACCTAGAGACAGGATGCAGCCACCAGGAGAAAGGAAATGGTTGTATCCTCCAAAAGTGCAGCTACTGCGGTAAGTTTGGCGAGGAGCTGTGGAGCCGCTCACAAAACACTAGTAAAACCAACACCGAGTGGCACGGAGCATTTATTTGTGTGTCTGTTTTCCCCTCACTTTGCACAAACTTTGAATTCTGCCCTAGTTTAAAGCTGCAGTCAGTCCTCTGCAGAAGAGTTCTTTCTCACACACACAGATATGCTCAGTTTCCTGCCTTGCACAGTGCCAACTTGAACTGATATAAGCTTGTTTCGTGACAGGGGCCAGATTATTTCCTCTGTTTGACGCCTTGAAGAGGCTATAAAGACACTGGATGTTATCTCCCTACTTTTGTTCCCACACTACTGAGTCCTCATGCATGTCGTCCTTGTGGAACCAAGCAAACATGGAAGGAAAATTGAAAACAAAAGATTTTTCGTGTCCATCTTGACATCTCTACATGCTCAGAATTAAGAAGCAAAACATGTTTTTAGATGTCTTGGTATAAATTATTTCTGACTTTAAAGAATGGGTGATATCCTAGTGAATGAAAATTGGGCCTTTTGAGGAGGCTAAATCAATAAATAAAAACTCTTATGACATAACTATGAAGCATTTTTCAAAGATTATTACAGCATATTTGTTGGTGTGACTTCATCTCTGTCAGGCATAACAGAACAATTCATATTCTTCTGTCCTTGCAGAAGCATGACTGTGCATTGTTCCAGTGACGGAAGCCATAAATGAAGACATAGTGTTCATCCAACACAAGTTTTTTTATCTGAGTAAATGACTCCTTACACACTATGGATAACAGTAATAAGTTAACCCAGCAGGTTGCTGGATGATAGGAAAAGAGAATTAAAAGGTATGGGTTTACACTTTTAAAACAAGTCAGCAAAAAGCATGTACCATTTGATATGAATGTGTCCAAAAATCAGACTGGTTTACCACAAATGAATGCAAAAAATAACCAACTGTTTGTACAGTAGCTAAAACATTTGAACATCTTTGCTGAAAAGGAGAACGTTCTCACCCTTTTAGAAATCTGGATGTCCAGCATAAAGAAGTGCACGTGCTTCTCTCCTTTGTTTAGCGCCAGCTTCTCTGTTACGATGGCCACTAGCATGGCAGTGCAGGCTACACCCTGAAAGTCAGCAGAGGTTTTTTTTAGCGTGGTTTCTTGCCTTTTTTCCTCCTCACAATATTAGAAAACTCCGGATTTTAAACAAGGCTGAAGGCAGCTGAAGCACAACTGTGTGTTTTTTATACTTTATTACCCTCAAAGGATTGTGCATATTCACAAAAGTCAATGTTTATCTTCATATCTGAAATGGTTACTTTTAATAAATCACATTATATTTATACAAAAAAGTCCAACGGTTAGACAAGCCTCGATGGCACGATAATAGTACGGGTTTCCTCTGAGAATAGTTTCATGCTATTGCTGGACAGGGAACTGGCGAGAGATAGTGAGTAATCCAGAGGGCAAAGGAGCAAACATCATCCACATACTGACAAAAAAACATGTCATAGCACACAACACTACTCATGTTCATCATAGGTTATGATCAGAGTTACCTGATTATCCTCTTTGGGGCTTGCAACAGAGGGAGAAAACAAGAGTAAGAAAGATTTGAGCATGAGCATAAAAAAGGCTTTAGCCTGAGTTTTTCAAAGATATATTTATCTTTTATGCCGACGGCCACAAAATATCTATCGTCACATAGTCTTTAAACCCCAGGAGGTACTCCTCCCTGGGCTCAAATCACACAAAGTGATGGGCTGCAAACAAAGCTGTCAGCCCCTAAACTCAGCTGCACACCGGGTGTAGCCGCAGTGCTGACCACAGAGCCTGTCCGTCGTATTGCAGGTGTGAGCATCACTACAGATGCAAGCTCCCGGAGCTGCCCTGATGGGAGTAGGAATTTATTTTTTTTCCAAACTGTGGGCACAGGTTGGCACGCCCTCCTGTTGTAACGGTTCCAAAAGCAATAAACCACCTAAAAATGGATGTGGTGGAAAGTTTTCCCTTATAAGGGGGGGACTTATAAAAACAAGGCAGATGGAGACATACAGAGGAAAAGACCAGGAAGACTGTTTTCCACTCTGTCACAGAGGTGCCTAAACCGGACTTGTGCCCATATCCAGAAACACTGCAATGATTCTTATCTGCTTGGAGTGGAATTTGAGCAAAATGTATCGCCCTGTTCAAACACAGCCACTCCTCATTGTCGACGGCTTATTGTTTGTTCTATTTTACTGTCTTGGTACTTTATTACAGATGTCTATTTCATATCCCTTTAAAGTCCAACTCTTGCTGACCCTCTATTAAGGATTGTACGCCCTGAAATGTATTTCTCTGCCTTAAAGAATGTCATTCTATTTTCATAAGGCATCAATAATGTCTTGTAAAAATACAGTCAATTGAGAGGCGTAAAAATAGAAAAGAAATCAACTAGATTAGATCGGCCTGACACGAAAGTGAACCTTTTTAGTGGTAAAAAATAGCAAGAAGTGCTACTGTGGAACAGAAGGGAGTGAACCAACCTATAGAGGATTCTGTTGAACAGCATCAGAAGAGCGTCAAGCAACAAAGAACAGAACGGAAAAGAAAACTTAAAATATCCAGAATTAGCTAATAAGAAAACGAATAAGAAGAGCAGAATTTTAACAAATTATAGCAGGAAAAAGGGCCCAAAAATCAGAACACAATACAAGGAGAAAAACAATAATGCAAACGAAACATTGAAAACAACATAAGATGACAAAATGAAGAGTTAGACAAACAAAAATGCTTTTTCTAGGTTTTTTGAGCGAGATTGTGTGATCACAAAGAACTGTGTCAGGTTGTAAACAAAGCAGGAAATGTCTTATGTTAAAAACACCTTCATAATTTGTGTGGCTTCATAATTTCTCCTAAAGTGGCCAAAACGTCATGAAAGCACACAACTGCCTAACAGTATTAAGCATGACATTATCAACTATTAAACCAGTTTGTTTACCATGACACCAGTGAAGAGACACACCGCCTTGCCGCAGCTAGTGTTGGGAGACACATCCCCATAGCCCACCGTGAGGAAGGTGATGGCTATGAGCCACAGGGCAGTGTCCATGTGGCCTGTCGTTGCCTGGGTCTGTCTGCAGGGAGAACACAGCGGGACTGAGGACCACAATAATGCTTAGGACTCACACTGTGGTGATAATGATATGACACCAGACATGTTTTTTACACAAAAACCTCTTATCTAAATGCGAATGACCCTTTACACCATCCATAAAAGTATGATTTAATCATATTTCATATTTTTTAATCTTTTTTATTCTACTTTTCAGTCTCTGATACTTTGCTTTAAAGTTCCCTGTCCATTAGGTCAGCGAAGAATGCAATGTACATCTAGATTTCTTGGTCATCTATTTAACTTTCAGTCACTTTGCTGAGATTCAGTGCAGCTTTCTCTTTTCAGTTAGAGCAGACCAATGACTTCAAACACAATCGAATAATTTATTAAACAGTTTTTTCATTTGATTTGGAAACTTCTCTTCCTATAGATTTAAAGGGATAGGATGAATCAAAAGTTCTGTTAAATAGCCATCATTTTCAATAGCACTATTTTCAAAAATTTCAAGAAGCGTAAATGGAAAGCGTAAAGGATAAGGGTTGCATGTGCTCTGATGTGGAAATGTTCATATGAATTAGTTTGCAACCCATTATGACTGGAATTTACTGTCAATGACTGAAAAACAAAAAATGATGCCAATCCTCTCAAGCCATGGTCCCATGAACAAGCCAGGGCTTGCATCAGACTCATGGGGTTGTGATTACATCACTCGCTTTTGGAGGAATGAATATTCTATTTTAGATGCATCACATATTGAAATGGATTGTCATACATTTGTGTCATTTGCGATCAGTTAAACATGGCCATGTCCATCGCAGATTTCTTTTACATTAAAAGTTGCTAAGTAAATGCAAGACAAGCAAAAGACAATTATCCTTACTGTACAATCAGTGCAAAGACCCAAAATTCACAAAACAATTAGCTCATTACCTGGCAAAGTTTCTCGTTTATAAGGAAAACTGTTAAAAATGGAAATTTCTACTTGTGCAACAGGGAAATTAGGAGGATTAAAAAGTCTATTGTCAATTTCTCTCTGCCTACTACAGGCTTAAAATAACCACAGTGGTGTTTCCAACAGTGTGCTAACCTGTGACACATTTGTCCACAAATCTGCCTATAAGGGAAACCCCTAACTCTTAATCTTGTTGCCTGTGGTGCATGGAGTGTTTAGTTAAGGTGTTTCCAGCTAATCAAACTTTATTATCAGTCATGGAAGCTGCCTGTATGAAGTTGTAAAACACTGTTACAAACAAGTCTAGAAACATCTTACATCAGTCATGGAGGAATATAGGAGCGTCTCACATGTGGTAATCAAGAAGGGCTGCTGGGACTGTTTACTGTTGAAACGTTTATCAGCTGTCTTTCATGCTCTCCTTTATTATTTTTGACAAACAAAGCACACACAAGCCGAAGACAAGTAAAACCTCCCATTAAGATTTAGATTAACAAATGATCTCATGGTGTTCAGACGGCCAAACAGCCTGCAGAGGATCGTGCTGACATTTCGGTGGCTCACACAGAGGAGAACGCTGCAAAGCAGCGGATGAAGACTACGCCAGAAGTGAGAATACAGAATCAAGAGGTGGACCATTAAACTACTGTGGACTTGTAAATGTAACTGGCAGTGAATGTTTGTGGAAGCTGTCGTCTCTGTTCGTATTTAAGTTTGCAATAAAAAAAAAACCTTTAGTCTTTCACTGAGAAAAAACTAATAATACAAATTGAAGTCATTCAGTTGTGCTGATCACAGACCGGTCTTTGCCTTCCCTACCTTTCACACAAAGTAAGCATCCAGGATGCGGTGAGCCAGAAGAGGAGGATGAATACCAGCAGCGTACGTGCCGGATGTTTGTTCATCAGTACCTTTAGGACAAAGCGAAAAGTGAAGTTGATGTTGTTGAGTGAGCCTATGCTCCTGTAGGAGGCGCTCAGCAGCACTTTGCTGTGCAGCAGGATGGCTCTGTGCACCAAGTACAGACGGAGAAACATCAGCATCGATAGCAGCAGCTCCATGTCCAACAGGGCCTTTCCGTGGTGACTGGAAACACACAGTGGGGCAGCAAAGGAGGAGTTGACATGGTGGCTAACCTCCCAGTATGATCCTACCGGATGGATGACACAAACCAGCAGCTCCAACGTGATCACAAGAACCCTTTGGCTGCTCATAGCAATGCGCCAGTCCACCTGGTTGTGATCAATGATGAACAGCTATGAGCAAAAACAAGGAAAAACATCAGACAAATGGTGTCTTAGAACAGAAACCTGTCAAATTACACTCACAAATATTAATTATTTAATACAAACGCTGTTGTGTCGTATTTATTCCCCACATATTTACATATGTTGCTGAATTAAAATCTTCAATGTGCTGATATTTTTCATGATAGGTAAGGTAAAGGTAAAACATACATATATGGTCTACAAACCCAAAATCAAGGGGATTTAGATTGTCATTCATTGATTACATAGATTACCTCGTTTCAAGTTTTTCAAGGGATATTTGTGCTGTCAACAGGAATGCCATGCCTGTACTCACGCATGGCGAGACAACAAATGCAGCATTAAAATTTGCGCAAAGCTAACCTTTAAAAAATCCTGATCTCCTTTATAGTGAATCTTTAGTTCATCTTCCATCTGAAGCCTGAAACTTATGGAGGACCGATAGAGAAGAGAATCAAAATGGGTGGTCGTGTTTTTCTTAAATCTTACTTTCTTCCATAATTTGATTGTGTTTGTTTTTTAGTCTTTCTTTCACAGTAAATGCTTTTTAAATTGGGCCCTCTGTGCTTCCCCGTCTCTGTCTTCCAATGTTTACATTGGCAGTTATTGTTTTATTATGTCATGTCTTGGAAATACTTTTTTTTGCCACTCCTTTATAACCAGCCTCACCCTCACTGATTTCACCTGGTCTCGTTGTTGTTTGTTTTCAGTCTGTTCATCTCCCTTGTGCTTTCTCAGTACATCTGTATTTGCCTCCACCATGACAGGGGCCAAAGTCGAGACGTGACTGTTTTTGTTTCTTTTTCTGATTAATGGAGGCATAACACAAAAACATGGAACTCAGCACAGAGCAGAAATAGGTCATATTTTCTGTGTGGATCAGGATAATTTTTTATCAAATTGCATAACATTGTGTAATGATAGAACAAGCTTCTTTAATATAACTAGCTTAGTCTATGCTTTGCCAAAGTTTGCCTTTTGTTTTACTAATGGTATGTTTTCCTTCCTTTACATATTGCATTTCCTTTGGACCACATTTCTTAGGTTTGCTTAAATGTTTTTGTTTCTGAGGTACTGGTGACATTGTGTAAATCTTTTCATTTTGTGTATGATATGGGAAAACCTCCTAAAATGAATAAAAAATCAGCCCGAGCCCAGAGTGAGCCCAGCACACTCTAAGCAATGTGATATTAAAATTATTTCAAAGCCTTGTTCTACCTAAAGGAGATGAAGGACTAAAGTCTATATTACTGTATAAGGAAGTAAGAAAGTACTCCTTTACTAGGCATAAAGTTTATCATGAATCAGTTTGTTCAAGGACAAATTAAGAAAACTTCCTGTCCTTATCACCAGGTTACTACTGTATCCTTTCAATTCCAAACTTAACTGTAAAAGACAAACCTATCCTTGCTTTCTGAGTCATTTAGTTAGTCCAGCCCAAACCTGCCTTTCCTTATCTCCTCCTTACACTTGGGGTGGACCTCCTTGATATCAGATGCATGACTTAAACTCTGTAAATGGGTTGACAAACCCAGCAGCCTGACAAATATATAAGCAAACACAGAGCCCTGAAAAAAGTTCCTTACTTTTTATTGCTACATGTGTAGACTAAAAAACTCTTATATGCATGCTATGAATGTTTGAGGGAAAATTATATATATATATACATAGAGAGAGAGAGAGAGAGAGAGAGAGAGAGAGAGAGAGAGAGAGATTTCTGTTATTAATTACGTATACACCAAATGTAACCCAGAATGTGTGTTCATGTATCATCAGTGGATACAGACTTCTTTCTTAATCGATTACCATAAAAAAGAATCCTGTGCAATAAGCTCATTTGAAATAATCATTGTAAAAGCTCTGAGCAACATGCAGCACCTCCAGCTGAGGGGAAAAAGTCAAACTTACCCTTATGTCTTTATAATGGTAAGCTATAATGAGGATCAGGAGACACCCAGTGGACAGGCTTATGGAGCAGTTGATGATCAAAGAGATCTGTGAGCCCTGGGAAGCAAAAAGGTATGAACGAGTTAAAACCTATGAGTTGACAATGAGTTGTGACAAATGAAAATATCTTCATTTTAGTCACTTTTCGTCTTGAAAAAGGTTTCTGGAAGCTGCTGCACTAAACAGTTTCTCATATTCAATTGGGGGGGGCAAGGTAAGATAAGATCAGAAGTTTTTTTAATGTTTAGAACGTTCTATATTGATAGAACTTATCAACTTAACAACGTGAAAGCTGATAAGAAGTGTGTTTAGTCAGTCTTCTTCAGCTCCACAGCTCCAAAGAACCACACGGGAAGCCATTCTCACTCTTAACACATATCGGAGATGTTGTATTTACAATAAAAAAATCTTGCAGCACATATCCAAGAATACCATATACTTGAAAAATTATAGACTGTAAAGAGGAAATTTTAAACGTTTTTGACTTTGACATAACCCCACGAGCTTCCTACTAAAGAAGAAAACTACCACTAACTGTGAAATCAATGTGTGATGAAGAAATTTTCATCTGTAAAATGTGGGCAATCAACTTTGAGAGAAACCATGCAAACTCAGGAGGAGGTAATAAGGAGCTAATCAATTTTAGGTTTTTAAAAATAGATAAAGATTAAATTAAAAGAAAATTAGGATAAATAAAATACAATCCTGCCTGTACAATACTATGATTCTTGCCTTTCGACAAGGAAGTTCACCATAAATTTACAGCAATTGAGTCTAACGTAAAGAATTCATTATTCTTAAATCAACTCCAAAAAAAATACATATAAAGCCACAGCTAAAATGAGCACGCTTGTAATGAACTGTTTTCCACTGCAGGGAACTGACTGCTGGAGGCATAGATGCACACACTGAGATTGGTCCACAAGCTGAATGAATAACCAATCAGAGCTCTGCCGCACCACCTTATGTCAGCAGGTTAAAGAGTACCTTAACCATGATTCATGCATCCAAGAGTAAGTGCTGCAACGTCAGTGGAAGAGTTTAACGGGAACTGATTTACACTGAAAAAGATCATTGCAAACTTTGAAACTTGAGGAAACTTGAGTGTGTAGGTGGTATGGAGTGACGTCCATTGGCAAGGTAAATTGTTTTCCACAGTTTCTGCCGTACCATCCACATCATGTCTGTGTTTCATCCAGGGCTAATTAGAAGAACCCCACAAAAGCTCAACATTTCACCACGCTAACAGACTACAACACAAGTTTCTTGCTGAGTTTCTACAAATATTTCCACATTTTTCCTTTTGGAAACAGTCATTTCGTGGCTGGCAAACCATATCTAGGTTCAAATGGATCATTTCTTGGACAGAAAGGGAACCCCTCTCCTGGTAAACCCCTGTCACCAGGAGAAGCCACTCAACACATAGGGATCTAAAGGGATCTGAAGATATAAACTGTGATCCAGTTTGAATGTTCTATTATTTTTTCCTTTCCAAAACAACGATTCTGACTTTTGTTTTTTAATTTAATTTGTGAAGCAATTTGGTTTCAATTTGTTTTCTTGTAGATTATCTGTAGTTAATACAAGTATGAATTATGGACTGTAAATGATTGCATTTGTGTCTAGTTATAAACTGGAAAAGATTCATTCAAAACCACCATACTAATGCTTTCTTATATACTGATGCTGCCTTAACAAGCTTTGGAAAAAGGAGATGTAACTTAAAATTGGAGGGAGGAAGTAAAAAATCTACAGAATAGAAACAAGTGATATGTAGAGTCAAAACATGGCACGCAATCAATATCAAACAAGTGATATTGAGCTGTCTGTCATAAATATGACTTAAACATGACACATGATCTCAGAAGAGCGAGACCAGCGAGACAGATGGATGACAAAACTACGCTGACTTGTAGGTTCAAAGTGAATCTGTAGGTTGTGGTGACTTTGAAAAGTAGCCACGCAATTCTCCAGTGTGTTACATGTGATGGAATTCGAGCAGAAATATATGACAGCTGCTCCAGATGTTTCTAACATCTGAAGTATCTGAAGTTTTCTTTTTGGACTCAAGGTTTACAGTTCTGGAATCTCAGTCAGAAAAACTCATCAAAATACTTATCAATAAACTTAAATTTGGACGTGATGCCAGGCCACCAAGTCTTAGTGTGTGGATCACGTTTGCGAACCCTAAAGCCATTCCGGGAAAGTGGAAGAAAAAAAATGACAAGAGGTCGCATCCAATGAGCACACAGAAGCGCACACACCCTGGCACAAGCGAAGCCAAAGTCAGGACATTTCTAGACTGGCCATGCAAACACCATAATTATACACTAAATGATGTGGAAAGATAGCCTGAAGCACTGTTAACAATCTCGCTACAGGGGAAGAGGTGAAATGTGGAAAATGTTCCATAAATAGCCCTGTTTTCATGCATAACCATGTAAAGGTATGCTAGAATATAACTTTGCAGAATGTTGATAACATTGATGGAACAGGTCCAAAATATGCTGCAACATAATAAAAAAACATTTTAAAAAAGAGTGCTAATAGTGTTTGTTGTCCCCACTGCAATGACACCGCAATCTAAGGCAGTTTGGCGGCAGTTTTTGAAGTGATGAATGCTCTCTAAAGTTATATAATCTATGGTTGATTCAGCAGTGCAGCCTCTCCAAAATAATATGCTCTAACTGCACCACAGAAGACTTTTCCAGTGCATCAGCATTTCCATGGTACCAAAGCCCATGTCTGTTGTTAGAAATGGTTGTACAACACCTGTTCTCTGTTGGCGTGTGTAATCTGGAAACAAAACCTCGGATTTGTGCCAGCATTGCTCATTTAACAATGTCTCCAGGTCCAAATCTCTGAACGCATCAGGTATATTTCAAAGGTGCCTTCATCATTTCCAAGAGGTTGTCAGAGAAGAGTAGCTGACGTGTGCTGGAAATGTGGGGCCCGTTGACGCCATAATCAATCACAGCGTGAAGGGTGGTCTGATGTTTCGAGGCATGCATGAGAACTTTTTTCCACATGTGGAGCTGGCGTGTGCAGTAGGAAGTCAGCGGCAGTTAATAATTTGTTGATTGTGTGGCCTGGCATTGTTATCCACTGAGATCTGCATGTAAATGTCATGAGACGGCGCTACCAAACTGTGTATCTGGAAACGGACTCACTAATCAGTAGGTCAGAGGGGTTCAAAGCCCAGGTGCAGATTCTGAGGCTGAGCGGTGCGGGATTTTGTGCTGTCTGTTAATCAAGAAAGTTGTTATGATAACAAAAATAAACAGTCTTGCAAGGATTTTCTTGGGCCAAAAAGGGGTCCATTTAGTCAATTAAATATGCCACATATTACAACAAAAGTAGAATAAAATTCAAGCCAATGTGATTCTTTTGGACTTGTAATTGCCACAGACGGATTCTCAACAGACAGTGGAAGCAATCATGTTAACAGCTTTAGTTCCACTGCATGATACTATAAATAGGCTTCGGTTCCAACTGATGATGAGTTAAAAGAGCCACATTAAACTGTCTTGACCAGTTAGCAAAAACAAGAGATTGTATTCAGTCTTCAATAACTTGTGTTTGTTCTGAATGCAAAATGGATGTAAAATGACCTGAGTGTCTGTTTTGGTTATTTGATAGACAGTATATTTGCCACAGGCCATATAATGAAACAGAGAGTGATGGAAACATGGTCAAGTGTAAGATTACAATTCAAATGATTCTTTCTGTTACATTATAGGCCAACAGTATCAACTTTTCACCGACTAAGACCTTGTTGTGTTGAATTTGTCAGACCTACCGATTCATTAACATAGGGGCATATTTCAGCGTGGATTATCATGAGCAGAATCCCCAGCAGCGCGGTGCCCAAAGCCAACGCGCAGATGCGCTTTCTTTCCTCTATTAGAAGTTTTCTGTCTCGGAGTCTGTAAAGATCGTCTCCCTCCATATGGGTCGCCCGCTTCCCGGGGAGTGACAGTGGCACTGAAACCTCAGCGGAGTCTCCGCAGTTTCGCCTGGTCAGGCCATCGCAGTTGGCGCAGTCCGCTTTGGAGTCCGCGCGCTGGCTGTGGCTCGTCATCTCCATCTCCAGAGCGCACACGAGCCGTCCGCCCTCCCCTCTCTCCCTGTCACGGAGCTCCGCCGCTCCGTCGTCTGCCTGCCCGCTGTTCCCTGTGATGTCTTCCCAAACGGGGGAAGGCATAGTGCGATGAGAAACGTGCGCATAGGTCCCTCTCCCGTTCGGTGTACATCGAAATAACGGAGTTCCCAAAACACTCGGCCCCTCGCGCTTAAATGCTCCGACCAACTTGCGCGGCGTGGTTCCGCGCACTGATGTTGTCTGCACACTGCTTTCGGCTATATACTCCTAACTCCTGTACGTGTCACTGTGCCACAGATAGTATGAGCTCTGCTGTGTCTTTTTGGGCACTTACTGGATCATGTGCGTTCAATGCAATGCAGGTGGATTTAAAGATGTCCCTTTAAATGTCAAGACTGAAATTTCAGTCGGGCAGATCAGATTATACATCGTTTATTCCAATAAAAATATGTTGACATCAAAAACAGTTTATTGATTTCGTTTTTTAAGTAACTTGGCAGTTCTGCATATGAAAGATAAAACGGTCTAAGCTCAAGAAGGCTTCAGTGGCCTCAAAAAGTGCATCTTCGCTCCTTAACGCGAAATACAAACACATACATGGCATCCTTCCGCCCTGCTTTCATTTATTTTATCTTTCAAAGCGTTTTCTACCACCAGCCCAGGGAACGATGCCTATATTTATCATTTGCTGGTTGCCCACTTGTGGATTTGAAAGGCTTGCCCTCCACAAGCCCAAAACGGAGGAATAGTTTGATGGCCTTGGGTTAAATGACGCACCGCCACACAGGAGTACTTCCCCTGCAGCATCCTGCTTATGTTGACAGTGTCTTCAGCCATGTGACAGGATGAGTTCAAGTAGAGTTTGGAGTTATGATGGCAAAATATGCCAGGCAGTAAAGACACTTCTTATAAATTTAAGTAAAATTGGTTTAATATGAAGTACAAACAAATTAAAAAAACACAAATGTCACTTGGAGATACAAACAACAGCGGACGTAAACGCTTACAAGTCACACTACATAAATATCCATCTAAAAAATTTAAAAAACAGGATTGCGTGAGTGAAGTGTGCATTTGTACTCCATTTATAAAGCCATGGCAGATTCTTATGCGGAAAGATATTTACATGAAATAGTTTAAAAACAGCCTTCAGCAAAAAGCAATAATGCATCCAAATACAAAAAAAAAAGTTCATTTTCATATTGTTAGATGTAACTTGGGCACCATCCACTGGTGGCCAAATAAATTACAAGAAACACATTAAAACCTGAAAGTGTACATCATTTTGTGATGGCTATGTTATTCAGTATTTACAAAGTTTTAGTAAAAATGTCACTCTTAATATACAGATACCCTGAATTTCATTGTACAAAGATTAACTGGGATTTGTGCACTGAGAACCATATTTGGTGAAATTACTGGCAAAGATCATCAAAACAGGAGGCGCCAGAGAAACAGTTATTTGGCATTAAAGACATTGCGTTCCTGAGTTAGTTCATAAGCCCAGTGACCAGAGCCATCCCTGATGAGGACAGTGTGTCTGTAGCTTAGCAGTGTGGATGCAGCAGATTGAGAGTATTCACTCCAGTTCAGTGGTATTTCTGTGCTGAGTGGAAGCCATTAATTGCGAGTCAGCTGAGAAATGATCAAAGATTGCGCATGGAATAATGCTGAACTTTACGTGTGACAAAAAAAAACATCTAAAAAAATGAGAAAAATTCTCTTTTGGGCCCGAACTTGGAGAGTAGTCGAAATGGCTCAGTTGAGGGAGTCTCCAATGCTCAATGTGCCCTTCACCCCACAGGCTGGGCATGCTCTAACCCTTCACAGCCCCCCACGGCTGCAGCGAGGCCTGGGGCACGATGAACTGCGGGGATGGCTGTGGCAAGATGTAGTAGCCATAAACCTGCTGTGGGGGCGGGGGTGGAGCCGGAGGCGCACACACCGTTGTCAGGAACACCGGGGGGCCCTTCTGAGACCACACTGGTGTTGGGTGGTAGATGTACTGGAGGCAAGCAGGGATCTGCAGAGATGGGGGGAAATGTTACAGGACTTTTTACTTCAACGCACGTGACTGCCATAATATGAGAGCAGAATGACTTTGCAAGACATTAAAAAGCGAGCAAAGCACAATCCTAAAATTTACTCAACAAACGTGGTCGTTTTGCTCATGAATGAAATATTATTACGATTAATTTTAAACAATAACCTGGTGCCTTTTACAAGGCCAGAAATCTTGAATGCATGCAAACGTGACCAGGTGCGACTGATCCAATCTTCAATGTCCAGTGAACTTTGATAAAAATACAGTTCTTCTTCTCATTGATATGACCATTTAAGTACATGTAATATATCCTTCAAGTGGCTTTTTTTGTTTGTTTTTAGGTTATTCAGGGAGGCTGGAGTGCATGTGTCAGGCTGACTCACACTATTGTGGCTATGGTTTGGCCACTTACAGTAACACATCGTCCCCGGCCTTAGCGAGGTCTATCAGTGTTGTTAGTTTTTGACAGGCCGTACAAGTATGGCGCAGACTAAAGGCTGTAACAGGCGTTAGCTAGAGATGACTATTTTGCACTATTCTGCCAAAAACTGACACTTAAAAAAAAAAATAGAGAAGAGATAGTCACCTTCTTTTTGATGTATTTGCCTTTATTAAGCCCTTCTCCCTGCCATTTCCTGAGCCTGGGCACCATCGTTATTGTGTAGGTGTCGCCTTCTGCTGCCTCCTTCATCCCAGCCACGTCATATTTCACTGGCTCTTTCTCCAAGGCACCGTCTTTGGCCTCCTCCTCCGTGTCGCTCGACGCAGTGGAGCCGCAATCCGAAGAGGTAGCAGAGTGGTAATCTGATGTGTCCAGATTCACAGAGGAGTTCCCCTTCTCTCCCTTCACACCTTCCTCATCTTCCTCCTCTTCCTCTTTGTCTGCCTCATTGAAACTGGCTATTGTGAAGGGCCTGCTGTTCTCCCCAGATCTGTGAGGAGGCAGAATATTGTTGAAAAACTCCAAACAAATCATGTTGTATTTAAATATCACCCACAGAGCTGAGTGTTTGAACACCCAACACGTTGCTCACAGATTGCATCATCATGACGACTCACTGCTAATTGTTGGGTTAGACTGAGAATGCTTCCTTGTTGTTGGAACACGTCTGCCTGTGTCACTCTTTTTCTCAGCGGGCCAGCCAGTGACTCACCTCGCGCACACTTCCAGTGGGTCAATCCACACGGTGATCTCAGCCGGAAGACCCAGTTTGCTGGGCATCAGCTCGCACTCCTCGCAGGCTTTGACGACCACTTCATCACATGGCACTCCTTTACTTATCCGAATACATCTGTGAGGGTTTGGATTCCATGTTAGGACACAAGAATGCACATCCAGTGAAAACAGCGACCAAGTTTTAGGTTGTACATTACCTGTAAGCTTGGCCTTTGCTGGGGCAATCGGGGTACCAGTGCTCATTGTATTTGTCACACAGAAGTTTCTGCAGCTTCTCTGCAAACAGCTCTGCTTTGGCTTCATCCAGCTTCCCCCGTGCCACAGCCAGACGTTTGAGGAAGTTGACTCCGGCCTTCACCTCTCTTTTCATGGTATCTGTGAAAAACAGAAAAAAAGAGAGGGGGGGATTATATTTCCTGCTCCTTTTTTGTTTTTGTTTGGTTTGGTCTGGTTTTCTTTGTAAAAAAATAAAAAAGAAGAAATAATTACAATTTGCTTGTTGAAAAAAGGAGGGGTAAGAGGATCTTACATTGTAGTGATAAAACCCTTCTCTGTGCACATGAGTTGAGTCTGTTTTTACAACCTTCAAGAGAGCTCTGCGTGTAATACGCATTTCACAGACGGAGCCATTTCATGCGTTGGCTAAATGGTTACAGTCCACACAAAGGCAAACTAGATGCAAACTAGGGATGCTGTGTTGGAGTGCAAATGCAAATTCAGCGTGCTCGCTGCGCTGTTTATCTTCTGATAGCATGTCTGTTGAGGTCCAGTGAATGTCAAGCTGACCAAAGAGCGGAGTGTGTTCACAAGAGGCCAAGGCAGCGAACACTGAGCGTGCCAGTATCCTTCTGTTGTCCCTGAGAAAAACTGTCCTGCCATGAACTGCGAGGCCAAGATGGTGTTTTGTTTTCAATGCTTTGAGATGTGTAATGTGTTATCAGGGGAAATTACTATTTGCTCAAGCAGACAAAGCCACGGCTTTCCCTTAAGAGTGGCGCAGAGTGACAAAAGGTAGCAACTTCTAATCCTGGACAAACATTTTTGCAAATAAATGAGAGCATACATGTGACACTAGTCACGTGAATGTGACTAGTGTCACATGTGTTTAGGCTGTCAAACAGCAGTTGTGAAAACAGCAAATTATATGTCTGTGAGGAAAATTGAGGGCCCTCCTCTTGTTGTTCTCACTTTCCTCTGTTTTTAACTTTACCCATCATCAGAGGGGGAAAAACAGCATGCAACGTGCAGACCTGGAGGATATCACGTGGACTGAAGGTAAAATTTGCTCTGACACAGGTTTTTCTGGAGGGTTCTCGAGTTTCAAATTCTAGCAGTGACAGTGAAGAATGTTACATGAGGCCTGTCACAAAAAAAACATTTTTACTGTCTCTAGGTGACAGTGGCCAAAAAAGGTGGGATGTTTTTGGAAGCGACCCTAGATGCAATTTAAACCAAGAAGCATCTCATCTCCAAAAGTGTTTTACTGTGAATGTATTCCTAATATATGAATAGACAAGCTTTTTAAGAGGCCACTTAGCTTAAAATGACTTCAAATTTTCCCAACTCTATGTAATAAATAGTTATGACTATTATGCTGCAAAATGGGTCAATGGGCATTAATAATACTTAGAGATTTTCTGAATTATTGGGAAAACATTAAAAAAACAACAACAAAAACAACATGGAACCGTCTACACTTTGTGTGATGTCACTCCAACACGTGATTCAGCCTCAGAAAACCAACTTCTCCATAATAATATATATGAAATCAGTGCAGGACACAAACATAACCTGCAGAGTTTCAAATCTCTAGACACCTTTGTTTTCGCAGATGTCCAAACTGCAATAGTGTAGTCTTTATTATGTGATATATAGTCAACAGAGCACACCGGGCAGAAGAAGGAAACAAGCTCCTGCGTGCCTCTGTTTACTCAGCGCTGACCTGCTCCCATTATCACACATTCTGTAAATACAACTAAGTGTCTGGTACAACTTGACCCACTTTCAGGCTGCCCTGCTCCAGCTTCCGTGATTGTTCGACCTCCACAGAGAAACCGTGACGATGTTTAAGCTGCACCGACTGTTTTATTCGGGCTTTTACGTCTTTCTCGATGTACATTGCTAATGTGTTTTAAGCTTGTGTGAACCAGAACTGTTTAATTCCAGCTCTGAAAGTAGAAAACGTGAAAAAGAAGCCCTCTGAGCCTTCTGCTCTCGGGTTTCGTCACGCTTTACCTCGGTACTAAAGTTTGTCTGCGTGGAACTTGTGTCGACACAACAAAGCAGAGTGGACGCAACGTGACACGAGAAGCGTGCACGTGCTTAGTGTGTGGCAGCTTGAGGATAGCAATTACACTCAGAAAGAATGAAACAGCACAATTTCATTAGTTCTTTGCCTGTTGTTGTTTTTCGTTTTCTTTGAGCGTGAAGAAAGGGAACAACGTGCTACCCGCTGGAAACAACGCGTTTCGGCTTCTCTGACATAGCGGAAACCCCCAATGGAAACTCGGAAAGTTAGCAGAAACCAGCCAGCGGATGTCATTTACAAATGTCAGACAAACTGCCGTATCGATCTTTTTTTCTTTCTTCTAACCGACTATCGAGATTTTGAAGGCTTTCTTTACGTGAGAATAAATAAATCCCAACACAACAATAACAGAATTAGTGCCAAAAGGCGCATTTTATCTTACAGCTATAGTGTAATAAATCATAAATCCAACAAAAGCAAACTTACATCGTGATGTCAACAGAGCCAAGCATTAACACGATTTAAAGATAATTAAAATTAAGTCTTAGCCCCCCAAAAAAACTATCTGAGAAAGTTTACTTTCTGAATAAAATGTCTGTAACGATCATAACAAACGTAAATCATATAACGCGGTACTCACGTTCAGTTGTAAAATGTCCTCTCCGGGAAAGCTGAGGGTTTTTTCGCCTCTTGTCTGGGCTCCCTGTTCTTCTGTGCCGATGGGTTGATGTGAGTTATTGTGGTCGGCACATGTTGCTTCCTTGTTCCCTGTTCTTCTCGCTGCTGCTGTAACTGGGACGTAACATTACCGTCAGCGTGACTCACTTCCTTTGCTCATCGCCGTGAGCAAGCCCCGACGGCCCGCTGACGGAGCGACGCCCCGCCCGGCCCAAATATGGGCAGTGAACGCAACACCTGAGTGGGGATTTCACCCCCTTACAATATCCACACCTCACTTATCGAAAAATACGGAGTTCACGCTCTTGTGATGGCAAATTAAGTAATAAGGTGACAAAGGTCCCAAAGTTTTCTGATTTGTGTAAAGGTGCCAGATAGAAACCGTTCTTGTTCGGTTATCGTTCATTTTGTTCCAGGACTCATTATGGAAACCTTTACCTGCACACCAACCAAAGATAATCTAAGTAAAATATTATTAACCACAGGGAGATTTAAAAGATTTGAAAAATGATCAAAATGAGCGGCAATCGTTAAAACGAGAAAAGAAAAGAAAATAGCCAGATTCATTTCATTTAAAAACCTTCTCACGAGAAAAAATAGCTTTGGATAAAACTGCTGAAAGCAGTGAGTGATTAGCAGTTTTGTGTGATTAAAGATTAAAGATGCCCAGACCTGCATCCATCCATGATGTTTGCTCAGAGCCTCATGTACCTGTACGTGCCTTACACAACCTGTTCACCCTTCTGCTGCACAGCAAACAACAGAGAGGTATCCCCTCCTCTACTTCCAGACTCGCGCACCCGTTTCTCCTCCATCTGTGATTTATATGGTAACCTGTTGCAGAGAATTTCCAATTGTGTTTAAAAGAAGAAACTATCAGCTTGATACTTAATGCGTACCTACCAATTCGAATCTCTTTGGTTTGTCAAAGGTGGGACACAAACTTTAAGCCTTTACACAAAAGAGAAAGATGATCTCTACTGTACACATGCACTGTGCACAAATCAAACAAGGTGAATCATCTTAAATATATCCCAACGCTCTGACTTAGAAATTGAGCCCTGTTGCTTTGAGGTGATAGTTCTAACCACCACAACACAATCCACAGCGATAAATTCTCATTTTTGTAATTGTATACGTTTTTTTAAGACAAAAAAGATTTTAAAAAGTGACACACTAACGCAAGATACATATTTAAGTTTGGGATGTCGAAACCAGCTGAGAAACCCTGAAAAAACACAATCCTGGTGCTCTTTTATGGTCCCCTCGGTATGAAAATACGTTACATTGCTTGTCAAATTCCTCCCATGCCCTCTGTTTTCAGTCACGTTCCAGTCCTGTTTTCAGTCACGTTCCAGTCCTGTTTTCTTACATTCAACCTGCAAAGATGAAGCCGGCTTTGCACAGAAACTGGTCTAAGCACACATTCTACATCAACCGCAGCCTCAGGGGGTATAGGAAGACGCTTTAAATTTAAGTGTAAAGTTCTATCTTATCAAACAAGCAGAAACTTCTAATGCGAATATACAAAAAAGCCCATGTATTTTGCAGATTGTATGTGCAATTGTGAAACTTTGAGAACAGATTATAGTTTCAGGTGTTACCGCTTTTAACCACTAGATAGCACATCAGTCAGCTCAGTGTCTGTGGAAAGAAAATGAAGAAGACACAGTGCCTGGTAAAGCTGTAAACTGTAGAGGTAGCTGAGTAATTGTCACTGGCATTTTCATCAGTAAGATCTTAATTGGTGTCGCCTATGTTAGTTAGTTAGTTAGTTAGTTAGTTAGTTAGTTAGTTAGTTAGTT